GCAGACACCGAGGAGGAAAGATTCGAGGGGGTTGAGTGGTCAGTGCAGGACTTGTATCACGGTCTAACACTCAAGTGCATGGCTCAGTCTTGGAGATGCGCTTTTAACACTACAGAAAGAATTGCAACATACATGGTCAGCCGCTTTGTGAAGGCCATTGAGGAGATCAGCAGAGCAGAGACCTGGAACAGAAGGTGTAAATTCACCGTCGACTGGGAACGAGAACATGGGATCACTGCTGTGAGCAAACGCGCGCGGGGACGCAACTGTGTTGGAGAGCACAGACGTAGCAGCAATGATTTTATGGGATCTACCCTGAGCCAACGACAAGCACCCGATGTGAAAGAGATCAACGACGCCGCGGATGAACGAGTGCAGGGGCACTGTTTGGAACAGCTGAGACTCGATGTAATGGAGCGATTGGGAGGATGTCAATTTCTTAAAATGTCAGAGGACCATGGCTAAAGGATGACTTTCACGCGCAACAGGACACGTAGGGAGCAGGGACCATCGGTTCACCACTCATGCGTTGATTGATTATGTTATATGGATCCGTTGCGACATAGTCGGAGCGGGCAGTTTCCTGTTTGTTTTCTGTCCCGCCTGTAGGTTTCCTTCAGGCCACAGTTAATAAATCCCATGTCTTTGAGGGTTCTCGTTAAAAAAAAAAATCCTTCTTAGTTGTCATTCTAACCTGGTACGCTGTCAACAGTATTGAAAAGCGGATCTTTCATTATGTGAAAGATAGTTTTAGAGCGCTTCTGTTCAGTACTTCGCAACATCATCTCATAGTGTCCATGTCAATGGACAGATGTTCGGCGATTGTTTTCACTACACCTGGAATGTCAAAGACGCCAATCTTCTCAACGTTCATTAGAAAGGTTAGTAGAACAGTTTATTGCGAAAGTAAGGAAGAAAAGAGAAACGGAGCGAAAGGATGAGAGAGAGAAGGGTGAAGGGCAGCGAGCGAGCAAGCAAGGTATAGGAGAGAAGGAAATTGGGCGCGAGACTGAGAGGAAGCTGTTCGCAGAACCTTGTATGCCAGAGGGCTCAATTAATTCATGTAGACAATGCGATACTTTATTTACTTTATTTGAAGGATCGAATTGCGATGGGAAAGTCCATCTTCTCAAGGATTTGTATTATATAGAGTAGAATGGGCCTGCTTTCATTGCAGACTGGGACTCGGGACCTACTACGGCTTGGGGATCTCCAAGAAGGATTTTACGACAATATTATTGGCACGCTCTTCAGCGGAAAGAGGTGAATTTCCAGGACGATCGATCACCACAGCCTGGAATCCAGCTTTCTTTGCAGCCACAATTTCTATGATATAATGAAGCCAAAATAGTTAGCAGAAGAAAGCATTGAGATTATGAAAGAGAGCGAGAATTGACTACCTACCATGGATGTTATCGGACAGGAACAGGATCTTGGAGGGGTCAAGGCCAATGTCGGCAGCAATCTTTGCATAGCTTTCAGCCTCCACCTTAGGCCCGATAGTGGTGTCATAGTGGCCAGAAAAGTACTACAAAAAGAGGGACATTAGGTCCAGGAAGTGCAGTTAATGGCAAATATCATCAGAGAATGTCAACGAAGCGCTTACGTGGAGAACGTCGCCTTTTTCGGAGAATCCAAAGAGGAGCTTCTGGGCTCCGATACTACCAGAAGAGTAGATGTACACTTTCTTACCCTCGGTTATCCACTGATCGAAAGCAGGGATCACATCGTCATAGATGCTATCAAGGAATAGCAAATGAACGTAAGCATACAATCATGCAACTCAAGCAACAAACGAGTAGAAATCATGCTTTCAATTTTGGGACATGTAACTTACACTCCTTTCAAGTCGCCATTAGCATAGCCTTCCTTCCACATGTATCCCTGGAAGGCTTTCAGAGCCCCAATCTTTCGGTCAGCCTTCATCTGCCATCCGATAGACGCAATCACATCTTGCTGGACCTTTTCAGCCAAACTTCAGGAGTGCAAAAAGCAGAAAAAGGCATTTAGTCATTATCACCCGCGGTCAAAGTGGACCATAAACAAAAAAGAAGAAAGCAGCTTACACATCAGCAGATTCTGTCGCAATGGCTGTGACCCCAGGAAGGCCGTCTGCAACATCTTTTGCCGCCTAGTCGGGAAAGAGTAGGATTAAGAGTGTCAATTAAAAGTCGTGCAGGTCAGTTGACAACCCTTGGGGCAGCCAATTACCTGGACGCGCAGTGCCTCGACGGCATTCTTCATCTCCTCGTTGTCCCAGTTCTTCTTCAAAAATACTTCCAAATTGGAGGTAACATAGGGGAACTAAAGAAAACCAACAGGCAGTAATTTTGTCAGTGTCCGCACGGCATTAGACAGTTCAGTGGCACTATGAGAGACAGGCCAATTTAAGCAATTGGCCGCCTAGGAAATGTTTTCAACCAAACACGCGTGTTGCCTAGGAAAACAAACAAACACAAAAGCTGAGGAGAATAATGGAATAAAAAGCAGACTTACCAAATTCTCCTTCACAAAGACGATGGGAGTGGTGGTACCCTCAATGTCTGACAGAATAACATCGTAAGGCTGGATGACTCCAGCCACAGCGATGCTGTTATGGACAGTGGGCTCCTCAGTCGAGGCAACCACTGGTGCTGGAGCAGTGACCACAGGTATCTCAACAGGAGCAGGAATTGTGGCAGTCGCTGGTGCAGCAGGGGCCGGTGGCTGCGATGATTCCGAAGCCTTATCAAGACTCGTGAAATCTAGAGCTGGGGTTGTCAATGGCGCGGGAGTCACAATAGGAGCGGCAACAGCAGCAGGTCCCGGAGCGCGGTCCTCCGTTGGTGCCTGTGTTTCCTTGGCTGTAGTAAGATCTGGGGCAGCATTGATCTTTGCAGCCTTGGAAGATTTGGATGCAGAAGCATTGCTTTTACGCTTAGAAGGGGCAGCAGGCTTGGAAGCAGAGGCCGGGGTCGTGGGAGCGGCACTCGCCTGGTTGTTCGACCGAGAGCGTGTCAAAACCATGGCGTTAAATTCAAGAGGAGCAGAGAAAAATGGGTTGAGGAGTCTTAAGTGATGATTCAGGGTTCCTGAAAGAGCTCAATGGAATGGGAATACGAATGTGAATGGAGGACAAAGGAAAGGAGGAAGAGATCAGTCTTTGGGTTGTCTTATGGGTTTTATGGACAGCTTGCCTGTGTGATATGGCGGTAGTAGTCACGTGTAGCCCTCAGTTGGTGCCAGTGGACCATTCCTTCGGCGACATGCATGGTTTACCGCGAGAAGGCCAAAATGACCTCCATCAATGTCTTGGACCTCCCTTTTTCCGTGAAGGACAGTTTGATCAAAGGTATGCAACCCTACCGCGCGATCGGTGCTTCTCCTTGTCCCTATACGTCTCTAACCGCCACTTCGTATTTTTGTTTTGCTGGGCGCAGCTTCTTTGGACACCGTCGAGGATCTTTTGCTATATACGCCGCCGAGCCTAGTCGACGATATACCTGGCACACGATTTAAGCGCCATCAACCTGTCAAGGGCTCCTCAAGTACCAATTATGATCGCCTTATAAACCTGACTCCAGACGAAGTTGACCTCGCCTACAATCAGGCTGCAGCCTACATTTTTGAGACCAGGATTGCTTATGGAACAGCGCTCGATTTGCTTCAAGAAGAGCACTGGCTATCTCTCGGAGATCCCGTCATGGACATTGCTCTCGGCGGGAATGGCTTCATGACGCGCGGAATCACGGAATTAGCAGGGGAGAGGTACGCACCCCACACTGCCCTCAGCGTGTGGTTCTTGGCTTACATATCATCTCAATAATCACAACACCTCTGAAACCTGCTTCGATACTTGCTCCTATAGTGCTGTAGGCAAGACTCAGCTCTGCCTCCAGCTATGTTTGACTGTGCAACTTCCGCTTCATATGGGTGGGCTTGGTGGCTGTAATTATTAACTTTATCGGATTGGTTATGCTTGCCACCATTACCTTGAGCACTTGAACTCATTTGGCAACATCTTAACATCCTATCTATTATCGTAGCTGCAATCTGGCTTTCAACAGAGGGTAAATTTCCGTACGGCAGATTGGAGTCGATGATTGATAGCTTTGTGGGAAAGTACAAGGAGACCGTTCCTGAGATTGATGCGGACAAAATTCGGGACAACATTTACTTCGATTCTATGGCGGATCAAGAAACCCAGCTGCATATCTTTAATTACCAACTACCTATTTTGATTCATGACTCGCATGTATCGCAGGATTACGACGAATTCGATGTATCTCAGCACGGTCCAGTAGACGATGGAGACACAGATCGCTCAGGGCAACCACGAAAGAAGCCGGTGAAGCTTATAATTATCGACTCAATCACGAACAATTTTCGAAGCGAGCTCAGTATTCCTTCAACCGTGGATCAGGTAGGAGAGAATCCAAGCTTCAGGTCCAGCATTCTCCAGAGAAGTGCTGATCTATGCGAGATTGGCCTGCGCCTGAGGACTCTAGCCGACCAGTTCGGATTGGCAGTTATATGCGTGAACCAAGTTACGGATGTCTTCAAGCCCAACGATGGGTCGCTTGCAGTGAACGCCTCTTCTAGCATTCAAGCAGGATCATCGGTGTTCAATTCGCTCAACGACCCTATGAAGTTCAAGAAACCCGCGCTTGGGCTCGTCTGGGAAAACACGATCAATGCACGAGTTGTTTTGCAAAGGACACGACTACCTGACTATCAATACGTGGATCATGAGCCGTATGCGGAAGCGATAAGCAGTAAAGAGCCACAACGCACAATGTCAGTCATCTTTTCACCGTGGGCCGCTAACAAGAGAGACGGTAGTCCACAGGAGTCGGGGTATTGCCGATACAGAATAGACGAGACCGGTGTAGTTGGGTTACCTGCGGAGCCCGCCAGAAAATGAATGTACAAGATGTCCACGTCACACTTAATCGCATCGCATCCACTTGATCCAACACCTACCCATTCTACACACAGCCTCGTCAAAGCATCGCGCCCGCCCTCCCTTCTTCTCTCACCTCCTATCCACCAGTTAACCCATCTATACCATTTATCCCATCTATACCATTTATCCCATCTACATCATTTATCCCATCTACACCATTTATCCCTTTCAACTCATTTGATACCACCTGATCCGAATGCACTCCATGTACATGCACCAGGCTGGAGCGAGGGCCGGTCCGAACGATCGCTTCTACGCCGGCGGAGGGATCAGCGGATTGAATAACAGCCAGCTGGCTATGCAGCTCCAGCAGCAACAACTTCATCAACAGCAACAGCAACAGCAACAGGCCCAGCAGCAGCAAGCCCAGCAGCAGCAAGCCCAGCAGCAGCAAGCCCAGCAGCAGCAAGCCCAGCAGCAGCAAGCCCAGCAACAAGCCCAGCAGCAAGCCCAGCAGCAGCACCAACACCAACAGGCGCAGCAGCAGGCACAGCAACAGCAGCAGTATCGCCTGCTGAGCATCGAGGATGAAAAGATTTATCAACTTGTTCTTGAACTCACTAACCCTGTCAATCGTGAGCAGGCCTTGTTGGAGCTCAGCAAGAAGCGCGAGCAATTTGAGGAGCTGGCCCTGGTCCTCTGGCATTCGTATGGTAAGTATGCTTCGCCTATCTACAACCGCTTATTAGGCTTTGCCAACTTTCCAATCGCCGGTCTTTAATGCATGTATTTATTTTTAAACTTGAGATGTTTAGGTGTTATGGCAGCCCTCTTGCAGGAAATCGTTGCAGTTTATCCATTGCTAGCCCCCTCGGGACTGACGGCCCACGCCTCCAACCGTGTTTGCAACGCGCTGGCGCTCTTGCAATGTGTGGCCAGCCACCCCGAAACTAGGGGAATGTTTCTAAATGGTATGTTCATCCAGTGACTGGATCGCAATGACCCTTCTTGGACTTGATAATGGTTCAGTGCATGTACTCACGCTTCTCTTCTCTTCAACTGATTAGCCCATATCCCTCTGTTTCTGTACCCTTTCTTGAATACAACCAGCAAGACCAGGCCATTCGAGTATCTCCGTCTAACAAGTCTTGGTGTTATTGGCGCGCTTGTTAAGGTAAAGAGGGGGTTTTTTTTTTTTTTTTTGAAGAATCATTCTCGAGCGTTGTTGAGTTCGTTGGCATTAACATTCATTTATGGAATTATATCCATCCCGCGTATTAGAACGATAACACGGAAGTCATCACTTTCCTGCTTTCGACAGAAATTATTCCTTTGTGCCTCCGCATCATGGAAACGGGAAGCGAACTCTCCAAGACTGTAAGTCCTTTTTTTCGGACAGGACGACAGACAGATTATCGGTCGGTGGATTCTCCTATGAATTTGGTGTTCACCATAGATCCACTCATTCTTTTGCCTCTAGGTCGCTATCTTTATCGTACAGCGAATTCTCTTGGATGATATGGGTCTTGCTTATATTTGCCAGACTTATGAACGGTTCTATGCTGTTGGCACTGTCCTGAGCAACATGGTTCATCAGCTTGTCGACACTCTTGCCGTCCGTTTATTAAAGCATGTTGTCAAGTGTTATCTTCGCCTGTCAGATAATCCAAGGTACTGTCCGCGATCCAATAGGTGTTGAATGGAAATGCCGATCTTATCTCTCGCTACTCAAAACTAATACAAACTCTCTATCTCTTATAGAGCTCGCGAGGCTCTGCGCCAGTGTCTCCCTGAACCGCTGAGAGATGCTACGTTTGCTCAGGCTCTGAAGGATGATTTGACGACCAAGAGATGTCTTGCCCAGTTGATCATTAATTTGTCCGACAGCGCCTCTACAAACTGAATGTGACATTGAGCATACCATCCGCTCCTTGGTCCGTTTCTGCCTGTTTCATACCCAATCCTAATTGTCCCACTTTTTTTGCAGAAAGATTTACCAGGCAGTTTGTGTCTCAAAATCGGCTTTACGCTCGCCGGTCTTTTTTTTTTTTTTTTTTTTTGGAGACCCTTCTCCCAGCACTCCCTTTTTTATTTTACTGAACATGTACATTTACTTTCATTTATTTGTTTATGGCTCGCTGCAATGCGATTAATTCGTTCTTGCGTCCATTGCAGCCGTTTAAACTTTTTCTTAAGATCGCTTCTCTGGTTCTCTCTTCTCTGGTTCTCTCTTCTCTATTTCTTTCTTGTCCATGTTTTCTTATTATTGCTTTGTTTCGCTTGCGGAGAAAATTTTCCTTTGGGGGCGATGAAGAGGGGAGGCAGGCGTTGAACTTGCAGACTGGGAGTGGAAGTATTTGTCTTTCTTTATGTATGTGCTAATCGTCGTGTTTCCGGGCAGGCTGAAACTGTCTGGATCGTAATTTGTACTATTTGTACCTTACTCCACTCAGCATTGTATTTGTCCCCAAAGAACGAGAAAAAAAATGTGCCTTTTTGGCATGTATTCTTTTTTTTTTTCTCTTGTTCGTTGTATCACATCATTTATGTTTCGTCTTTTTCTTTGTCTCTTTGCTGTATATATTTATTTTCTAAAGCTACTATGGAAGAGCATACAATAAATAGAATCCCTTATACTTTTTGCGAAAATGAAATGGTATATGGCCATGATGTGGACATGAAATATGCGTCGCGTAGCACGCAGGTCGCGACAACACTGGTGGTATCAGCTGATGTGGACGCTGTTGCAGTCACTACCTGTCACCCCCTCTCTGGACTGGGCGAAGATGATGATGCCAGAACCATTGACCATACACAACTATTTTCATTCGGACCCATGGCTCGCCATAACGACTATCAATGGCATGAGGAATATGTCAACCCAGTCTCAGACCCCAGCTCAATCGACGTTCGAGGTGCGATACACAACATGAAATGCTTAATACAGGAATAGGACGTTCTCGAGTTCAGGGCGAAAGGGGAAGCGCTGGCACAATTACGAATATTTGACCCTATTGTGACATGTTCATTCATTTCTGATAGACCTCTTGAACGATGAATGGGAGTTCATGACCAAGCCAGACGTAAGGAGCTTAATTGACATCGTTTTTCGATGGGAGAAATATATGGACAATAGGAGAATGGCATCAAATGACTTTTTTTTGTGAGAATCATAGTTTAATCCTGTGCCGCTGGCGTTGGAACTCATGGATGGAAGCTCGCTCGGCAAGGACTATGATATGTTCACTCTGATTCTCCGGAATATCGAAAGGGCGCTCAAGGACGTTGTTGACGGTAATAAATAAATAAAAAAAGACGTAGGAATGTTATCGCTTCCACAGGGAGGACGATCTTGTCCTGCAATCGCATGATATTAACCCGGAGTTTTTTTTGTATATATCTCGCCTCATACCATGATGTTTTCGCATATAGGATCATATCAAGGATTCAATGCGTCAATCGGAACATATGGTGGCGTGCTTGACAGCATCTCGGATTCACAGAGTCGCGTCAAGGAGCTGAGAATGGATCTCAAGAACTCGAAGGAGTCGCTTCGACTGAGGCAAGCGGATCTAGTACAGCTGTATAATAAGAGCCAGCAGTACAAGGATATGATCGAGATGCTGGATGAGATGTAAGTCCCTGCATCCTACTGTCATTACGCACCTTTTTTTTATCGCACCAAAGGGGCATAAATAATGTTAACAAAGGTCTCGATGTGCGTGTTACTGCTGGAATATAGCGAAGAGCTGAGGCAAGTCCCTGCGAAGCTGGAATCTTTAGTCCGCGAAAAACACTTTTTGGCAGCCGTGACACTCTTGGTATCGGCGTCCAAGACAATTTCAAGGCCGGATATGGCCTCTGTAGGAGCACTATCAGATTTGTCTCGGTTCTTTAATGAACAGCTCGAGGTATGTACATCGGTATGCGCATTCGGTAGGCGTGATATGTAAATTTAGAGATATCTAACACAAATGTTTTCTTTTTCACCTTGATTGTCATCGAAACTAGTCAATGGCGGAGATCCTGACTGAAGAACTTCATAACCACCTGTACCTGAAGAGCCCGTACTGTGACAGTCGATGGGCTGCGTATACCACAGGACAAGAAGCATGTAAGGCTCGAAACTTGCGCTGTCTTCTTCGCTCTTCTCTTCGACGCTTGAGTACAAGAGCATGCGTCTAATAGATGGATGACATTTGTGCTTTTCATATGTTTAGTACCATCAACCGAGCGTGGATTGTTCGAGGGGTGAGATCACGCACATTATAGTCAAGGAGCGTACAGCCGGGGTTGATTCTATATAGCATCAAAGTGTTGATGACATGGATTTGATCGTCTTTTCGTGTTAATGTATAGTATCGGCAAGGATCTTACGAAAATGGGGCATTTCTCCAACGTCCGCATGAAGCGCAGCAACGGTGGATTCCAATCGAAATCCAAGCCTGGGAACGAAGTGCGACTGGACGACGAGATGGTACATACCCATGCATTTCTTACAAATAATACTTGAAGTAAGAGGAAGCAAACCGATTAATCGGTTTGCTTTGCAGCCGATTTTTACTTACATACTTGGCCCCTTGCTATTACATTTCTTCCTGATCTTTGTGTCGTGGAATGCATTCATTAGATCACAGAGGACTTGGAAGTCAACCCCGAGGTCGATTTTGCATACTACCTCGAGATCCTGGTCGAATCACTTGGGTTGCTCGGGAAGTTCAAGGATGCGGTGGTGACAATCTTACAGCGGGTGCCGTTGGAGACATACCAGCTGATTGATAAGACGATCAGTGAGGTCAACGAGCGACGGAACGCGGCTGCCCTGCTCAAGGCGATGACCCATCCGAGGGATTCTTATGATGATGATGACGAGGAGGACGAAAAGTATCAGGCGACGAAGAATGCTGAAAACGAAATTCTGAGGGACTTGTTCTGGACGCTCTTCTCGAAGCTCGAGTGTGTGGTCCAAGGGCATAGCATGGTTCTGGTCGCGGGCCAGCGGTTGTTGAGAGTAGGGTGGTTCATCTGCCGTTTTGTTTACTTGGAATTTTCTCCGGACTCCTTGTCGCTTACCACGTTTGGTACCTTTCGTTCGCTTTCGTTTATTTCTTTATAGCGCGTAGAGGGAGACCACCTCAAGCAGCGCGACTTGGGACTTGTGGGCGTAACTATGTACAGTTTTGCAGATGTGTGGACACCGATGTTGACAGAGATCCGATGCCTGCTCTCGGATTATCTGATGGATACCAACCAGTCAAACGATGGACTGGACAGCTTCTTGGGCGGCACCGTGCACGATTCCGGATCGGATCTCATGCGCTCGCGCAGGAACAACCGTGATAAGAATAGGGTATGTAGCTATTAGTGGTATCTCTGCAGCCTTTGAGGGCATGCTTAATGCGTACGGTGTATGTTTTGTGAAGCGACCAACTCACAAATGATCTCTGTTTTCTCTATTTCTGAAAACAACCAAAACAGCAACTGTTCAAGTTTACAGACTCGATCGGTTCCTCCTCATTGTGCAAAGTCTACGACAAGGAAATCGGTCGTTCCGCACAAGAGCCCCTGCGCAAGGCTCTTCCTCAGGTCTATGCCCAAATGACCGAGCAGGGCCCCTCGTTAGCGTTCTCGGGACTGATCCAGGACAAGTACGCCCAGGTTCTTGCGGGCACATCCGCCAGCAACCCTGTCTCGGCGCCCAATGCCTCGTCAACCAACCCAGACGGTGCCTCATCCTCTTCATCAGCCTCCGGAACCAACGGCGGGGCTGGCGCTTCCAGCAGCGGTAGCAGCAAGGCGAACGCAGTGACCTCGAACTCTGTCCCACTGATCCCCGCTTACTTGAAGGCTGCGCAGAACGGTGCGCTGACGGGATTGAAGAATCCAACGAACTCGAACAATGCGGCATCAGTTACACAAAATGCAGCGGCGAGTGGACATCAGTCGCTCGTGCGGTCGGATCCCTCGCATATCAGTGTTGTGATTCGTCCTGCGGTCGCGTTTGTCGAGCGCGTACGCGAGAGCGTGCCACAGAGTCGTGAGGATGGAACGGTCGTCGTCGGCGCTTTCTTTGATCACGGTGTCATTAACGTCCCCATGGGGCGGTTCTAAGGCATTATACACAGCATACTACTCGTAATTTCAAATACACATTACTGAATACCACGGACGAGTATGGTTCGCACGGTCACAGCATTGTTCTTGGTTTCCACTTGTTTATTACTGAGAAGCCCTTTTTGCTGACTGGATTGGCTTTTCGGCCATCGTCCGAGAAAATTTAGTCTCATTTAAATGAAAAAAAAAAATCGTTGGTCTTTTTTTACTGGGTACTCCGTGTCAAAGACAAAGGAGCTTAGCGTGACCAGATGCTTGTGTGGACCTCATGAGGTCGCGTTGTCACTTCTGTTTGGATCATACGATGGATGGTCGGCAAGTAGTCCACGTATGACATCGCCTCATTGTTCTTATCCTCAACTAGCAGGTTCGAGAACTCGAGCTCCGCCTGATCCTTGCCCTGACGAACGACTGTCAGATCCAGATACTTTGCGCGCTGTGCTTGCATGTACGTCCGCAGCGTGCGTAACTGACTACTTGTTAAAGAATCGATTTCTGGCAAATAACGCTATAAAAATATTGCAAAGGGAGGATGGTATCATTAGCTGGTCGAATTCTTGAAGAATGCAGACGATGGCGGACAGATTATGCATGGGGGACATAGCCCCTCTAAACATACCTGCTCAGGACTGACTTCATCCAGAGTCTGTACGCCAAATACATCCTGCAAGAACTGTGCAGGGATGTCGCGACCGAGCCACAAGAACACCTTTTGACCATTCTCGAGCATATAGGCGCCCGTGGCATCAAGTCTTGCATACGAGACACGAACCAGAGGTGGCAGGTAAACCCTTCCATTACTGGGGTCCATAACTCCGACCTATTGCAAGTGAAGGAAGGAATACCAAGAAACGTTCGTACTCATATAGTTAGCCAATCAGTACTGCAAAGGTACCATGTAACGGACATGAGAGAACCTCAGTGAATATTTATACCTTTTCGTCCATAGCATGAACAGCAATCATGCGCGGGTAATAATAGACGATGCTTTCGCTCACGCCCATGCCCTTGACCATCCTCATCTGGTGCACGCGCATATCGCTGTTAATGTCTCTGCCCATCCGTAGTGTCTTTGATTTCAGCATAGCCAAGGTGTACAGTGGGAACAGTTTAAACGACTCAGGGAGAATGAGCTACCAAAGATATCATGAAAAGCGTCGTTAGCTAACCGCAATGGTCCTTTCAAGACGGGGGAAAGCAGTCGTTCGTAAGCAATTCGGGTCTTTTTTACCTGTCCTGGAGCAGTAGAGGAGGCACAATTGCGACGATATGCGGACAAAATCTTGACACACTTCTCTGTAAGTGCCACGCGCACCTCGTTCAAGGGCTTACTCAAAGATTGTGCGATAGCTATGACAATCAACAATGAGGTCAGATAAAAAACATAATCCAGTAACCATTGTGGCGATGTTGTAGAAGGCCGAGAGTGTAAAGCGTATCCTTACCTCCTTTGCTCAAGAAGTTGATGGTCGTATCCATGTCGGCCCATCTAAATACATTGCCCAGTAGCGTCGTGACTGGTGTGCTGAAGTTATGCACTCTGACACGCCGACGTCCATCCGCCGTAGTATAGAGCAGCGCAACCTGAAAAGACGCCTCAGTTTTCTCGTCCAGCTTGCCATCATGTTTAACCAACACGCCAAACGCCTTTTCAGAGTCCAAACCCGCAATTTCCAGGTCCGTACTGTTCTTCATGTGGAAGTTGCCAAAATGCTCCGCAATCCTCAGACCAGACGAACAGCGGACTCGCATCAATGCATTGTATCCGAAAGGCCGGGTCACAATCCTGCCAATGTCCCCAACCAGCTTGACGCCATCCCTGCCTGCATTGAAGTTGACGAACATGTGCGTCTCTCCCCCCGTGATACTCGATAAGCAGCCCAGCGTAGCAACATCTACATATGCGTTCGGGAACAGGAACAGGTCGATGGACAGACCAGCATCGACGCAGCACTCCGCCAATTTCTTGTAAAAGTCGTCCTGAGGAGCATACAGTGTCTTCTCCTTATCCGTATTATAAAGCTTTGAGTCGTCGCGGTGCCTGAGGGCTCCTGGTCCGAATGTTGGGAGTGCAGTTTGAAAGATGATGAGTTTTCCTCCACGGTTCTCGAGCGCCATCCGTACTGCCTGGACAACGGCTCCAATCACTGGTTCAGTCGTCTTGTTTTCTGCAAAAAGCTGAGGCAGCATATCCAACAAAGACTCGACAAGTACTCTAAAAAGACGAGTCGAATTAAAAATAAAGGTTAGCAGGGTGCGTATAATACATCAAATCTATTGCCGTGCACGCATTGCCAGTGTAGTTATCTAACGTACTGAGATGTTTCGGGGTTTACAAGGAATCCCTCGCTCAGAGGGACAAACACATCCGAAACGTCAGGAACTACCATCATTTGCGCCTGCTCCAGCCCAGACTAGTTGAATGTGAAATTTAAAAAAGACGGTCGTAAGATTTCCATGGCACAGTTCAAATTGACATCTTGTTATGTCAGCGAATGTAAAGGTGGCAAGATGCGATGTAGGGCATAGTTCTTACGGAAAGGTTATAGAAGTGAACGTTTTTGTCGTAGGTCAGAATACCGACTTGAGTACCGGGTGCCAGTCTTGAGATGCCATTCGCATCCCAGATAGCGCTCTTGATACCAGCGACGCACTGCTGCAGCATCCCGCTCTGGATTGAATTCCAGGAGACATCAATTGCAAAGACATAGGCTACTGCTGTAGGTGTCTTGTTCCAGTATTCTTTGGGGACCGCAAACTCAATGCTTCCGCTGCGCAACTCGGGCCGCTGATCCAAATCGCACCGACGGCCGTTCATGTCGAGATTGCAAAAGTACCCAGGGTCGACCTCGTTCTCAAAGAGACACATGTTGCATACATAACGCTGACCACCGTTTGTGAAGATCATGTACGGGTTGATGTAGGCGTTGCATCGGCGGCATCGAGCTGGTCCTGAATCACCAAAATCAACAGTTTCGATGGGTGCCTAGAATAAGGATTTGGCGTGTTAGTGTTGCTAATCGTGCCGAAATCCGCTTACCGTCTATCGTTTTTGGTACTAGGAACGCACGTACCTCATCAGCACGGAGCTGTGCCAATGGTTGAATGACAAGACCCATAGGAAGCTGCGATGTATTGAGCAGGTCCTCCGTGTTAGGAAGGTTGTACGTAGTCATCCTGAAGAAGCGAGGGTTGCAGTTTCCTAGGGGGAATGAGCAAAATAGGGAGTCGATGAGTAAGATCAGTAACAAATTTCGCTATGCCAATGGTATTCAAGGCAATACAAATGATGCAGATCCATACCTCCATCAACCGCCATAAAGTCACTGCTAGCCAGGGGAGTGGCGTTGGTCCTTGAAGATGTGACAAATGGTTTCTGGTTCCATTCTTCCTGATCTGCCTCCTGAACCGCCACAGGCGAGGGAATCTGATCGGGGTCGATTCTCGGTTTCGAGGATGGCCGGAACTGTTGCGATTGGTTCATAGGTTGCGCCGGCGCTACATGAGGCTGTTGCTGCTGTTGGCCCAAGTGGGGTTGCTGCTGATGGCCCAAGTGGGGTTGCTGCTGATGATCCTGGTGGGGTTGCTGCTGATAGGGCGCATTGGGTTGAGCATATCCGGGATGTTGAGCTGCACCCTGGTTCAGAGGTTGTCCATAATTTTGCGATCCATATGGTTCAGGGACGGCATTGACACCAGGCTGAGGGATTGGGGGATGAATTATTCCAGATTGACCCTGAGCTGGTGGGGGTGCTGAGGGGTCCGTAGCATATGCTCGCTTGGCTCTGGCTCCGACTTTAGGCTTCACCTATTCAAACATGTAATGAGTGCAAGACGGGTCAGTATCGGTGATGATCGAAACGTTCCTAGTCTTGATAGCCTTTTGAAACCATACATACCTCTGGCTGCATGGGTGGTACTGGCGGGGGCATTTGGGGAAATGACTGCTGATCAGGAGTATTATTCTGGCCCAGAGACATATTGGACATCTGGCCCTGCACTCCGCCTAGCCCTCCTGCTGCGTGTGGATCCGTCGAAGGCAGTGTAGGTTGCTGGATTTGATGTTGCTGTTGTTGTTGCTGGTATGGGGCATTGTGACCTACATGAGAATTCCCAGCGTTGTGGTGCTGAAAGCCCGGTATAGGTGGCCGAGGTGACGACAGGGGCTGTGTGGCAGATCCTGGTGTACTGATTGGGATGGGACCCTGTCCGTGGGCTTGATTAGGGTTAGGAGGGTGAACCCCGGTGGTCATTCCAGCCTGAAGTCCTTGCAATGGAGATCCTGGTCTGATCTGCTGGTTTATAGGGCGCACTCCAAGAGGTGGTCTTGCTCCAGGAGGGATCCCTGGGTTTGAGATTGGCCGTCCTCCAGAATACTGCTGTTGATGTTGCTGTTGCTGTTGAGGCGGCGGTTGTTGATGGTGCTGTTGATTCTGAGGATGAGGAGGCGCTCCGTTGAGTGGAGGTCGAGGCTGTTGGACGCCTTGCCCTATTTAATGTTTGTAGTGAAGAAGTGATGCTCGATAGTCAGAATGTAATTCGCTGTGAGAGCAAACTCCGCCGGATGGGAGGGATCCGTGGATCGCGTGTGGAATGCTACGTTACTAAGTCATTCTGGCAGTGCTGGTGTGGGTGAGGGGTAGGCATTAGCTGCCACTCGACAATGCCTCGTGTAAACCATGTATCAACGCTGTCGATTGTCAACAGCACGCTCGCTTGTGTTAGGGCACCAACACACCGACGCAGCCACAGCCGCAGCCGCAGCCGCAGCTCCTGCTCCATCCACGTCGAGAGAAGGGTTCAAGGAACAAACGTTACCTGGTCCCATGGGTCGAGCTCCAGACATCATCGGTGCTGCTCCTCCAGGGCGAATTGGCTGGTTGACAGGCCCAGGTCCTCCCACACCTGGTCGCACATTGCTATATGGCGGCCCTGGCGCCTTTAACGGCTGTTGCCCTCCACTGAAAGCGGGTGCGTATGGACCGCCTTGTTGTCCTTGTCCTTGTTGAGCTGGCGGCGGCTGTCCTTGGCCTGGGCCTGGGTGGTACGGACGAGGCGGTTGTTGCTGGTAGTTTGACATCGAGGCAGGACCTATATTAAAACAAAGAGAGGCGCCGATTAGTTGGAAGAAGTCTTTTGCTGAATCTGAGTTCATCCCACATGTTGCGATCGTTGAAGCAAATGCCGTGCCTTTTAGGAGAGAAACGAGTCGTTATTCGCGTGGTGCCAAGGGCTTCTCTTGTTTTTCTAGTTCTTGCCGGAGCAGGTCCAGGATGAGCGTTTGTTCAGAGCGTGAAGGAACGTTGATGTTATTCAGCGGAATGTTGGAAGTGGAAAAACAAAAAAAAAAGGGACGAAGGGATCCAATCGTTGCGTTTGCTTGAGTGCTTTCTGCTTTCTCACTCCCTCTTCCCCTACCAGCTGCCAAATGTAGCATGGCACAAAAAGACGCGCTTCCACAGTAGCGGTTAAGGGTCCATTGCACCTGGACGTCTTTGATTGGTCTGTCCCCTCGCCTCAGATCTCGTGCACCTTCGCGTTTTTGGGGAAGCACATAAACTCCAGGCAAAGCGGCAATACGAAATAAAATGCACCTTCATGGACACCAGGTTCGCTGCTGTGTGCATGCTCTACGTATTAGTTGTTTGTGTACACCCTTGTTCCTTTTATTATATGTAAACCAAGTGTTATCCTTGAGGCGGCCGAACTCTACACTTACTCCTCCACTAGCTCGAGTTGCGGATTCAGGGACTTAATTACCTGCAGTCGCGTGGGCTGCAGCTTGTATAGCCACCTGCTGATCGCAAGCGACTTCAGGTGCTTCAGCTCTCTGACTAAAACCTGCACGCCCTCCGTCGTGTACTCAGAGCAGCTCACGATATAAATCTTTGTCAGCCGCCTCATCTGCCTTGCCATCATTCCTAAAAGTTCATCCGAAACAGGCCACTTGCCCTGCAGCTCCAGGTCCAGCAAGTTTGTTGCCAGACAGATCTGTGACATCCTCGCCGTCATCTCCACCAGTATATGACCATCTTCGCTGGTAGAATACATATACGGTGGTAAGGAGAGCCGCAGCGTTAACAACGCAGGGCAGTATCTCAGCGCCGCAAAGTCAAATGCAGACGCCACCTCGCCTTCCAGATCCAAAATAGTGAGCCGTGGGAGGGGCCAGGACCAGGTCAAGGGCATGAAGTTCAAAATCGGAGCCGTGGTCATCAAGATCGCCAGTGACTGAGCCTTGAGGCACTCGAGCGAATCCCGGAACGCGTCGGTCGCGTCGCTGAGCGCAGGGATCAGGCACCGATCTTCGCCACAGAGCTCAATGGACTTGAGACGCGCCAGTCCATGCTGCTGTTCAAAGGCATGCCATTCTGGATGATAATGGTGCCTCAATTGCCATGGTGACGGCGACAGAAGCGATATGGACGACGATGTAGCAGATGCTGATGATGGCATTAAGAAGGGTGACGACCTCCCTGTAATTCCTGACGTTGGGTGGTGAGACGGGGCCAAATAGACAGAATCCGAGGTCATGTTCGATGTCGCCGTTATTGTTGTTGTTGTTGTTATTAGTGGTGGTGGTAAGGATCTGGATCTGGGAAGGGCACTACCATTACGGTCCAGCCCCATCTTTTGCCGCTCTTCAACCGCCCACGCGAATAGCTTCTCGTCTCGAATCGGCATCCTCAGTTCCTCCAGACACGTGCATAGCGATAGATAGTCAACGACGGAGATATTGTTTGGAGGTATGTCTGCCATACCTAGTAGTAGGGTACGCAAACAATCCACGGGGATCTGATCAAGCACCAGAATGGCTTCTCTCCAATGCCTTGCATCGACGACCTGGGGTGTCTGCATCGCCTGGATGAGGCGCACGAGCTGCGAGTGGGTTGGTATCAGATGCCGGTTCAAGTCCTCGCTTCCCTTGATTTTTATCTCCTTGAGCGTATGATGGGTCGCATCGTGGACTCGTATGAACTCCAGAATGGGCTCGAGTTTGCAGCCGTATGGGATCTCTGAAAGTTCCAGGCGCACGAGGTTGCGTAGCCGTTGTAGAAGGGGCACAAGGACCAATGGGGCGCGAGCAATTGGTTGACCAATGACCTTGATATCCTCAGGACGGTACTCGACCAGGGACATGGCGACGTCGTTCTGTAGCTCTGTCATGCTCTTGCTGACATCCAGTATGTACATGTGCTTTTCATAAGTCAAATGCTGGAGGATGGCCAAGGGCCCCAGAAGATCGACATGGTATTGAAGGGTATAGAATCGAAGATAGTCCAAGGTCGGGGGACGTAGCTGCTGGTGCCGATGGCTTACAATGGGTCTTGAGCTTTTGATGGACAGCGCTGTTAGTGAAGAGGCCTTAGAGCTGAGCAGCAAGGCCAATAGCGCAGCAGATCGCTCTTCTTTCTGATCCCTGGTCCAGCGATGTGATTGTTCGATAAGCTGGAACGGCGACCTGTAGAGCACAGGGACGGTGCGCTGGAAGAGCTTCTGGCTCGAGAGGACGAGGGCATGGAGGGCCTGTCGCTCGTCGACGAGGTAGGCTACAATAAGGTCGATACATTCGTCCGGCAAGGGGAGCTTGGATGCCAACACCATGGGAAACCCAGGTTGCGCCGGCGATATGAAGTGTGCAATTGAGTTGGATAAGGGAGACAGATCAAGCAAGGGCTGCTGTAGTGGAGGTTTTCTTTCCGAGAGTGAATACAAGGTTCAGTTAGAATGAACCATGAACTGATGAGACAGCAGGAATGAGGACTGACTATACGAGGACAGGAACAAAAAGGGGCGAATGCGAGATGAGTGAGATGGGGGTGGAGGTGAGGGTGGGGGGATCGGAACGAGAGGATGCGAGGAAGAGGACAACACGACAAGGGACGAGGGAACGGGAAAAGGAAAGGAAAAGCGCAAGCAATGTTTAAAAAGGCCAGCAAAGACGAGAGTAGTGCTGGGGAGTGCGTTGTGGTGGTTTTGTACCTGAGGGTGTTTGCCCCGGATTTGGTCCTATGGTTACATCGCATCGAGTGCGTGCCTGCTGGGTTGATTAGCGGAAACAATCCTATTCCCCCCCCCCGCTTCGCCTTCGCACTCCCTTTCCTTTTTGCTGTCTGATGTGTTCAGAGGGTTAGGGAGAGGGGAGAGCAGGCTGCCAGACTATAAGCCGGACCACGGTGGGTTATGGCAGACCAAAGAGGAGAGATCCGGTTGTTTCTTTTTCCATTATGCGTTTATGTGTGTGCGTGTGTGCGCGCGGTACAGCTGCAGTTCAACTTTGTTGCCATGGTTGCCAGCCATGCCAATGGGTGGTGAAAGGCGGAAGTGGAAAAATGGAGTTGCGTTCGTTCTGACTCCATCCCCTCGTTGCAAGAAGAAAAAAAGGGAAGTGGACCTATCAGCATCGAGTACCGAGGATGGACCCTGCCTTGTTGTCCGTCCAGTTTGCTTTCTCATGAGCATGGGGTGTCGCTGCGCTGTTTTCCGTCTCCCCCGTGCGACCACAACGATATCTCTCTCTTCAATTGTAACTGTGGTGAGCAGGAAAAATAAAAATAAAAAAGCACCAGGACTGCAACCAGTGGAGCGAAAAGAAAAAAGAGCAGAAGCGGGATTGCGACTATGAGCCTGTATTTCCTATAAACACAAGGCGAAGCAATTCTCGTCATCAGAGACGGCACAGGACAGCGCCATGCTTGCTAAGTTGCTATGCACCATGCGTATGTCAATTGAAAGCGCGGGTAGAGCTGCAACTGCAGTGCGGGGTACAGGGGAAAGGGAGGGAAGGGGGAGGCACGCTTCAGGTCGATTGCGTGGAATCCTTCAGGAGGAGGCGGTGGTTTGGAGTTCACTAGGCTATACATGTAATGGGGTTTCTTGCCAAGACTTTTTTTTTGAACAAATGGGCTGTAGTGGGGCGCCCCTCATCTATATCAACGCGCCGTCTGCCCTTTCTCGTCATCCTTTTTCTTCGTTTCTTGCCTCGCCCCCTCCATCTTCCCCGCCCATACGTTCTTTACCGTCGCGTCCATCATCTTTCATCTTTCCTCGTTCTTTTCACACCCTTTTCTGCTTGGGAATCACACTCCAAAAAATGGCCGACCAAAATCCATGGCAGAGCAATTCTTACGCCACTAATCCGCGCCCGCCCTCTACGGAGCCATCCGCCCCAGCCTCCTCATATCTTCCACAAGACTTATTTCTCGCCCATCCACCATCTCAACCGCAGCAGCAAACGCACATCATAACGCTGCACCCCACCACACCGTCCGACGACGACGCACCACCCTCTTATGAGGCCATTGCAAAGGATATCCCGCAGCTCCATGACAACTATGATCATCTGAGGGGCCCACCCGGCCAGCGTGATCGGGATATCAAGGAAAGGATCCCTCCAGAATCACTATCCTCCACGTACTATCAATCAAGCAACAATGCCGCTGGCAGCAGTAGCTCTGCCGGCCCCTCGGCCCCTCCTCATTCTTCGGCAAACGACGCCTGCTACGGTGGTACCTCTGCTAGCCATGGCATCGTCCATTCCCCAACCATCGCCAGCGCCCCAGAACTCGGTCTCAGAGGCCATATTGCTCTTAGCCCCGATAATGATGGCGAATACGCACAAGATGTGGATCGGCTTCTGGATACTGACTGCCAAGACGATGATTCATCCATCAATGAAGACGACCCATCCAACAAATCCTGCTGGACCATTGCTGGTGACAGCAAGGCCTGGACTTCTCTTGGTTACCAGATCGTGTTGCTCCTTCCTTGGACACTGTTCTGCTATTGCTGGACTCTCTGTGTTGTCATCTTCTCCTTGGTGGCGATGATCATTCCCCCACTCGGTTACGTTTGCACGATTTTTTCGGTTACCTCGTGGCGTGCACTCGCCAGGGTGGACTTGGCCCTCTCTGAGGCACTAGTCTCGCATGAGATGCGACAACGCTATCCGTATATCCCTGCTAAAGTCTATATCGCTGCAGAGCCGGGTCCAGCCTGGAAGGCGCCGCGGTTGTTTGGATACGAGCTGCCTCTCCCAGAATTCGTCCGACGCAAGTTGCAGAACCGTCATGTGTCGCGCAGTCGACGACCCAAGAACCTGTGGCATCGCAGTGCGAAGCACATGAGGGCCACATGGGACCGGCATAGCGTGGCCAGCATGTTTTATTTTCTAGTGTGGAAGATGATGTATGCGATTCCAATCTTTATCGTTATCATCGTATTATTTTCGATGTCGATACCGCTCATGGTCTGCTTCCTGCCTTCGCTGTTGGTGGTGTCGAGGACCTTCGCCAACTGGCAGTACCGCTGGGCGGTTTGCTGGCTTAGTGAGAAGCCGGCGCCCATTGTCGTTTGAGAAGCCATTTGATGTTAAACTGTTATGACTATATACCTTACCTATGCACGCCCAACCACGCTCCTGTAAATAAAGTTAATTGCCCCGAAAGAACAGAATGGTCGTTCTTTGAAACAATGAATCGCTTTATTCACAGACAGTCCAAAAGTCGTTCCTTCGGATATAGGATGGCTGTACAATACGTGTCTTCTTGCTCTTAGCATTATTTTCGTCTGCATCATTTTTTTGGTGCTTGACGTTTGTGGCCTTGTTACGCCCAGATCGTATAGTATGAGGCGGACACCGAGTAGTCAATGACCTGCACGCATCTGACAATAAAATAAGCTCAACATGAGTTTCATAGTTAATAGAAGTGACCATGACTGTTGGGCTGGAGCTTTGTTGAAACTCTTGGCCTCTGTGTAGCGCACTGCGTTCTCTGAGGTCCTACAATCACATCAAGCTAAAAAAGAATTACTATCTAGTGTTTATTATTACAGGAGTATCATCAATTAAGAGCATGTATCGACTGTCTAAATGTCCTCGACGATCCTGAGGGGGGGAAGGTTCTCATAGCAAATCCTGTAGATGACCGTCATCAATGGGAACTCGTGGCACAGATTCTTCTTTGACAGAATGTTGTACATGTCCTGAGCGGTGGACGTTCCTTGCAACTTCTGTCCGTTCAACATTTCCTGCTCCAATTGATCAAAGGACTTGCCGGTCGTAACGTGGGCCTCGGCAACCTTGCGGTTGCGACCACCCGCGCAGGTTGTGATCAAGTCAGCCACACCGCACGACTCGAAGAACGTTGAGTCCTTCACATCCTTATAGAACATCTGCGAAAACTTGCGCATCTCGTAAAGACCAATGCGAATGATGGCAGCCTTAGTGTTGTCACCAAGCCTAGCAAAAAGAAGAAGAGTAAAAGATGTGCACGGTTGAGTATATTTTCTCAGTAAGCGAACGCGCTGAACAACCAATCAAACATTCCCTGTCGTCCTTACTTGAGGCCATCGACCAATCCACCGCCAATTGCGATAATATTCTTGAGCGCGCCGCACAACTCAACACCGACCACATCCTCGACAATGTTGACCCTGAACGTGGGCGTGTGGAAAATCTGCTTGAAGAGCTCGCCATCTTTCCGGTTCCTGTATCCAATCGTAGTCTCACAGAAGCGCTCCTCTGCGACTTCACTCGCAATGTTGGCACCGCTTAGGACACAGGCACGGATGCCGAGGGAGTCCTGGATCCTGTCAGTGATAAGACGGAAGCCGTCCTCGTTGACATCAATACCCTTGATCAGCGAGATAGCCTTGCAGTTGGGTTGAATCCTACCCTTGAGCTGCTTGCAGATACTTGCAACAAACTAGTAAGCAGCAGGAGGCACATGAAGGCATTCAATGGTTAGTGGCATGATACAGGAACGGGAAGATGAATTCGAAAAGGCTGTAGAGGGATGTAGCACGTGCAAAAGACGCGAGTGAGACAATTGAGGAACAGCGTATTTCTGGGTGTCCAGGCTGGCAGTGGTATGGTATCCGCATGCCATTCGGTCATGGGTGTTCATTGATCCGCAAGAAGTCAGTACAATGCGTCCTGAATATCCCGGTCAGGCCATGCCGTTAATCCAAAGCGACCGAATGTAATTCTGAGCCTGCAAATGAACGAGTTGACAAAATTCGACATCCGCATAAATTTGCAGAATACTCTCTTGCTCTTTTCCGACCGCCACTTTCTTATCAGCGCACCCACCACCTCCTGTTAACCATTTGGGAGCCTCTCAGCCCATATGCTCATTTGATAAGCATGTCCTGGATTAGAGGACATGGTGTGATTGCACCAACATGTGAAAAAGCTCGAGTTAAATGAAACTGACAGCAATCAGAACGTCTTTCCAAATCCGATGGTCAATTGCTTCTATCAGCAGAGACAACCTTATGTTTCTGTCTAGACCTGTATTGCCAATCTTCCCATGACAGTTGCCAAAATCAGATATATAAAAAAATCCAAACGAAACCAGCGGGTCGTTCCAGTTGGTCCATGCTGGCGCTTGCTGCCGTATTTGTTGCCGCTGTATTGCTGAGCGTAAATAATGACTTTACCTGATGAGGAACAACAAAGACGAGCATAGTGGCATCACGACAAGTCTCGAGCAGATCAGGGCAGGCGATGATGTTCTCGGGCAATTGAATTCCAGGGAGGTATCTGTTTCGCAAGAGATAGCGAAAGCGAGGGATGGAGTTAGAGACTGACGCCATCAGAGACATGTCGACCTCGCGGGTAAAGATAAAGAGGGCGCCCACGTGTTTCCTTTTTGTCGAAATATGTCCAATTGACTGAATGCACGAGCATGCAGGGGAGCGAAGTAATGCCGGCGAGCCCCTGAGGGGCGATTTCCGTTCCTGGTCCCTTGATCCTGTATGCTACATGAATTTCGTAGCTGCAGAATGATGTTTCTTGTTGGTCGTCTGCACAATCTAGCCTGCTTGCGGTTGTGTGACATAATTGAGACCCTTCTTTGTTGTTGTTTTGTTGTTGTCGTTTGTGCTTTGTGCAATGACAAGACGTATGTGTAGGTCGATATCGATCCGGATCGGCACACTCTTGACCCAAAAAAATTACTTTGGGGTAGAACAACAAAGAGCGAGAAGCACACTTACTTGACGTTTTCATGCTTGGTATTGATGATCTCAGTCAGGTTCTGTCCATTGATCTTCTCCTCAAAAACCCACATCTTGACATTTCTGTCAAAGTGTTCGAACTTATTGACATTGCGACCGATAATCTTGGCGACGGCAGATCCCCTAGTGCAAAGAGTTTACAATTCCAATCGGTTACAATGGGTCGTTGAGACAATATGAGGACATGCAGGTCAATTGAGCTCAAGTGGTAGCACGCCTTACCAGTTGCCTGATCCAATAAGGGCCACTTTTTCCATTGAGTGTTGCATGTCTGTTTTTCTTTGTGTCTAGGGTGTATGAGGGGTGAGGCTGTTGGCGGTGTGCAGCTGAGATGAAGAATGGGAGGGAATCGCTTGATGAAGAAAAAAAAAATGGAAGTAATGCTCGATGACTTTTATAGCTGATCAGATCAGAAGAGGAATGAGATTCTTTTTTTGGAAGACACCTAAACCCAAAGCGGGGGCGGCAATAGAAATAGGCATCATATGCCATTTCCGCCAGCGCGTGTTTGTTGCGACATGGGTCGATGCACATGTGTCTGTCCGTGCCAAGTCCGCTGTGGGTGTGCTCGGACTCTTCTACTTAAACGTTTTCTCGCTGACTGATCTGTGTCCCCTCCGTCTAACGTCCATTCCATCCTTGTCCCTGGGCCCCCTCCTCTTCTCGCTCCTCGGTTCACTAATTCACCCGCCCGTTGCCGTCCTTGCCTGTTTTCTATCCAACATGTACTTTTCTGTCTATCTCTCTATCCTCACATCTTGTCGCTCCGTCTTGACTGCATGCTTCAATTAATGCATACTACGCTCAAAAACACCTTAAATCTTCTCTTTGCCAATCAACTGCTTCGCCTGGCACCTCTAACACGCGCTCGTTCATGTCCACTCACCATTTCCCTCAATGTCAATCCTGAAACAGCCTTATCTTGAATCTATCCACTAGAAGCGAATGGGTCGCAGGACATTATGATATCCGGAGTTGATCGAATCCTTTGGGAGCACTGTTAAATCCGTCGCTCGATGGTGAAAACCCATTGTTGAAGTACAGAAGAATAGACACAAATGAGTTTGCCACCAAAAAAGAAATAAATTGTGCGCATACGCAATTGAAACAGATGATCAGGGCGATTCCGATCCATGCCAGGCACAGGCGGTTGTTTTTTGTACCCCTGGATCTGTACCCCTCCTTCACACCACCTTGTTGCAAACAAAGTCCAGCTTCCCAATCGACGCCCCCTGGCCATGGCAAGCACAATGGAGCAAAAGCGAATCTTCCTCGCATCGCTCCGTCGATCTCTGAGAGATCTCGGTCTCGACATCGTCCATCCCTTTGCAGCCCAAAGGTACAAAACTCACTCACAATAACACAAGCTCTTGAAACCGAGCGATCCCCTTATGGAACGTACCTAACTAACAGTATTTTTTCTTACAACGCAGCTACAATGCTACAACTCTGGGCCAAAAGAACCCAATGCACACGTTTGGTCAAACCTCGACCCTTTCCATCATTGTTGGCAGCAACCGCACGTTTTGGGGTCCCTTCCTCGCTCAGCACCACCCTGCCAACCTGAAGACCGAGGCTGAGAAAAAAGATCCCATGGATCATTACTGTGAAGGCAACATCCCTAAAGTCACCCTCCAGGCTCTTCAAGAGGCAGGCCTATACTCTGATATCGAGGGCCATGAAGTCACTACGCCCTTCTCGGTCGCCTTTTCGCACTGGTATATCACTCAGCCGCCCGCAGGGACGCCGCCCCCAGGATCCAAGCCCACGGGATTTGTCGCTCCACCAGAGACTGTGCTCCCAATCCAACATGTGGCGCAGGCTGCAGGATTCGCATACTTCAACCCAATTGCGTTCCTAAATGTCCATCCGGTCTACGGCCCTTGGTTCGGCATGCGTTCGATCATCATGGTCGACCTGCCCTACGATATCTCGGACAATGAACTGTTGCTGATAAAGGATGATGATTGCAACAAGACTGGGACGTATTCGCGCGATTCCAAGCCGATTGAACATAACCCTGCTTTCTTGAGCTTATCGCCTGAGGAAGTCAAAGAGCAGAATGCTGCTTTGGAGAAAACAAAGACAGCCTTATTAACTAAGGGCTGGGATGCTCGCGACTGGAAAGAATGGGTCGCATTTCGACAGTCTTTGACGACGTACCGGCCAGACTGGCAAACTTGGCGGTACTCCGATGACCAAATGCGGTATCATTACCAGAAGGAACTTGAGTTCTTGGAGCAGTGTGCGATAAAGTATCGGGAACAACAACAATAACTGGAGTGAAGTGATTGCGAGCACTACATTTTACAATAAATATGGAGAGACAGATTACTTTTCAGCTACAAAGCGTGTTATTTTGGATTACATATTCTTGCTTTGTAAAAGAGACAAGGGGCCTTTTGACAGGAATGAAGAGTACAGGCGTCTCTGTAACGGATTGCCATTCCATACAGAAGTGGTTGCATTTTTAGAGCAAAAAAATTCAACACAGTCATATTTATGACCTGGGGTATGACGTGAAGGAATAAGGAAGGACTTTATTTTTCTCAAAGACGCATAGTGATAATGGGAAAGTGGCCCTCAGAAAGCCGTCAGCACTTCATGCAGATGAAAACGGGGACGACGGGCTTTATAAGTTTTCTTTTTCGTCTAGGGCAGTTGCTCATTTTGAACTCCAATAACAGCTGCCATGAATCATTGTGGAATGCTGATGAGTTGAGAGCCCAACTGTTGCACGTCCCGAATGTAACAAAAGCACGGTACATACACATCGAGCATGGAGCTGTTTAAAGACTGATGCGGACGAAATAATGCAGAGTGGATAAAGACAAGTCTTGAATAACGATCCTGAATGAATCGTTTCCATAAGTTCTACAGTGGATTCGATGGAACACGCTCGCGCCATGATGGAACTGAAAGACATTTGTTTCGATGGAATCGGAAACATCATTGGCTAGCAAGGTGGATATGAGATAGATGAAAAGGTGATGCGCATAAAAAAAAAAAAAAAAACAGAGAACAAAAGAATGTAAGAATGTAGGAGTGTGAAAAATAATGACAATACTTCCCGCAATAAAAAGCACTAGAAAGGAGATACTATACCTTGATGTACCCGCCGACAGGCCAACAGACGTATATGAATATAGGAGGAGGAGTTGAAGTCTACATCGCACTCTCACCAAGCCCATCGAACCAATTGAAATGAGCACACAATAAACCAGAGCAGGGAACTGAAAACATAGCAGAACCAGAAAAACGAAATAAATAACTACAAAAAGCAAAACGAGGACATGACTAGAGTACAGAGTCAGAAGAAAACTTCGGTTAGCTTATTCAACGGATCCATGGTCAACTCCTTTGTCCCTGTAGTACCAATAGAAACAAATAAAGTGATTGCTTTGACCCCTGCCAATATATTTTCAATAATAGCGACAACTTCGCTGCTGTATGTGATCCACTTAATTGACCTCCACCGCCTTCTGCACAAACAGAGATAATTATGAAAGGCCCACATCTTCAACCTTTCTCGCGCTCATTTCTATGCACTCTCTGCCTACTCCTTCCGCAAGTGCGCACATTTATATCTCATTAGCCGCACCATGAGCGTCCCGACACTGATGTTCACGTTCCCGCGAATGCCATGCCAAATCACTACTGCTGTAACGCCTCTCCGTCAATATGATCAGGGGATGTTTTTTTAACAATGACCGGAGAAGACAAGTATTTACCCTTCAATGCCCTGCGAGAGATTGCTGTTTGCAAGGCGCTATTTATGAAGATTCGGGTCTTCACTAAGGTTTTGGAATTATTCTACTGCAAGTCGGGTTTATTGGATAGGCAGCGTATTAGCATTACAAAAAAAAAAGCGCTCAGAAGGATGTCCATCGCAAGGTGATCAAAGGATAGGAGGATCTGGTCGTTCAAAACAAATTAAAAAAAAAAAAAAAAGCTGAGCTCTCAGTGCTGTGCACAGCACATGAACGATGGAGACACGATTTGAAGAGACATGCCATCGCAATCAATAGACGCTCATCTTGCCTTCTTCTGCTCTTTCCTCTCTTTTCTTCATTATTGTTCAATTTTCGCATTTTTTTTTTTTTTTTTTTTTTGAAAAAAAAAAAACAGCCTTAAGCTAAAGTTTATAGCGCGTTTTGGAGTAGACCAAAATGAACCATGACTGTGTATGAACGTATTCAAAAAGTTAATTCGGGTCGGCCTTTTCGACAGCAGACTCTAGGAGTAATAGAGTAATAAAGAGACGGTGCCGAGACACTTTCTCCCGAACGAGTTTAAAAAATTGTAGCCAGCTAATAAATACGTACTATTAGAAGTATAAACGTCTACAGGTCCAACTCCGCAAGGAACGCCCTCGAACGCCTTTTTATTCAGACTTTTCTCGTTGAATGCGACGGAGGGGACAGTCTCGGGTGGAAAGGCTTCATTGCGAGTTGCCCAATGCCCAGACAGGTATAATCCACTCGGAGAACACCCATCAACGAGTTGTGAATCTTTATCCCCATAAGGTTTGGTCCTCTTGCTGCTAGTTGCAGGTCTCTTCTTCAACTCCTTCCTCGATCAAGAGACAAAAAAGCACTAACCTTCAGGCACAGACATAACTTTAATTTAACAAGCACAGCAGATCGCTCTCTTTTTGCGCTTAGTCCAAGGCGTACTCCGCCTGTGATACGAACATTGGGAACTAACAAAATCATTGCGCGTTTTCCTGAATGTCAAATCCATGAACAGCAATACCATTTTTGCAGACGTCTGCTTGACGTATGCTTGCACAAGTGCATGTTCATAATTACACATAAAAGGTAAGTGGCCCATTCTCGGGCGGCGAATGAATACAGATGAATTGGTCATTACCGAGCACCCTGCTTTATTATGCTTCACGGACTCTCAGTTGCATAAACGGGCCATCGAATTCGTACTACTTGTTGCAGTTTATGACCACGGACACACAGCGCACTTTAGTGTCTCCTCAATTGGTCGATATCTGCTCTACTGTTGCCAGTTCATGCTTTGATGTTGAGGAAAGATGATCTCAAAGTCTTTTTCCATGGCTGCTCGGTAGGCGGATTTGTTGCATTGGAGGTGTGGCGTGCCACTACAAGTCGAACAGGAAATAATAAATACTAGAGGCCTTTTTATATGTTTCATGGGGCCGGCGCGGCTCAGCTGAAGAGCTTCTTGGCGTGTGAAGCCGGTTGCCAAGGTTCTGTGATCCGACGCTTAATCCCGTTAGGGTTCCCTGGGTATAGTCCTATGCCAGATGATCATCTTGTTGCAACATCGCTATGAACGCTTGACTGCCACGAGCCAGTTTCCCCTGAGAATGATACTGTATCGGCATTTTTAATTACGAGGACAATTCGTGTAACCAACAGAGTTTCCTGGTCTCAGTAGTTCTTTCGGTAGCAATCCACTCCTCGAAGTCTGAGCAACTACCATCGCCATGACCATACTTCCCACAGAAGTAACATTGGATTGAGTAGTATCGCTCAATGCCTGTTTCCAAATCAACCCACGCCTCGAATTCTGCGCAGTAATGTCCACAGTCTACATCATGACCATGCTTCCCGCAAAAGGAACATATGTATGAATATAGGTCGTCCAATGCAGCTTCCACGATCCACTCGATGCAGGTTGGTATTGAGATCAGGCGAGTGTTCGAGTACATGGCATCGTCGCTGATTTTCACCAAGTCGTCGTATGAATAAATTTTCATCGCCTCGTGGTTGATGTATGAGTAAAGAGATATCTCGGATAGCTTGGTTGCCATTTCGCTAGTACCTTCAGAAAGGTCCAGCTGGCCACAGGATAAATTAAGAAGCTCGACCTTCGGGTCTAACTCTTGGTAGGCGATTACGGCGAAAGCGGATTGCTCTTTAATGACCCACCTCAAGGCCTGCTCAAGATCGAACGTGGTCGAGATGTATTGTGATCCTATACGACTTTTCGGTCCCCCCCAACATGCTCATTGATCGACAGAGTTGCAGCGGGGTCGGTTGAGTATAGTCCTCTTGAAGGGTTATCATGTTCACGCAGAACATGATAGAGTAGGAATTGCTTTTTCCACGCTTGGTCATTGTTGCAATTGTAGTGAACTGGAGATATAATGACAAAGAAGGAATGAGTGGATGATGGTGGTAAGGAAGGAAATCGACTGTAATTGGGGTTCAATGAATAAATTTTCATTTTCACATGGCTAATATTACAATCTATGGGGGTTTGAATGACTGTTGTAAAAAGTTGGGCAAAATCCAGGTCAACCTTGCTGGCGATATCCATAAAAATCCAGCGCCACAAGTTTCTCCAGGGAACTCGATTGTTTCCTTATCCTGCAGTCCGTCCCGTTATGACTTGTTGCCTCGGAATCTGTTTCTCATATCCAGCTGTGGTTGACCAGTTGAGAAGGAGTTGTTGGCAACGGAGGTCGGGTTAGAAAGAAGTGGCCATGAATAGTCTTCACGGTAGTACATAAGCGATACGGTAGCCTTTCAGGCTGCTTGCACGATTACCATTCCACGTCGGCACTCGAAAAAGCTCCTTTTGATGGCTGCGCACTCGGCCGGGACTCTGTATTCGTTCTCGGCCCGGAGACATTCCTGTGGAGTGAGTCCATCGACAAGCACGCAGTTAGACTTGAGAACGCATTCCACCAGCTCAGCCCGGAGTTCCTTGCAACTTGATGGCATGCTGTGTTCTGTGTTGTATAGAATTCCTTTGCTCACGTCGAGTCGTCGCTGGAGTGATTTGGTGCTGTGTAGAGTACAAGTAGCTGTTTCTCTTTGCCGAGTGCTCTCTTGTTTATTGCCCGACGAGGTCGTGACTGCAGGCAGGATAGATGTGTCGCTGCCAAAAGCGGACAGTAACAAACCTTCTCTCATTCCACTTCCGCGCCACGAACAACAGGAATGGTACTAACTCACCTGTCAAGAACAGGGAGTGCTGCTATCCGCGTTAAGGTACTTACGCCTGCTCGAGTACCTCAATGTGAACTGAGGCCGAGAAGAGGCAGACCAAGCTAATGCTTGTTCATATTCCACAGCTGGATCTAGAGGCGGCTTTACTATCATGCTACAGGGGCCAGGATGCTGTCCAGGATTATCCCAGGTTCGTTTTTACGATCATAACTGGTTGTTTGATGAGATTGATGGGTACTGAGAGGATTGATGAGACTCATGGCCCTCTTGGATGGCGCGGATAGATCGACAAAGCGACTCATGACACGGCTGATGCGCATCCTCGCTCTGGAACCAGATCGGTTCTTTGTTCGGCCCCTCATCCATGGATACATGTTCGATACCTGGTCATCACGTAAGTCCGACAGATGCGATTGACCTTTGCAAACCCCTCTACTTGATGAATTGTACCCCTCTTAAACGCCGATCGTTTTTATTCATCAGGAAAGTGCAGGGACGAGTTCCTGACATTGAACGCTTCTTGGCCAATAACCACGGACTCTTATCTGATGCTGGTGGAAGAGCTGGACCTCAAGGACGAATTACTGTCTGCACTTCTAACCATTTCGCTCGAGGAGAGAATACGCCTGGTCGATCTCATTCTGAACTCGTCAACACTCTCTTCCGGATTGATGGCGGATCTATTTCTATGGACGACGGATTTGGTGACATCCAGTTATCACAGGAACAATGCCCAGCCTAAAGAATGTGATGCACTGACAGATTTGTGGAGAAATCGAATCAAGGAGCAGGAGAGTTGCTGGCGACTCTTTCGTATGGCGCTCAGACGAATACTAAATCGGCTATTTGTGCGCCTCGCTTGGAGAGGACCATCGCACGTGGCACATTGGAACATAGGCCAGGCTGCTCAACCAATATCGCGATTGCCAGGGCAAGGTCTGCAATCCAATGAGGCGGCCGATATCATTCAGGGATTCTTGATGGATTGCGTGCGTATCGCCATTCAGCATCCAGACAATAGCATTGACTTTATTCAAAGGCATCGCTGCGATATCGAACGTTGGAATAGCCTAATTCCAGGATTCTCAGACGTATTACCAGAGCAGCAGGATGCAGTAGGGCCATTGAAAAAAAGGCGCATCGAGGTATGTCAGCGTATCTGAGAATCTTTCCTGTTAGGCTTCATTTTAGGAATGAGGTTACTGACAGGGCCACTGATGGTTTTTCTGAACAGGCCCTACCCAAGTTGACTAGAGCGGACAGGCTGCAGACGAGGTACTTGTGTAACCGTTCTCAACCAGAAGTAATAGTGCAAAGCCTAGCTATTACTAACCCCTCGATTTGATCGTTTCCTTGTAGAATGCGAGAGGACGTGGCCCTTCTCAAAAATAATCCTGATGTACAGCATGGGTTACAGGAACATATCTCGGACATCACCTCGGAAAATGGACACCGCAGGGCATTCATTAGCGTTTGCAAAACTATTCGGCGACATCAGGATCTACCAGAAATACCGCCTAATGTTATCGCCAGGCGTGCGTTCGACGTACCACAGTGTAACCTGAGTGAAGATGACGAACTACAACAACAAATTGCATGGGTCGAGTCGACAATCCAGCAACGGCTGCCCGGTTGGCGCTCATGCGTGAAGTTGAAGCTTCAGTTCTTTGCGGTCTTTGAAGAATCGTAAGATGTTTATTATGGATATGGTTTGTACAGTTTGCTCTGTAATGATCTGAAATTGGCTGTTGACTCTAACTCATTTTCACACTGACATATAGGGCTATCAACGCAGGATTTGCAGACCTCATTTGCGCATGCGACTTGCATTGGGAACTTTGCACAGTGCTGTGCAGATATTTAAGGAGGCATCGAACGGATCCAGCAAGGTTGTCATTTGAAACATTCCAGATGGGTTGCGAACTACTGCTGGCCGTTTTTTCAAAGAAAGAGCAGCTGCAGTGTCAGTTGAGAGATTATCTGTATATGAAGTCGAGGTAGGGCTGACTCTTGGCATAGATTCATCCGAAGCAGAACTTTGTAAGTAGAATTAACAAACATTTTCATTTCTGTCCTCTCGTAGACTCATTTGCAAGAATGTAAATGACCCATTGTTTGGTTCCTGGGAGCTTTGGAGACTGAATATCGACATTCAACTCATCGCAACGCTCAATCAACTCGTCGCCACCAAGAGTTCAACAGTTCCCCAAAGTACTATCGAGGCGCTAATCAAGGTAACTATCGCTTGGGATCTGACACTCTGTCGCGCGAGGCCCAATAGCAAAGCTAATACAGTTTTGAGTATAGATCTCCTTGATAGCCCCGTATCAAGTCATCGCAAAGATCGTTCATAATGCGTTTGTCAATCGCGGTCAATGTTCTATCCTCATCCAATTACTCGTCAATAGTGGGCAGTTACCTTGGCTGCGCACTGATTCAAAGGCGCCAACGCTACTTGTTAGCGTCATTCACGATATCCTCTGTGAGCCGGACTCAGAAATAACAGTGTATAATCAAGACCAACATCGCAATTTCGTCGACTTTGTCCTAAAGGCCACCTCTACAGAGAACCGTCACGGGCAAGTGGTGATCAATCCAACAGAGTTCTTGGTGGGATGTGCGGCTCCGTTACTGGCGCGAATGATCGGAGGGGAGAAGAGTACTTTCTTCCGGTCTGTGACAGGGATCTTGATGAAGATGTACGGGTGGAAATCGACGGCATTATTAGTCAATGGCGATTGGTTTGACCATCAGATTCATTTGCGGATCCTCCTTCAGCTTCTACAGTTGCGGACCATGGAGAGTGCTTGGACTGCGGATCAAATCGATAGCCGATTTCAAGTTCCAGGCAGTGGAAGGCAAGGATTTGAGCACAAGGGACGAGGTGGTGGCGAACATATGGAGGACGTATCAGGACTTTGTGAACGCCTTGTTTCAAGAATGTCTAGCCACATTGGTTCGATGGATATCAACATGCAGACTGGAAACGATGTCGCTGATGTTATTTCAAGGACGCTTGAACAGAGCATCCCCTTACTCGATTTGGAATCGCAGCTGGTGTTGGTGCCGCTTTTAAGCGCATGTCGCCAGCATCTGGACACGGACCTACCTCTGCCTGCATTGCCGCCTACAATCTCGCTCCTCTGCCAGGATCATTTGAATACGTTCAATTATCAAGGATCCTCCGAGTTCAGCGGCAAGCAGGACCTCTCGACAGCATTGTTCCTCGTACTGGATGTGGCGCGCATGTGTGAGGAGACAATGGCGGAAATAACCTGGGCGCTTGGCGCAGCTACAATCATCTCGCAGACAGATGAGGAATACTTGGGGCAGATCTTTGTGCCTGTCCTGTACCGCGTTTTAAGCATAAGCTCTCGCTCTGAAGGCTGTCGCTTGCTCACTAAAGGAGCACCAAGAATGATCCTATTCTGGAGTGGATTACCAGATCTGAGTTTCTATTGGGACGTCGTGGACGTACAGGAGGTTATGAAAAAACCATTGGGACCATACTGGGATTCGTTTACTCAAGCTGGGTATCATAGACAAGGCACTCGAGAAGCGAAAAGCAAATTTACGGTTCTCGGTTATCAGGATATACTGCTACTAGTGCTCCATGTATCCGAGATGTTGCTCAGGTTCTCCTTGGAACCTTTGCCACCCAAAGGGACGGAACTTGTATTGGATGCGTTCCGCTTGGAGTTGGGATATGACGTGATGATAGATCAAGTGGCGTCCTTGATCCTGTCATCCATCAGGGTATTTGAAGCTTCTCAATGAACGCTGCCTGCGAAGAGGAATATGCAAATGTTCGAACTCTAACTGAGTTTTCTCTTTATCTACATCATCGTTTAGTCCCTTAGCATAGATTGGGTGACAATTCCAACCGACCTCGTCTTATACTGCTTCATGGCGGTCAGCAAAATGTCCTATATCGCTGCAAATTTACACACAGAAAAGATCTTCAGCAACCGTCTCCGCCCTCATTCCGTCTTTGCAGCAAAAGCGAATACAGCATGGACAAGAGATTATACCAGGTTTATGAGACAGACGGATACGGATTTGGAGCAACAGGAACGCATAGCCAGATCCAAGGCTAGAGATGAACTCGTCCTGACCGCCATGAACATTTCAGAGGAGATTGTGCGGCGCCATGATCTGCATTACAAACTGAACGTCAAGGATAATCAAGGAGTGCCAAAGGACGAGCAAAGCAGTAAGAGCCAGGGAGAATCAAGGGATACCGAGTCTCGTATATTGGAACTGGACAATGGCTATCAGAATAAGGATAGGCTATCGTCATCCGGCTTTGGTACTGGGCGGGGATCTGACGGCATGGATGAAGGGACCAAGGCCTGGTTTGCCAGTATCGCAGCATCCACGCCGCGCGTAGAAAGCACTGACAGAGGTGAGGTCGTTATAAACATAGTGGTGGTGGACTCGAAGGCATCAGATATTGATAGTGATAAGGAGGTATCAAATAATGCCTTGAGTGGAGCACTGAAGACTGAGGCAAGTGATGAGGCCAAACCAGGTGGAAACGAAGCAAAGGAGGGAGAGCTCCCATCTAGACCTTCTGTTCCGGCGTTGCTTATGACACCGCAGCAGCAAGACGACCGTGAAGAGCCTTCGACACCCGTTCCTGCTGCTTCTGATTTAGGATTGACGCAGGCAACAGTAGAGAAGCCCGATGTTCTAAGGCTCTTATCGCCAGATCAAGTCGATTGCTTGGTTCTCGCTTTGAAGCTTCTCCCAGCACAAGAGCAGCAGGCTGTGAGAGCAAGGTTGTTTCGACTTTTGGAAAAGGACGATGACAATCTCTCGGTTTAAGGGCGGACGAAAATATCAAGGTCAAAGGCATCAGCATGTAACGTCAAGTTGTTTATAATGTACATTCTATTGATAAATGCGAAGAAAAAAAACAGCAAAGTGGATGGAATATTATGAAGAGAAAGTCGATGGAGTCGACTCTAGCTCGGTATTGGTTGAGTTCTTGCGAAGTTGAACTAAGAATCCAGTGTGCCCAACGGGCATGTGTAATGGTCGACAGATCCAGCCGACAGCGTCATCTGGGATGTTGTCCGCTGCTGTAGTAGCCAATGCTTCCTTGGTCTCCTGATGTTCCTCGTTATCGTCTTTCTTTGCTTGCTGCAGCGGCAAGACTTTTCCGAGCCCTCCGACATGAACTCGTCCTCTGACTTTGCTTCTGACGGCCGCAGAGCGGACATTCCACTCTTTCCAATCGACCTCGAGTATTCGCTCGACCGTATAGTCATCACAGTTCTGTCGCATCCACTGAACGAGTTCCAAAATTTGGGACATGTTAACCATGTATAGACACATGGGTCGATCAGGCTTAAGTAGCGGCAAGAGGTCGAAGAGGACGCTTTTGCAATCTGGTAGGTCTAAACTGATGGCGTCGTATTGGTGGCCCTTCGGGTGAGGGTTGGGCGGGAGGACTTCTTTAGTCTCCATGAATTTTTGGCGCTTTATTTCCAGAGGCGTCAAAGGTCTGCCGTCCTTGTCGCACATAATTTCTGAATCTCCTTTCACGCCAGATGTTACTGGGGTTCCAGAAGATGACGGTGAGTGTGGATTTGCTGTTCTGAGTGCGTCGTCCGTTTCACCCTTGAGATGCCTGATCACTTTTTGAAGCCCGCCGACAGATCTCCAAAAGGTGATTCCAGGACGATACATGCCTCTCCAGAAGCGTTCGATGTTCTTTTCAGCCTGTTGTGAATGCTCGTTACGGATGTCGACGGTATCGAGATGTGATCCGGGTGCTTGGATCGCGCGTTGAATGTAAAGGGTCATGGAACCATTGCCAGTGCCGGCTTCGAGGACATGGGCTCCAGGGAAGAGGTCGAGGAGGTGGACAGCTGAGGTGGCGTCCTTGGGGTACATGATGCTCGCTTGACGCTTGACCTTTGTGCAGTACCTAGTTTGTTATGGCCACCGAATTAATTATCCTTGTAATGGACCGCGAACCAAAATGTTTGAGGGTGTTGAATGGTGAATGTCTGGGAGGAAGGACTTACTCGTCTAGACTTGGCCAGTGTAGAGTATATTTGGCCCCCATGTGGGACTTGATGGTCGAAAGCGGTGATAAACCGATGATTTCGTCGTGCTTCAGTCGGCCCATGTTGTTGTCCCGGAAGGCGCCTTTCTGTCATTGACAACCATAATCGACTGTCAGTCAGATCAGTTTCGTTTGTCCGAACGATCCATGATAACAGAATCGGAAGCTTTACTACGTATACCTTCAATGGTCCTATGAGCCGTCTTTCGCCCTTATTATCGCTGAGGATAATGACATCTCCATATCGAAAACGTGGGTCAACTTTTTGGGAGATATATCCCTCGGATGCATCTGATCCAGCGGTAGCGGCAGTATCCGTTGAGATAATCCTCGCACATCGGCGAGCAATTGAAAGCCTGGATCCATATGTATGAAGATATCCGGGTGTACCTGAAAGGAGACCGAGGGAGCGTCTCGAGAGTGTTGCCGTTGCCATGAGGTTTTGTCCTTGTTCTTGCCTCCGTTGCGTGATCGTTGGAAGGATGATTCAAATGCAAGATCTGTTTCTGGTTCTCCACAAAATGTGCTTGAGTATGGGCAAGCCACGCGGGTTTAAAGTTGGAACATGCTATCATGTTTCAGCTCACTTTTACTTATCCATATTGACAACTACGACCATGTCCGGAACAGAAGCAGGAACAGGACCAGGAACAGGACCAGGCGCAGAAACAGGAGCAGGCGCAGGAAACAGGAGCCCACCATACTGGCCGGAGCACCCACACAGAGGCCTACCTCATCTTCAGCACCAGCAGCACACCAACCTGCATCACCAGCATCATCAGCGGACAATGCCGAACGCGATGCATGAACCAGGTGTGGGACGAGACGATGTGATCAAGAGTACCGATGACGATGCCATCATCAGCAAGCTGTAAGCGGGCTTTACCTGTTCAAAATGTTCTTTATTCATAATCCTGCTACTTAGATGTTCGCCGTTTTCGTGTTTATCTGCTATAGATCGGCGGTGAACCTTGAATACTTGAACGACCCTTTTGTAAAGCATTTTGTGAAACGACCTTCACGTCGGCCACCATTGATCAACCGAGGTGCGTGTTTGTGAGCAATGACCCCTTCGTTATATTGGTCCCTTCGCTGAAAAAAAGACATTGGACTGAGTATCTCAACCTGTCCATTCTTCGTCGGGGACTCTATTTAGGGTCGTATCTGAGGACAGCGGCGTTGGACAATTTGACGGAGCAATTCATGAGAAGCGTAGCAAACGAACCGACGACTGCATCACCAACTGCGACGGCAACGACCACGTCAGGCTCCAAAGTGCCATTGTCAGCAGGTATCAGGAAACAGATCGTTTCATTGGGCTGTGGTTCCGACACGCGATATTTCAACTTTAAGGTACTGCACTAGGCGCAGATATTGCATGTAACATGTTATCGCCCTCCAGAAGGAAATTGGTGCTTACGAGGAATTCTTATGCCCTTCTATAAACCAGGCAAAGGGACTTTCGGTACAGAAGTACTTTGAGATCGACTTCCAAGAGTCGACTGCCAAGAAGGCCGCCGTGATCAAGAAAAACAAGGCCTTCACGGACATCATTGCCGACCCCGATTTGAAACTCGGTATGCCTGGAAAACAACACGGAGATGTTTCTCCTTGCGATATCGATCTTCCTCTTTGACTCTAACCAGCGCTCCTCCGGTTTGCCAATTTTTTTAACCCCAATGCTCAGGACTCGGAGGAACAGAGCTCTATTCAGAGGACTATTGTCTCCTCTCTGGTGATCTCCGTGAATTCGTCGACATCATCGTCCCAAAACTTAAAGCCCAAGGATTCGACACCAGGTACCCCCTATCCTCCACCTTTACTCCTCTCTTCCTCTCTTCCTCTTCTCTTTGTATCCTCATGTCCTTACTTTCTTAGCTCTCGCACAACCCATACTAATACAGCCTCACTATGTCCCGACTCTTAGTCTCCCAACACTCTTTCTTTCAGAATGTGTCCTGATCTACATCCAACCGCACGCCTCGGACGCGATTGTCGACTGGGTCGGCAAGAACCTCGACGCCTCGCTCTTTGTCGTCTATGAGCAGATCAATCCCATAGATGCCTTTGGAGCCATGATGCTCCGAAACCTCAAAGCACGCCAGATTGAATTGCCAGGAATTCATGCATACCCGTCTCTGAAAAGCCAGGAGGAGCGTTTTCTGTCCCGTGGATGGTTGGCCGCCAAGGCTGTTAGCATGAATACGTTGCTTGATGATCTGCCTGAGGATGAGATGAAACGGTAAGGAAAAGTTACAGGCGGGTAGTATTGGTTGTTGAGGCGAAATCCATACGACTAACGCATTAATGTCTTCATTCTGTAGGATATCCGCACTGGAGATCTTTGACGAGGTGGAGGAATGGCAGCTGCTAGCGGGACACTACTGCATCGCCTGGGCTTATAACGCAAAAGCCCAGCCATCAGGCTACGAGGATGAGCGCGCCAAGCTGATCAGTCTCCTCTTCAACTCTGTACGCTTCACAGACAACAGCAAGTAAAAAAAAAAAAAAAAAAAAAACGAGGAATAGCAGAAGTCTTCAAAAACCAAGTTCACTGGGCCCAAATACTCTTTATTTTTTGTTATCAAAAAAGGTCAGAAAAACATATGAATAGGGAATGGATGGTCTTTGTATCCTTCTCATGCCGGTCTGAATGATTGGTTATATTAATAGAAAAGAAAAAAAAAGAGGGAGAAAGGAAACGAAAGAGAGCAAGCCGGATAAAAAACGTCTATGCCTTATTCTGTCCTGCCATCAGTTCCTTGTACAGCTCCTCTGCAGAAGACGCCTCCTTGACACGCACCATGAACTTCTTTGGCTTGCCGTCCTCAATTGCAAATAGTGTAACAACATTCTTTTCGACCTTCGGAAGCATGCCCTGAATAACCCAGCCTAACACATCATTTTCATAGCAAACACAAATTAGCACAAAACAAGATCACATAAAGGACATTAAACATGAAGACTTCCAGAGGACAACTTACTATTAATCTTGATCATTCCGGTGCCTCCTGTCCTCATAATCATACGGCGTTTTTTCGTCTCGTCGTTCTCATTCACCCGGAACTGTCCCACCCCCAGATCCTTATACTGACCATCATCTAATCCAAACAGCTTCGCCCGAACATCATATACCGTTGTCTCGCCTTGCTCGCCCTCACGATTCTCCAACAGCTGTGACTTCGTATCATCCGGTACTCCTTCATTGTCATCCTGGTTGCCTACGCCTGATGATGACAATGATGACGAGGATGTTGATACAGTCGCAGTCGAAGGCACCTGGAACGCAAATGGTTTGGGAGGGGTGCTTCCAGGACTCGTCTTTGGCGTGGATGTCGAGAATGCGAACGGCTTGGGTGGGTTGAATGAGAAGGGGGCTGGAGTAGTCGCCGCAGGCGCAATCGATGTCGTCGATGCCGCCGTTGATGCTGGCGCAAACGGTGCCGTAGAACCAAAAGAGAAACCACCGCTGCTATTGCTAGTACTGTTACTGGGGACTCCAAAGCTCCATGCAGACGACGCAGTCGGGTTTCTGGGTGGGTCTACTGCACCCTTCATTGAGGAAGATCCAAACCCACCAAATCCAATGCCTGAAAATCCGGGAGATGACATTGGTCCCGATGGCGCCGCTGCTGCTGCCAACGAAGCCGCAACTGCAGTCGGAGAGATATCCATCTTCGTCCCATTGTTATACGGGACTCCTGCAAAAGGATTCTTGGATGCCGTCTTCGCTGTAAGTTCCACTGGCAGTCCAAATCCTATCTTTGGCGAATCTGCAGCTCCTGCTCCTAACCTCGTAATCCTGGTCGCCGCATGATGCTCGCCCGTTGTCTTCTCCTTCGCGTCGCTATCGTCGTTCAACACAATCACTTGCGGCTCCTCGACTCCCAGGAACTTTTTGCGAATTTTAATGCGCTGCCCAAGATATGTATTGAAGATCTGGGCCAGGTTGACGATTGGATTATTTTCCAGGTCTTTTTGAATCTTCTTCAAAAAGTTCTGGTTAATGCCACGCAATGCTCGCTCATACCCCTCACGATCTACGGTGACAGAATCAGGGGAGGCGCTATCTGCAGAGGCCTTTTCTGGGGTGGCGATGGGCGTGGCGTTGCTGCCAACGTTGAAGGTGAATGTGCCCTTGGCAAATGGTGAGTCGGTGGTGGGCGCACTGAATACTGGTTGTGTTGTGGGAGCAGTGGCGCTAGTGGTAGTAGTAGTGCTGATGGCAGGCTGTGGGAGCGCTCCAAATGCTACATCAAACAGCAAAGAGAAGGACCATTTTTGTTAATACTGATAGGGGGTTTCCTTCCTTCGTCAACTCCAGTAATCGCCAACATACAAAATCCACATTGCTAAACATACAGAAGGTAGACTGGGATATTGCTGGCACTACGGCTGATGAAGCAGCTGTAGTGGTAGCGGATGTGCCAAAGTTAATGTTGGCAAAGGGATTCGGTTTTGACGCCTGCTGGGTAAACGGATTAGGCCGTTCCTGCGATGGAGGTAAATTTGGAGGCGGGCTCGAGAGAGACGAGAAAGGCATGACTTTCTTTGCACCGTCATCGCTCACATTCGAAGATGTCTAGAAAAGGGCGTATCCGTACAGGATTAAAGGATAAAAGGAAGAAAAAAACCGCATTCGCAGGCTGTATGAGTATTGTGTGCTCCGCTGGATCTTTGCGCAATTGTTCCATGGTCTGTTGTTCCTGTTCTTTTGACACGCCATACCCTTGAGCCAAGACGACGCATCGCTCTTATACTAGATCGAAATCGGAGCAAAAGACAGCATGTGTGTTAAGATATATTGACGATGACGATGACAGAGAAGGTGCGGGAGGGGCACTAGAGTGAAAAGAGATCTCCGCGTACGGTCTTTTTGCCAACTCATCGTTCGACGCCTTCCTGAAGGTGCCCATCACGGACGATGACTGATCATCGTCATCGTCCCGCTCGTATTCATCCTTTGTGAGCTGGTTCTCTGTGCCGCGCTTCGACATGCTGCTGGTTGCTTCCTGTTGTTGACACCTTCAGTAAGATATTATTCTAAAACCATGCGAGAAGCGTTAGTTTAATAATAGAGGTGATGAGGGCCATCTTTGCGGCGGACAGAAAGACCTTACCGAAAATGTAAATCGCAGGGCGAATGGAGGACAATGCTACACTCCAGAGGGAAACGCGCTGACTGATCGAAGCTGTGATTCAGCAGAGGCGCTGTGGTCAAAAAGGAAGGATAGAAAAAAGTAGCCTTTGCAGAAATGTGAATCTGCTCTGCTCAGCCAGGATTAGGGCGACTCATATAAAGATCTTGTTTGCACATTTCTGTATCAAGTCGGTCTATTTATGTTTCTCAACAAGAGCAGTCCAATAGGGGAGCTTTCATTTCCTCTGTGCTAACGAACGCGCTCAACAGGTCAATAGGTTCAATCGGTTCAATAGGTGTACTTGTTCATCCATGCAAGTTCTTTATTTTATTGCGCTCTCCTTCAGTCCTGGAGTGTTCAGTTGATATCATTACATGTGGTACGGGAAACAAAAGAATAAAGGAAGGAAGGAAAGAAAGAAAGACTCCATTGTCGATCCGCGTATATATTTCTTTTTGGTCGCTTTGCCCTGAGGTCCTGATAAATAAAAGAGCCAAGGAAAGCCAGCAATAGTAGATGACTGCTCTACTGTTGATATTAGCTGTTGCAATGTTGAAGCCCTTTACCGTTCCTTTATCCATTCTAATCCCTGCCACGACCACGACCACGGAAGTCGCCTCTGTCACTTCCACGTCCACCAAATCCGCCCCTTCCTCCCCTTCCACCTCGAGCTAGCGATAATACAAAAATATGCAGTTGAAGACATTGAGGATCTGTCCTTGATCCCAAGAACTTGACTAAAGATCAACACACCAGAGATCGAAAAAAAATAAGACAATGCCATACCTTGTGCTCTTGCCACTGTTGCTTTGCCTCTGCCTAATCCAATACCCTTGCCCTTCATTGACGCTGCCCCTTGCTGCTTAAACATTGGCGCATTCTTGAGCATGTCTGGTACGATGAAGAACCGAATATGAGATCCTCGAATATAGACCTGATCCAATTGTGTCAAACGGCCGTCCCTTGCTGTCATCGTGATATCCTTCAGCTGAATATTCATGTTGTCCTCAGCTATACAGTTGCGAATATGGCATAACAAAAAACGAATTTGTCAGTCCATGTACAATATCCATCACCGTATCGAGTGTCTCTAACCTTATGCCTATTCCTTCTGTTGTGCTGCTGCTACTGTATTGATTATTTACCCTCAAAGAGTGTGCCTCGGTAGACAGATCCGGTCTTCAGCTCGATGGTGATGATGTGGCCCTGGGCCTCGTGCAACAGCTTGATGGGAACACCGATCGACATGGCGGATATATGAATACAAGTGTGCGTGGAAGACGGTGTATGTTACAGGAATGCGAAGGGCAAGTGCATCAGCACAAGGATCTAAGCAGCACGAATGATCCGCACATCTGCGCACGAATATGTGACGTCATAGTTTTTAGCCTCGCATGTTAAAAGAAGTAGTCTATGATTTTGAAGCATACTTTGGATTCGTATAGGTTGCTTAGGGGTGCATGGTATTCAAATACAATGCCGTCAAGGTTCATCCACTACAGTTCATCATGGGCATTTGAGCCATTCTGGTGCTCTGCTTTTGAACTTGGAGCAGCCTGCTGCTCAAGAGTCGCATCGCCTTCCGCCTCCTTCTCCGATACGGATTCTGCTCCACCTTGGTTCACCTCCCCCACAACCTCCATATGTTCCCCTTCCTTGTTCATATTGCTGCTGCGATCTTCCTCAGCATTAATTTTCTCTACTGAGTGGTCATCGCGCTCCTTGGGCTGAGAGTGTCTTGAGGATTGCTCCTCCTCTGGTGCACTCGTCTGACTGGTGGGGACAGGAATCTGCTCTCTATGTTCCTCCTCTGTCGGTGCCGCCGTCGCCTCGACAATGGGCTTTTCTTCCGCGACGACTTCCACTGGCTCCACAGGGACCTCATTCGTGGTCGGAGCCTGCTCATCCTGCTCAGAGGCTTCTGTGGGACGGTCCATAAACTCTGGTGTCGACTCGACCGTGCTGGATGAAGGTTCTGCTGGGGACTCTGAAGTCACCTCCGGTTGTGTGACAGAAATATGTTCGCCCTCTGATGCCAAACTAGGATCGGCCTGTGTTTCTGTGGACGCTACTGGCTCAGGGATGGGTTCTTCGGCCGGCTCTACATGAGTGGGTTCCTCCGGTTTGGTCTCATCAGGCTGGACGATCTTTCGATCCTCGCTATTTTCATTGCGCTCGCTGACATCTTCATGTACATTCTTCATAGAGTCCTTAAAGGTTGCGATCCGGTTGATAATGTCTTCATCCAGGGGCCTTTTCTCGTTGTGGCTGTAATCATCGCTATCCCTGCCGTTCGTTTCCAAACCTTGGTGCTGCTCAGTCTGAGATCCCTCCGATTCCTTTTGCTCCTGCTCATTAGTTTCCGTAGCCAGCTCCACTATCTTCTCCGCTTGATGTTGGACAGCTTCTACAATAGGCGCCACGTGCTCCAGAACAGCTTCCTTCACATCCGCAATGTCTTCCCGAACAGCCTGCACAATCTTCTCCAGTCTATCGCCAACGTCTTCTTTCACAGTGTCGATTGTACTCTCGAGGTTTTCTGTGAACTGGTTCTGGCCGTCTAGTGACACCACTTGCTCAGATACATGCACCGGTTGCCTCGAAATCCTATCCACTTCAGGTACCTCGTTTTGAGGCATTTCTTGTTCATTTTTGAGTGCCTGCTTAGCACCTTTCGATGATTCAGGCTTGAAGGGGTACGGCAAGATGGAGATAACCTAGTGAGCATTATAAGTATTAGTATTCGTCACACAGTAAATCAAGGGGGTTTGGTCACTAATTCTCCCTTACCCTGTCCTTGGCGTTGTCCACATGTTTTTTGGCGGTAGCATCGTAAACACGTCCAGCTGCAGATGCAGCGCCTTGAACAACAGGGTCTGCCACCTTGAGGTAGATACGATGACTCTGTCGAGCAACAGGCTTGACATAGCGGTCAACATGGGTTCCCAAGTAAGTATTATAATAAGGTGCGAACAAGGGCTTTGCGAGACCACTAATGCCGTTAGTAGCCTTGCAATAAAGACCTCTGACACCTGCCGCGTCCTGCCCGCAGTTGAAGACTGCAGTGTAGCCAAAATAGATCAATCCTCCTCGAATCGCCCATGTCTTCAAAGTCTTTGCTGCAGAGGGGAAAGGCTATACAGTTTGAAACGAAAACATGCGTATGAGTATATTAAAGTGAGTACAAACATCCAGAATATAGTAATAAAGACAGATAGACTGCTCTACCTTCTGGCCAGATGCACTAAGGATAGCAGGCCCTTTCTGGCCATGCAACTTGGGAGACGGAGGCGACTATAGCATAGAAAGATGCACAAACACGTAAGTCAAGATGACAGAATTCAATAAATCGCTACGTTCGCAGTGGATTTCATTCTCCTCATACCATGGCGTTCGCGCTGGGAGGGCTGCCGGCTTTTGATGCATTAATTTCGCCCGCGACAAGTCGCTTCTGTAATCCAGCTTCCCTGGGTCGAACACTACTTGACGCCGCGTTAGCTCCCTGAGGCACCATGGATGTTGCGACGGACGAATGTCCCACCGACGATTCATCGCCGCGCTGCGAGAAGGGCTGCGATAGCGTGGGTTGGCCAGTCTGGCTGTACATGACTGGCGCTTGAGAAGGTCGCTCAGGTGGAACATACGGCGTAAACACTTTGTTACCCGGAGGAGGTCGCACACGGGGTTTAAGTGAGCCTGCTGGCGGAAAAGCGCTTGCAGGAGGGGAAGAAGGGTTGTTAGATGGCTGAGCAATCCGTGCTGGACCAGAGCCCATAGAATTTGACAGCTGTCTTGGTAGTCCTCGAGGTGGTCCCGTTGGAGGACCTCCTGCAGCTGTTGGTGGGGATTGATCGATAACAGGCTGGGTGGTGGGCGCTTTGGAAGGTGCCGATGGAGGCACTACAGGTTTACTACCCCCTTCGATATCGTCATCTTTGAAGCCATCGTCATCTATATCGAAGAGCGGCTCATCAGGTTCGACTAATGGAAATACTTCAGGCTCAGGCGATCTGAAGGGCTGTGGTGGCTGTTGCTGTTGCTGTTGCTGTTGCTTTTGCTGCTGCTGATGTTGAACAGGAGATCTTGGAGGCACTCCTGGTGTTGGACCCAGCACTTTGATCTCGGCAGCCCCCAGCGGCTTCTGTCCTGGTGATGTAGGGACGAAATTTGGTCGCGGTGAAGGCGGCTGTAATGCGTTTCCAGCTTGTCCGTGGTGTTGCTGCTGGCCGGCTCCATGTCCAGGGAAATGCTGAGGGTTAGGTGGGAGAGCATGTTGTTGTTGAGGTGAGAGCTTTTGCTGGCGCAGGCGCTCGCCATTTGACACTCTCTGGTCCGCCACTGGCTGATGTTCTTTCTCAGTACGGGCCTGGTACACAGAAGGGTTTGGGGCGTGATCCTTGGATCCGCTAGGTTCACTAGGATGAGGCTGTGGGGACGACAACTGTTGCTGCTGCTGCTGTTGTGAAGGCTGTCCATGGTGAGGAGGTGCAGGGCGCTGTGGCTGTCGCTGTGTAGGAGTCAAGTTTTGTGGGGTCTGTGGTTGTCCATGGCTTTGAAGATGCGCTGGATGGTTTGGTGGGGCCTGTTGCCGCATTTGGTCTAAAATTGGTCTGGCGCCAGAAGGTCGTTGCTGCACCTGCTGAGGTCTTTGCTGCTGCTGACCGCCATTGGGCTCACTTGGACTGAGTGTCGGCATTTCCAACTGCACGGAAGTCCCTGGGCTGGCGTGTTGAAGAGGGGCTTGACCTTGGGGAATCGCCTGGGGTGGCCTGGGTCTTGACTGCTGCTGCACTATGGGTCCGGGAGGCCGAACAGTAACAGGTTGATGTGCTTGCACAGGAGATCCATGTCCAGGGGCAGGACGGACGCCAGGTTGCAGAGAAAGATGTGGATGAGACATGGATGGCCTCATGACTGACTGCTGCTGTTGCTGTTGCTGTTGCTGTTGCTGTTGCTGTTGCTGTTGCTGTTGCTGTTGCTGCTGAGGAACAGAAGGATGTGCCTGGGTTCCGTGACCCTGTGGAGAGTACTGCATAGGTTTGATCTGTGGCGATCGTGCCCCCGCACTAGGGGAAGGTGGTGTGAATCTGCTACCGCCCGGCTGCATGTTTGGTGCTCCTCCTGTCAAGTTTGGGTGAGAGGTAGATGGACGCAAGTTAGGTCCGCTTGACAATGACTGATGTGCCTGTAATGGGTACTGCTGCTGCTGTTGTTGCCCTAGATGCATCGGTGAGCGCAAAGGCTGAGTAGGTTGCGCTTGGGGCGATCCTGCTCCAGGCCTCAATTGACCTTGGCTTCCAGAATTAACAGAACCGAGCATTGGTTTTCCAGGGTGAGTAAATTGGGATGGCTGCTGACCACCCGGCGGAGGAGGGTGAGGCCGTGCCTGCTGCTGCTGTTGCTGCTGTTGCTGTTGAGGCGGCGGTCGCTGAGCAGGCACAGGTCCTGGAAAGACACCAGGAGGACGCACTGGGCCGGACACTCCCTGTTGGACACCTGGCTGTGTCGGCTGCTGCATAGACCTGGCGTTTGGGTTGATGGGGGAATGCTGTTGTCCCGTGAAGTTATTAGGGTCCTGCTTCTGAAAGGGACTCAAGATTGGTGATCGGCCAGCCTGAGAGCTACCCTGCATCGGCGGCTGAAGCTGCTGTTGTTGCTGTTGCGGCGGTGGTCGTTGGTTGGGTGGATATGGTGGGCGCACGTTCAAGCCCATGCTACTGTTTCCGGGTGAGGCAGGTGGCCGCGTCTGAATGTTGACAGGAGGGCCGTTCCTAGGGATGGGTCCACCTAGGATGGTTGGTGCCAACGGGCAAGCAGAGGGCTAGGTTAATAAATGAAAGAGGGATAGATCGATCTGGCAGACAGGGACAGATACTCTCTTTGTACCTGGGATGTTTGGATCCATGGCGTGTATAATCCGCTCGTCTTAGGGTTCTGAGGTTCGATGGGTTTCTGACGAAAGAGTGGAGCCCGGCTGGCGCTTGGTTGGGATGACGAAGAAGGAAAGGATACGGATCAAGTTGGGACGCGACTTTTACGGCAACGAATGAATCCTAGCGCGTTGTGGTATCCCTGGTTGCTGAAGAATGGCGGATCGAAAAGACGGGATGCGAGGGCCACGGAACCAAGAAGGAGAGGGAAGAAAAAATGGGAGGAGTGCTGGATGGATGGGGAAAGATGACGGATGATTGCGATGATATGATGTCTGCGTCTCTTACTTGGATGCGGTGCTCAGTTGTTCTCAAGCGTACAGGGAGGGCGCTGCACGGAATGTGCCACGTCACAGCGATCATCATCAATGCTCCCATGTGCGGCTGACTTACTGCAAAAAGGCCTGAGTACTTTTCCCGCTCCTTTATCCTTTTCATTTCTCCTTGATTCCCACATACAGCGTTTATTTACAATGGTAAAAGACCATGGAGGATCAAAACTACGTAGTGTTGTATTTATGGGCACAGGAATGGCTACCAAAAAAAAAAAAAAAAGGAACAAAGGCTGTTAGCCAAGAACAAGATGTGGGCGTTGGCGTCGAAAATAGCGGAACCATGGGGCTGGCAACGATCCGGACTCGAACCGGACGCGCTTCAGCTTTGGCCATGCCTCGACCAGCCAGCGAATCTCATCGTCTCCCAGGACAGTTTGCAAGTGCTTGACCCTGAACGACTCCAGATTCCCCAGCTTCTCCATTTTTGATAGCCCCGCTTCTAGCTGCAACACCAAGTTGGCACCTCCAATGGCCAGATCCTGAAGGCTCTCCAGGCGACTCAGCTGGCTGAACATCATTGTATGGTTCCCCTGGACAGATCCTCGCGGCCGTGTCATGTTGATTCCAATCATAATCAGGGTTTCTAGCTGTGTGCATGCCCATGGGGACTCTGGTCGGAAGATTGTCGCTGATATGACGTCCAAAGTGGAGATGTCCAAGAAGTTTAATCCTTTGCAAGTCTCTAGTAGTCGCAATAATCCCTCGTCCGTGATCTGTGCACACCAGGCCAGGTTCAAACTAACCACCTTCGGGCAGTAAATAGCGAGAGCTTCCAACGAGGCATCACCAATGTGGGTTCCACTCATATTTACCCTCTCCAGCTCTGGGCATGTGTGGATGAGGGCGAGAAGTGCCTCGCCGCTGACGCACTTGCAAGATTCCATGTTGAGGTGGGTAATGTGTTTATACACGTCCATGAGAGGAAGCAGGTCGTCCTTTGACAATATCGAGTGAAGATTCCTAGCCAGAGAGAGCTCCTTGATGTTGGGCGCATTGAGAAGGATGTTCTTGATCAAACTGCCAGGAGGGGAGGATCTGGTCAGCGCCAGAGACTTGATGTTCAGCGGAACCGAGCCCAAACTGTTGAGTGTAACTCTGTCCAGACGAACATCCTCCAATGTTAGATGCTCCAGTAAGGGACAGGACTGTAACAATGTCACGAGGGAAGACTCGTCGATATGGATCATGTTCTTGAGCTCCAGCCGCTTCAATCCCGCTAGTCCTGCGATGTGCAAGAGCGCACGAGAAGTAAGAGACCTGCAGCTAAAGAGATACAGCGACGAAACCTTGGGCGAGTTCCGAAGAACGTCTTCTAGTTTCTCGTCTGTTGCCAGTGTCCAGTTCAGGTGAAGTTCCTGTAGGTTGGTGCAGACGCGGGCGATCATATCCAAGTCGGCATTGTAGTTTTCGTGGAGCTCGACGATATAGTGTCCATAGCGCTCGAACTCTGGGAGGAAGGAGTCTGTCCACATATAACACTTCCATTGGATGGAGGACCAAAGAGCCCTGATGCTAGCGCGGTAGAATATCCGCGAGACAGAGACGCAGCTGTGGAGCGAGTGCTTGTCGAGATACGAGACAATCTCGTAGAGGACCTCTTCGATGTCCAGGGGTGAAGTCGGGGCAGCAAGCGGGGACGGAGGGGACGGAGGGGACGGAGGGGACGGGGGCTTCTCAGCCTTATATGGCATCTGCTCTTGTTGTTGTAGTTCCCGCTCCAGGTCCTGATGCGGTTCCTGCCGTAGCGGTGGTGATAGTTGCTTAGACGATAGCGAGGACAGGCTTATGGGAGCGCTTGTCATAATGATAATAATGAGATGTGTGAAAGAAAAATGCTGCCCGCCTGCAATGCATTATGAACCAGACCAACTATCACCTGACAATCCTGTTCGTTTCACAGAGGCATTCCGCCTCGACCAATAAAATCGCTTTTTCGCACGGCGACCATAATTTCGGCGCGTCTAAAGAAGCTGTAGAACGCTGGAGGAACGCGTTTTAATATTGTATGTTGTGGGTAGGATGGAGAAGGACGTTCGTAATCGAGATCGCAACATTAGGAATGTTCTGTCATCAGCTACGGCCTTGGGGTCAGCTATTTGATATTTATCAAAACACGGAAGATTTACATGCACACAATGCAGGGACTTATCACTTTTGGTGCGAGCCATATAGGGATACTCTTCGGGGGGCTAGAATACGATACAAGGGTCTACGTTATGGCATTAGGAGTTTTGCAATGAACGCAAATTCTCCTTGTAGGAGTACTACCCCCCTTTTTTTGAGGGTGTCTCTTTGCATCTGCTGCCTATTAGGCTACATTTGGCTTCTTGGGAGGCCAATATTCGGATGGAATCCTCCCTTGATGAACGAATCTGATGCTGCTGCCCCATACTAGTCGTCACCACTGTTATTAAAAGAAGAAAGCGGCAACAAATAGCCGGTTGCAGTTCTCGTAGATGTCTATCCCTCTCCTATTCAATCTTGTATGGGCCGACCAAAGAGACGGGCTCCCTCTGCCTGCATCAAAAGACCGAGTATGGTCGGGTAGCGCCAGCAGCAAGGAGGTATCCTCAGACATTGCAAACGCAGACTCCTACCTCCCATCCTCCTTCTCTTCTCGAGTTGTGCATCAGATTCCGTTGTCTCTTCGATGTTGCTCTTTTTGAGCCCTCTCCTTGCGCGCAATCCCGTCATGTTCTCTAACAAGACTACAGAATGATACCTCAACCGCTCAAAAATATACTTAAGCTTGTCTCTCCTTGAAATACATGGCTATATAGCTCACTTTCGTACTATAATAGCTTGACCGGTAAAAGGCCCCGTTCACAACAGACGGGGTCAGGAAGCATGGAACATCAAAGCATTAGGGACCAAGCCGACGATACAGTTGAATCCTTCGAGTTTGAAGGCCATCGAGCAAAATAGCGTATGCTTTCGATCCTTTTCTTCGTTACATTTCATCTTCTTATTTGCCTTGAATGCATGCATTGACTCTCCTCTTCTTGCTCGCTAACAATCAAACGCGATCCCCATATCCTTTTAACACAGCTGGTACCTTAACCCAACCCCTCCTCCTCTGACCGCTGCTACCTGTTCACTCCTTCCTTTTTGCACCATAATCATCTGCATTACAGTATTCATTCGACCGAGTCAGTTACTTCAGACCGACAGGGCTTTGATTCTAGCATAATCCGCATAGCCAACAAAGATGAGGACGCGGCTTTTCGCAGTAGCATCGATTGCTGTGCTAATCCACATTGCGTCCGGTAACTAATGAACACCCCTACCTCCACTTTCATCGCTCTCCTACATTCAACATTGCACTATCATATTCATGATGTTGCCATGTCGAGGACATAGACACAAAGACCAGTTTACATACACGCCGTATCAGATCTTATGTTCTCGTCACCTCTTACGCCAATCCTTCTGCTCTCGTACTGTTCTAGCGGACATCCCACAGAAAAATGCCATCCTTCCCTTCACACACGCTATCCAAGACCGACGCAGCGATCACGATGCCGCTCAGTCCGGACATGCCAAATCACTAGCGCATACCGCTGCTACTCCAGCAATCGCCCAACCGATTCCAACCCCCACTGTGTGCGGCAACGGCATTATTGAACACGGCGAAGAATGCGATTGCGGATCACCAACTGAATGCGCGAAAGATCCTTGCTGCAATGCCAAGACGTGCAAACTTGTACCGGGCGCACAGTGCAGGTAAGGCCGTGCAGCGATGTTCTTCTTCTTGTTCTTTACATACTCTATCCATGAAAGCTGGTAACTTATGAATCATTCCATATTGATAAAGCAATCAACAGGAGTGTTGCAGTAGATGCCAGTTTCAGCCCGTGAGCTTTGTCTGCCGCCCCGCGACCGCAGAGTGTTCCATGGCTGGGATGTGCACAGGAATTGGCGCAAAGTGCCCGGCCACGAATAAGAACAGCTGTCTCAAACACTCGGCATCAGCAACACCATCCAACACTACCGAATCCAAGGCAGGTGGAAGCTGTGAATCTTCACTGTACTCTGCCAGAGACCTTCAGTGTCAGGCATTGTCATCGGGGGGATTCAATTTTACAACGGCATGCGCAAAGGACACCCTCAGTTGTCAAATTAGTTGTACTGATCCCAAGGGCGGTTCTAGGGACTCGGCAAGATGCATGCAGTTTACGACGCATTTTTCTGACGGAACAGAATGTGGCCAGGATGGTGTCTGCACCAACGGGACCTGTATTGAGAGTAAGAAGCCGCTATGACGTGCACTGGTATGCTTAATAGAGCTCATACAATGTTCTTAACAATATCCATTTTTCTTTATATTCTCAGTAGAAGCGCCCTCGTTCTTCAAGAAGAATATCCTGGCGTTTGCAATCGGCGGAACATCCATTGCCTTTGCGCTCCTATTTTGTTTTGCCAGCATCTGTTTTTTACGTCGAAGAAGGAGGATACGTGAGGAAACCGCGAAGAAGCGAGAAGACGCGTACCCGATGTCCGAGAGCATCAACCGTCGAAGCAATATCCGCATCGGTTTGGATCCGAGCGAGAATGGCCTCGTCGCTACTTTGCCCGCATATGAACCCAAGAGCGCATTCACTCGACGATCTTCTGCGGGAATACAAGGCACCCTGGCTCGCTCAGCTAATGCCTATTCTCCGGACGCGTTGTTGACAGAGCAGGAGATGGTGCAGGATCTTGCGGTGAATTCTTACCCGGAACTGAACCCCTCCACCTCGAGCTGGCCCACGGCACCCATTCCGGTTACCCCTGCTTATCGTAACCCGTCCCCCGGCAATACTTTATGGAAAGATACCAAGAGCGGCAGTACGTTGCAAAAATCGATCTCCGTCAACAACCACGTTGTATACGTTCCACCACCCCTACCTTCTGTGACTCTTACCTCGTCTCCAAAAACCAACAACATGCCTTCCCCATATGCAGACGAGGCCATGAATGTCTTCTCGTCCGACAGTCCCCCTCTTTCTCCACTACTGCCCGTGAGATCCAAGGCGGCCAACATTAATATTATAGTAGAGAAATTTCGAAAGGAGACGGTGCAGATTGACGAAGCATCGGATAGTGGCATCAGTACTGCGTCTTATAATGACGAATACGAATCGTCAATCCTGCGCTTAGACAGTACCCTGACCATGGACAGATACAATGAAAACATTGCGAATAATCGCACTTCTGTGAGTTCGTTCTTTTCGACACTAGCTATCGATTCTGAGCCCGTCCCTGTGAACCGTCCACCGACGCCACCACTACCTGAAGCTTCGTTTGCGTCAGAAGAGTACATTATGCCGGCGCCAGTGGCCAGGGTTACAACTATCTCTACATCTCGAGCACCGAAGGCGCCATCGCCATCGTCCTCACTTGCGTCTTCCAAGTTGTCACCATCCTTATCAAACAAGAAGAAATCGGCGTATGAAAGAAAGCAGGAAGAGATCAAGGTGGCCGAGTGTTTCGCACAGGACCTTGGGTTCGATATCGTCAATCCATCGCCCATGGCCTCTCCTCGTCATGGAATATCTAGGACTACCGCGGATCAACAGAGGATAGTCTAGATCGAGGGCGCCACATTTGGCATTTAAAAAAGAGTGGTTTGTAAATCATGTCGAGCAGATTTGTGGACAAAAAATATCAACAAAATATATGCTTGACCGTGCCCTGCTTCACTTGCCCGTTCACATACCATGGACACCCTCAAATGGGGCGCCCGCTCCTAAATCATACCTCACGAGTTGCAGATATAGTAGTTCATAGTTCATACTCAGCTCAGCCGAGCGGTTTGATTCCTAAATGAGCGAGCAGGGCGCAGATGGAGCTAGTATGCTATCCGGTTTATCGGCTTTCCGGGGCTGGCAGGCCTCTCCACATGTCGTCGCGAAGGATCTGACTGCCAACGGTAGAAGGCTGGTGCGTGATACCTTCCAAATAGAGGTGTTCTGAAGAATATTACTCAGCACTGAGGGCTGGGGCGCTGTGAAAAAGTATCTACAGAACAGCGTTGGCATGTATCGTCTTTCGACACCTCGATAGATTCATACCTCCCATAGACTAATGCAATGCAGTTTTAACGTGGTATTTGAAGCTATATAGCACACGATATCCCACTACACACACACACACACATACACACACACCCTACACACACACATACACACACACCCCACACACACACACATACCGACCGAAATTAGGGAGACGGACTTTGACCATTGCTGGTATGGGTACATCGAGAGGGTGCCGTTTATTGCGCGTAAAGAGGACCAAGTACTTTACCTTGAATGGAGCAAGGAATTATGCGAGGGTGTTCTTTTGGCCAGAGGTATGCACCAGGATGGCACCTCGTATGATGGGTTGGCGTACGGTACTAAATTTAAAATATACCACGCGCGGTACAGGATCCTAGTCTGCGTGTGGATCAATTGATATAGCTGTTGTTGTTGTTGTTTGTCATTATTGTTGCTCGTTGTAAATTAGGGTCGCAAGGTTTGACATCAACATGAACCATCCCCACTGTCCATCCTATAAACTAGGGATGGCACCAGGGCCCTAGAAAAATAAACAAAAGATGCCGCCTTGCAAGTTGGCAGGAAAAGGAATATAGGCACATGCACAGCGCGAGATCTTTGTAATGGAAATTAGATGGGTGTAGGTACCGCAGCTCTTTTCTTCGGTGCAATAAAAATATTTAATATGCTGACAACAACAAACACATCTACACACATGTCGATGCGAATTTGGGAGGGGGATACCGGTGCATGTACCTTATTGTGCTGCATTGTATGCACACAAATAATCGGGCTTAATGATATTGGTCATTGCTATCCACTTCAATTGCTGCTTACTGAATACGCGTTTTTGCAATCACACTATGCACTTTAGAGTGCGTGTCTACGGATAGACTGAATTCAATATAGCTCTGCATTTTTATTGTGCTCTCAAGTGATTGCTCTGTCTATAGGCTATAGTGTATTATGGGCCTACTGCGTAGACAAACAGGGTCCATCACGCCACTAATCTCCACGAACCTGCAGTCCGTTTAAGTCTTGTAGTTTCTTGCCCCACTCGTCCGCTCTTTGGACACTGTCTGAAGAAGAAGGAGCTTTACTCACCTGGCGTGCGCATTGTTGTTTTGTCCGCAGATGTAGACCCTATATTATGCGTGTATGCCTGGTAGAGTTAACGAGGGAGGAAAAGAAAATGAGGTACCCTGGCGCTCTTTGTTGTGTTCTTTTGCATCCTTTGTCCTCTCTCGTCCTCTCTCTCAATCGCATTCTCTCCCTTTTCTCTCCACATCCACCCTCCTCCCCCTCCCTCCTTCAACAGGTACCCCTCTCACCCTCTCACTCTCTCTCACCCTCTCTTCCTCCTTCTCTTCCTTCTCCTCCTCGCCCGTTGTCTACTCATTCAAAAGCCAAAGGCAAGTAGCAGGAACCGCAACTGCAGTAGCCGCAGGAGCCACTTGTTCAGGACTACAGGGCTTCTCATTCCCCTTTCACCTCAATCCTTATACACATAAACACATACTCGCGAACATATAAGCGACATATCCATGGACATCACCATCGACCACAGCCTCTAGCAACCCATGATTTCTTTGTTATGCACACGCGTTATCCCTTTTCCTCGTCAACATAAACCCTCTTCAGCAGCTACTGTATAGCGCCGCGTCCGTTTTACACACTCTTATTTTCCTTACCTTGTCAACAATACGCCTAATATCGACTTGATTTAACATCGTTCACGCCATCAGTCAAACACCTGTGAGTGTCCTAAGCACGTAACATCTATCCCCGATGGACATGCCCGTTCCCATTTCCATATCAATCAATGCCTTGACAAGACCTTTCCCCTCGCCATACATATCAACCATATATTCGCGTGTATCTCACTCAATGGAGTGGCGCCAGGGTGGATGTTCAGCTTCCTGTCGGTACTCTTTGAACAGAACAGAGTTTGCAAATAAGGATTTAGGCGCAGAAACGCGCACCAATGGCCCTTGCGGTCACCTTCCATTTTCGATTGCCTTATTGCCACCTCATTGGATGATCTGCCCTCCTCTTGCCGCGCTCTCATTTTACAAAATGTCAAATCCGCATGTCATATGAAAAACAAGCGAGCATGGCGGGCCAGCGGTTGTTGAGAGAGCTCTATGACATCCAACTGGACTTCGCCCCAGCTTTAACGAGTTTATTGTGTGCTCAGTGTCCTGACGCCTCTTTTTTTTTTTTTTTCTTTTTTGGCAATGTACCTAAATACATGTGACCTATAGGGTAAAAGACATCACAGGAGTCGAGAACGATAGAAAGAAACAAAAAAAGAGAACGCGTCTGATCGCCCTTTCGCCCAACCCATAGGGAAAACGACTCTCAGGCCGGATCAGAAGGAACCATCACCGTAACCGAACCCTTCTATATCCCCTCCCTTCCTCTCCCAACACGCTCCACCTTATATATATATAATCCGTCAATGTCCCCAACACCAACATCGTCATCATCATCTACTGGAAACAGAGTCGTAAAGATGAGCTCCCTCATGGCTATGGCAGGGATTGCCGGTCTAGCTGTATTGGGATCCGCGCTGGCACCTTCCGCGGATGCCGCCGCCACATTTGGCGTCGCAAACGACTCTCCAGGCTCGATTATCCAGGGCACCCTCTCGACTATGGTGCCCAAGCCAGTCAGCTTGATGGACAAATACCTCGTCCCCGGTCTCCTGAACCTGACTTACGCCTCCATCACCCTCACCAAGCCTACGCAGATCGCCGTCGGAGTTAATGCTTCACTGATGAATCCTTTCGGGCCATATCAATTGCCCCTCGGTGTCGTCGGTGTGAATATTTGGCTCGATGGAATGTCCCTCGCCAATGTAACGACCTCGAACCTGATCCTTCCTGCCGGTATTGGCCCACTTAATGTTAATGCTACGATCGATGTTGCAGACGGAAGCACGAATCCAGCCTTGCAAGCCTCGATCAACAACCTGGTAACAGGGTTCATTGGCGGAACTACGCCCAGCGGACCGCCACCCACGCTCGTCATCGACAACCTCACCATGGGGGGTAACCCCTTGGGTATGGCACCTATTACTGTCCCCACGCAATTCGCACCCTCGGGCCCCATCAAGCCCACAAATGTCACCACTACCAACTCGACAACGCCTCCAGTTTTTGGGTTTAGTGGCATGATCGATCCCGCTGTCAACTGGACAGTGCCAACACTGAACAAGCTCACCATTAAGGCTGTTTCTGGTGCCCAGCTGACTGCTGGTATTGGCTTTTCGTGGCAGAACCCTTTAAACATTGACCTGGATATCCCCTATGTTTCGGTCGATATTGGCCTGAATGGGACCCGTATTGTCACCATCGGCGTCGACAGTCTGCACCTTGTGCCCGGAAACATGACTGCCGAGGCTTTTGTTGACCTCAAGTTCAACAACGACCCTGCTGCCTCAGTGCAGGTCGCTGCTCTTGTTAGCGACTTCCTTTCCGGTATGCTACACTAGTTTTCTCTTCATGTAACTCAGCTCTTGTGCTGATTTTTCTTGTCCTAATACATTCTTTTACTGAACTTCATAGGATCTTTGAGTCAGATTGTCAACATCGGTAACATCACCTTTGGAACCAAGGATAACACGACAGCAACGGGTGTGCTCCTCAACAACTTGCTTAGCGGACTCAATTTCAACTTGCCCCTCTTGAATGTCAGCACTGTCACCATGGAGCAGCTGGTTGTCGGATTTATCAAGCCTTATTTTCCCATCGATATCGGCAAGTTTGGCTCTGGAACGGGTTCTTCACTGATGTCCTATATCCAGGCTCTGGCTATTTCGACTGCTCCCGGTCACACCCTGTTGATTGAACCCAAGGTTCGGCTTCCTCTACCCTTCGAGTTAGACCTCAACATCCCTTACCTCGCCTTGGACATCAATCTCGACAACAGCTTGCTTGGACAACTTTTTATTACGAACCTTGTCGGTGCGGGATCAGGACAAGTCGCTATCTCGGTCGGCATTGGCATGGTCTTTAATGAGCCCGCTCCCGAAATCCCACCTACGGTTGCCAAGCTAGTCAACGGATTGACGACAGGCTCGAGCCTAGATATCGTGGCAGGAGTGTCGAACCTCGCGATCGGTATCTCGCCCTCAGATGCCATTAACACGCTGAATAACTTAAACGTCGCAGTCCCCATCTCGGATGTAATCACTGGCTCTGTCGGCACCGACAGCCTGTTCCAGGACATCATGACCCAGACCAACGTTACCATTGCCTCCAACGCTATCAGCATCAAAGTCGGCTCCCTGGCCCAGTTGACAATCCACGAGGCCAATATTGCTGTACTACCCAACAACATGGTCACTGCCGGAATTAATCTCGACATGTTTTTCGGTCTCCCTGTTGTTGTCAATATTGGCTACCTTGGTCTCCAGTTGAACTTGGATGGCGCCAACCTTGCTGGTGTTGGCTTGACCTCTGGCCTCAACTACGGTGGCGGCGCGGTCCAAATGAACGCCGGTGTTGCTATCTCGATTGGTACTGGTCCCGAAATCAGCGGAAAGGTCGCGTCGTTGGTTAATGCCATTATTGCTCGCCAGTCTGTCTCGAGCTCGCTCGATATCGGCGGTATTGTCATCGGTCAGAGCTCTGATGACCTGATCAACGCCCTTTCCCAGGTTTCTATCACCTTTCCTCTCGGTGGCCTTTTGGGTGGTAATGGTATGGACGGCTTTATGTGTACCATATACGCTTTGTTTGTATCTCTTTTAATTGCTAACCATCACATACCATTATATGCGATAATACAGCTCCTTCGATGTCCTCTGGTTTCTTGGGTAGCATTATTGACCAGCTCGGCTTGTCCATCACTGACTTGTCCTTGGCCACAATTCCCAACGCAGGCCTTCAGGCTGGAGTCAAAGCTTCGTTCTCAAATCCCATCCCCATTTCAGTCTCGGTTCCATTCATTGGTATCAGTGGAGGTCTCGATAAAGTCGACATTGTCAATGTCGGTCTCAATAACTTGGCTATGGTGCCTGGTCCTAATGCCCTCCAGGCTCAGGTTGCTCTCAACTTTAACAATGCATTGGATGCCCAGTCTAAGGTTACCATTTTTATGGCTGAGATCGCTGGTGGTCTACTTGGCAACACTCCCGAAGCCTTGACTGTTCACAACTTACGCATTGGTGCTTCGCCCTCGGACTATTTTGATCTCTTATCTCAAATCGACATTTCTATCCCTTCAAAGGATATTGTTAGCAAGGCAAATGTTGATCTGTTGATGGGCAAATTGGGCTTGAACGGCACTCAGTTGACCAACAGCCTTTTGGACAACCTGCACATCGGTGCTATCTCTGCCAACTTGAACAACGCCCCTGTCGTGGAGCTAGGCACCTCGCTCTTGGTTAATAATATCTCCCTGAACGCCGCTGTCGACATTGGCTACTTTGGTATCGACCTAGCTCTCGACAGCCATGCCTTGGCTCATGTCGATGTTCCTTCGATCACAATCGCGACTGCCAACAACCAGTTGACACTCGCTATCAAGGCCTTGATCACTGTCCAGGATACACCTGAGGTTCAGACGGATATTGCCAACTTGGTCAACTTCTTCATGGACAATTCGACCGCATCTCCCGTCAGCAGCTTGGTGATCTCCAAGCCCCTCGTTGGAATCTCATCCTCGGATAACATCCAGACCTTCTCATTGCTCCAGTATCCTCTTGGTTTGTCTAATCTGCTCATGAAGGCCAGGGCCTATGTCAACCAGCTGCTTGCTGGTCTCAGTGGATTGAACTCAAACACTTTGGTCATCTCTGGACTCGTCGTTGACTTGAATAGCCCCTCAATCATCAACGTCCAGGGCGGTGTTCAGGTTAAGAACCTGACATTACCTGCGGATATCAGCATCAGCTACGTCGGCGCCTCCGTCGGATTGAACACTACTCCCTTAGCTGATATCTCTATTCCTATACTATCCTTAACCTCTGCCAACGATGCGCTTTCTGTCAACTTCCAGGCATTGATTGATGTCAAGCAGAGCCAGGAAGTCAATGCTCAGATTGCCCGCTTGGTCGGCGCTGTCATGTACCCCGGTCAAGTTTCTTCTCCTACCAACGCTGTCATCTACGACCCTGTCTTTGGCGGCGATAAAAACCATCTCTTCCACATCCTGTCCCAGGTCAAGGTCAACATTGCCCTTGCGCCATACCTGCAGAAGATCAGTGTCATCCTCAATGGCGCCGCAGGAAGCAACCTTCTCGCTGGTCTCGACATCGGCTCTCTGGTTGTTGATCTCAACTCGCCCCAGACCATCGGCATTGATGCTGCTATCTCAATCAAGAATATCACCATCCCAGCTGAAATTAAGCTGAACTACGTCGGCGCCAATGTTGCCATCGACACTGTCGGCTTGGCCCAGATCGCTGTTCCTTCGTTCGCACTCAAGCCTGACAACGGTGCTCTCACTATCACGGCCCATGTTGATGTCTCTCTCTTGACCAGTGACCAGCTGACGACCGCGATCACCAATTTGGTCACCGACGTCTTGAGCAACCAGACCACGCCTGCGACCAACATAGTTATCTCTGGCGCAGTTTTTGGTGGCTCCCCCAGCAACGTCTTCACATTGTTGCAGGGTATTGCTATCCCCATCAACGTCGCTCCCTACATCAACAAGATCCCAGCTCTTCTCAACAGCCAGGGCTCACTCTTGGACCGTGTTGCCATTGGTGCACTCGCCATCGACCTGAACTCTCCTCAGGTCATTGGCATCGATACTTCAGTCTCTATCAAGAACGTCGCCTTCCCTGCACAGATCAAGTTGAACTACGTTGGAGCCAACGTCGCCATCGGCCAGGTCCCCTTGATCCAGCTCGGAATCTCTCAGTTTACCATGACCCCCAATAATGGTAACCTTGACATTTCTCTTCACCTCAGCCTCGCTGTCCAGGAGAGCCAGGCCTTGAGCCAGACCATCAATGGCCTTGTTCAGACTGTTTTTGCAGCCAAGCCTTTGCCAACGACGGCCTTGATTATCTCTGGAATCGCCTTCGGTGGTTCGCCTACCAACGTCTTCACATTCCTCCAGGGAGTCAAGACCCCACTAGATGTCACTGCCTACTTGAACAAGGCCCTGGGCATGGTCAACGCTCCTGGTGCTCCATCGCTCTTAAGTAGCATCGGCATCTCCAACTTGGTCGTCGACTTGAACGCTCCCCAGGTCATTGGTATCGACGCTGCCGTCCTTGTCAAGAACATCACCTTGCCTGCCCAAATCAAGCTGAACTATGTCGGCACCAGTATCGCTATCAACTCAATCCCTCTGGCCCAGGTCGATGTCCCCAAGTTCTCGTTGGCTCCCCAAGGATCCGACTTGGCCTTGCAGATCCATGTTGACTTGACACTATTGAGCAGCCCTGAACTGTCCAAGGCTATCTCTGGAATGGTCGGCGCCATTCTTGGCAACCAGACTCTGCCTCAAACGGACTTGATTATCTCTGGCACAAAGTTCGGTGCTTCCACGAATAACTTCTTCACGGTCTTGCAGAGCGTCGTCGTCCCCATCGATGTCTCAGCCTACATTAACAAGATCGGCGGTATGCTCGGTGCTGGATCATCGCTGAACAGCCTTAGTCTCTCTGGCTTGGCCATTAACTTGAACCAGGCTCCCACAATCGGTGTCGACGCCAGCATTGCTGTCCGAAGCGTGACCTTGCCTGCCAAGCTCAACGTCGGCTACGTCGGATTTAACATCGGCATCAATGGCGTCTCCTTGGCCAACGTAGCCATCCCCAAGATCGAGTTCGGCTCCAGCGGCACAGATCTGACCATCGGCACCCACATTGACGCTACTCTTCAGGAGACTGATGATTCCCAGACCTTGGTCGCTGGTCTTGTTAACGCGATTGTTGCTGGCCAGGCTCCCCAGGACAGTATCGTAATCTCTGACATTGCTTTTGGGCCCAGTAAGGGCAACGTTTACACGATCCTTGAGGGCATCCAAATCCCGATCCCGATCTCCAAGATCCTGTCGCTTGCACCTGCTACCTCAGGCACGAATGCCACCTCGATCCTCAGTAAACTTGATCTCCAGAGCGCTGATATTAACATGAAGAACCCACCCAGCATTGGTGCCGATATTGCAATTGCCTTGCTCGGTTACCAGTTCGATGCTCAGCTCTTGCTCAACTATGTCAGCATCAGCGCATTTTTGGACCAGACTCCCCTGGCGACGATCTCTGTCCCTGGTATCACTCTCAGTTCCGGCAATAACCAAGTTGCAGCCAAGGTCCACTCGCTTGTCAATTTGGCTAGCGGTGGTGAAATTCAAGCTAAGGTTGCTGCGATTGCTGCTCAGGTCATGGGTAACGGCGGATCCCAGAACGTGAACTTGGTCGTCTCCAAGATCGCATTCGGAGGCAGCGCGGGCAATGTATTCCATATTCTGGATAAGGTCCAGTTCTCAGTTCCTCTGGTTCCTTACATCCAGAAACTGACTGGAATTGTTGGTGGTATCGTCGGTGGCAGCAACAGCACGGCTCCTGCCTTCAGTATCAACAAATTGGACGTCAGCGCTCCTGGTGCCAATGACCTCTCGGTTGCAGTTGGTGCTTCGATCGGCGGTATTGGCTCGAAGATCTCGGTCGAGATGCCCTACATCGGTCTTAAAATCTCTGCCGGTGGTGCTGGCTTTGTATACCCGACCATTAACAACTTCCAGCTCTCGAACGGCAACATTGATCTCACGCTCGACCTGCCGTTCCAGCCGGCTGCCAAACAGATCATTGCCTCGCTTTCGATCCCTGTCTCGCAGCTCCTGTTTTCAACTGTTGGCCAGGTTCCCGGTACGATCGTCGTTAACAGCATCGAGTTTGGCGCATCCCCCAGCCAGGCATTCGATATCGCCGCCAAGATCGGACTAGAAATCCAGTTGAACTCTGTCTTCCAAAAGGCTCAGGCCTACATTAATGCCCACAGCTCACTACAAGTGGATGATATAAACACAGTCCTGACGACCACAGGCATCCAGGCGACGGTCTCTGTGTCCGGAGCCTCGCTGGCGGTGCCTCTCAAGATGAACTTCCCGATCTCGCTCTCGGGCTACTATCAGGGCAAGGCCTTCATCACCATTCAAGTTACGTCCATGTCCCTGGGTCAATCCCCTTGGGCTCTGGGTGCTAGCATCACACCGGTTCAGTCCGAGTTCAGTCAAGCGTTGAACGGTATTCTCTCCAACTCTCTCCAGTCGAAGAACGCCCTCAAGGACGTGACCGTCGGCGGTGTGATCTTGGGCTCCTTTACAGTTCTGAGCGGATTGATTATCACCCCCCCAGAGTCCGCGCTCTCGCTCATGTCTCCGATCACCGTTCCCCTGAACCAGCTCAAGCTACACTTGATCCCTCTTGGCATGGATTTTGCAGCCTCCTTGGTGAACCGCAGCCCTCTGCAGGTCGATGTGGGTGCGGTTGATATTATGATCAAGGATGGCACCACGGATGTCATGGAGATTCAGAATTTGGGTGGTCCTATTCATTTGAACAACGTCCACCAGAACGGCGGCAATAACATGATCTTGTTCAATGCCTCGCTCAAGTTCAACATTCTCCAGCTGATCCCGATCATCGCCTCGTTGTTGAACCCCGTCAACTTCCACTTTGTCTTCTCGATGAAGACCTCATCCGGTCAGCCAATGCCCTGGTTGCAGGATGCCCTGAATGACGTCCCCGATACCATCTTCAGTAACATTTTGCCCATCCTCGCAAACGCCCTGAAGAACATTAACTTTTCAATTTAAATAACGAGAGAGACGGACCGATAGAGAACGATCGAGGACGACTCTGTATTTTAATGATATAGGTAGCCGCTTGTTATGTCAATCCATTTAGAGATTATCTTAATAAAGTATTGTCTCACAGCTCAGTGTTATCGTAGTAATTCCAGATCAGTACACGGTTGCTCCAATCGCCAGCAACGACCATACTCAAATCCTGCGACACTGCAACATCGCGCAGTAACTCTGCAGATTCGGGATGTGAAAGGACCTATATCCGAAAGATAAAAAAGAATCAGACCATGCGCATTGACGAAAGTATACCAAAAAAAAAAAAAGAAACTCCCCCACTTCCGTTAACTTACAGCAGCCGGTTTCTCCGCAACGATATTGCCGTCTGAAGCACGCACAGCTTCCCGACCAAGGTCAAACAGGATGACCTTTCCATCCATTGACCCTGCCACGAGCACATTCTGTCGCCTCTCCTTCCAATTCCTGTGATCGCTAGACACACCCTGCTTAACTCGATTGCTGTTTTCCAATGGTCGTGAAGATGGGCAGGCCACGTTCTCCGCCAGCGAAAACTTGGTCCAGCTCTCCGTGACAGACCACTCGAGAATTGTTTTGAGTTCTGCATCCGTCTTCGTACTTTTGGACGCGTCCCACACAAGGATCTCACCCTGCCAGCTTTCGCGCGACGCAAATATAAACTCCCCGTCTCCAGCAGCGTCGCCTTCATTAACGTCGTCGCTATTGTCATCGTCAAAGTCATTAACCTTCTCATTGTCGCTGTTTTGGGGTCGTGCAACCTTTGATGACTTCCCCCTTCCACGTCCACGGCCTCGTCCTCGTCCTCGTGCTTGCCCTGAAGTACCCCTACGACCTCCCCTCCCTCGCCCCCGCATCTGTCCCGCAGTGCTGCCATTCCTGCTACTCGAGCCCTTTTCTGAAATCGCCGCATAAGACCTTTTAGAAAAATACGGGATATAGACAATCTCATCAACCGAGGATTCATGCCACTCCTGCGACGGTGGGTATATTCGTTCAGGCTTGACCATTTGTGTGGCCTGCTTCCTGTTCTTCTCAATCTCCTCTGTCAGCTCAAAAAGATTGTACTGTGCCATGAGTCCCTTCTCTGTGCCAACGATCAAGTACTTTTCCGAGACACCGATCGCAGTGACGGAAGAGTCGTCCAGTCCAACAAACTTTGCAAGACAGCTAAGATGTGAATGCAAATAATGTATACGATTATCACTCAGTAGACGTAAAAAAGGACCCTGATAAGTATCCTGCGGCATCTCCGATTCGACCTACCATGCCTCTGTCTCGAAGCCCGTGAGAGACCCAATGTCCCATAGCCGCGCTGTACCGTCAGTCGATGCACCTAACCAAAGGGAGAAGGCAGTATATGAGCACAGATCGAATAAAGAATACGAACATGTAGATCATGATGTTCAGAGTGGAAGCGGGGGGACATACTAAAAAGCCATCGCGGGTTGGTGAGCGAGAACTTTAGCCGAAGGATCGACTCTGTGTGCCCATGCAGATATTTATAGCATGTATTCTGGAGCGGGTTGATCAGCTTGATGCTGCCAAGACGACCTATTCAGTTGAAAATAACAGTCGCTCAGTCAAGTCAAGTCCAATATGTTACATAGCCACAGCACTGTTCTTGAAACCTGTAGAACGCACCTGCTGCCGCTAAGATATTTGATTGTTCGTGTCTGTCTTCTTCCGTATTCTTCGTATCGTCATCTTTGTTTTCATCAACGGAACGATCGAGCGTCGTCCAGGCTAGACACATAAACTCCTCCTCCTCTAGATGACTATACTTGGCCATTACCCTTCCTAGTCGGCAATCGATTAAGCAAACAGTATTTCCGCCACAGGTTGCAATAATGCTGCTGCTCCTTTTGTTCTCTCGAGAGTATTGTCGCGCAAGCCGTCGCCTCTGGTCTCGTATCCGTTTTGTATCCTCGTCCTCGCCATCTTCTGTCGATTCGCTGTCCGTTCCATCCTTCTCTCTCTCTTGGCCATTGCTTCTACTGTCAGTCGTACGTTGCTGCCCGTAGACGTTGGGTCGAATGACGGGTAATGTCGGTTGGAATGCTACAGCCCAGGTGTCCGTCTCTGTTTCCTCCTGTCCCTCGTGCGTGCTTCTGGAATGTGCCCTGAGAATGTGTTCTAGTACGTAGCCCTTGGGTCGTTCTACCTCCATATCTGTCGCCTCTTCGACGACGGTATTTGTGTGATCTAGCCATTAAAGCCGTCGAACCAAAAGGGTAAGTGCTCTGTAGATCCTTCAATGCCTCCACATAGTAAAGTACCTCAGACAACAAGCGCAGTAAAGACTCCTTACCAAGAAGATTTGGATATACCCAGGAGGTCTCGCCTGAAGATGACTTTATCCTTGAACTGCCTCTGTTTCGAGATTCTGTTTTTCGACCACTTTTGTTACTTCGCCCATCCGTTTTCCGACTGCTGCCAATGTCCACGTTTTCTTGTTGGTCGCTTCCTTCTCCTGCCTCTTCTTGGCTGTCCTCGTTGTGCTCATTGTCCTCCTCTTCGATATCCTCCTCGCTCTCATCACCGAGCGAGGAGAGTTTCGCCATTTTCGCAGCTGGCTGCCTGCGTTTTAAAGAGAGGTTTGTTATAGCTTTTGCCGGTTTGGGTTCTCTTGCAGTCCGGCGTTTAGGTATTTTCGTGGACGAGTTTGTCGACGCGACTTTGGTTTCTGATCTCGAAGGTCCTTCAGACTTAGAAGATGCGGTACGTCTTCTTTTGAGAGGCTCCCGCTCATGCGACTCCTTAATGGCCTCATCGGATGAGCTCTCAACGATGGTGATGCGCTTCCGTGCCATGCGGAGAGGAAATTCGCGGGGGGTGAGGGATGGTCAGCCGAAGCAATCCTTGCAACGCATTCTTGTATTTGGCGCCTTTTTTGTGACTGATCAGATCGAGCGATTAAGCAGCAAATCGTATTTTGGTGGCACCATTCCGGCGCAGACAAACAGTGCAAAGTAGTAGTTTTTTTATATTTATTAAGAAAGGACACCATGATTTCACTCGAGACGCTGGCCAGACAAGAAGCGCTTCAAGGACTCGTCCTCCATACGTGTCCTACGCTCCTCCAGATCAGCCTTCCATGCCTCAATATCCTCCTCGTCCGAGTCCAGGTCCTCTTGTCTGTACCTAGGTCTCCGCTCATATTCCTCATACCCATCATCGTCTTCTTCTTCTTCTCCCTCCTCATCCTCATCTCCTTCCCGAACAGGGAGCTTTCCCTTACCCATCCGGACTTCCTTGCCCTTCTCCTCCATAGCCATATCCTTCATCAGCCTTGCCATCTGCTCCTCCTTCGCTACCTCTTTCTTCTTCCGTCTCTCTTCCAGTACCCTCTCCAGCTCGGGCTTGTATTCCTGGTCATACTCAACTACTGCCTCGTCCACAGCCTTCAAGAAATCGTCCATTCCTGCGCCCGTCACCGCACTGACACCAACGACTTTCAGATGTGCGTAAAACTCATCCAAAACCAGGGACATCGAGTTCATCAGACTGCTCATGTAGCTCTTGTCCTTCTGTAGCGCTTCCTGAAAAGCCTCGAAATCTGTCATCCACTCGACTGCGAACTCATGGGGCTTGACATCCGTCTTGTTGAACACTAGAATAAAGGGCACCTTGGTCTTGTAGAGAATACTGCAGGCATACAACATGTTGCTCATAAATGTCGCTGGTGCAGCTGTGCGGGGTGTGTCGATGATGTATGCGATCATGGTAGGATAGCTAGCTGCCAAAGTGTCCGTGATGATCGATCCTGAAGCTGACCATGTAAAAATCTCGATCTGACCAGGCGTGTCCACTAAGATGTAGCTATGAAAGAACAGGCGGATTGATCCAATTGTCAGCGGCAGCACTTTGAAGAATTGATAGCTGTATTTCTCCGTCTAAAGCTGAGTTCAGCAACCCATGTTCAGGGCCACTTACTCTAGTGAGGGCGCCCTCTTATCCACGAATCCAAGAACCTGATCGAATTTTGTCGTGAACAAGTTGAGTGCTGTAAGAATACCGCCGTTGGGTCCAAGGTTATATCTAACAATAAACAAAGGAGATCGATGGCTGAATTTAGTAACAAGGATCTTGCTGAATATTATATGAATCGAGCTTTTGGCTTGAGCTTCACAGTAAGAGCATAAAAGTTGATGGCTTACTGCTTCATGACTTCCTTGTAGTTGACGGTGTCGCGGATATCGATATTAGCCGAAAAGGGCAGAGCTGCCACGGCAGGATCGAGGTTCAGAATATATGGAGGCTGTTTCTTTGCGTGAAGGTGAGCATTCAGACGCTATTTTTCACGCAACAGCAGAGGAAATGGAGTTCGTGTGAGATTGGCATCAAAAAGACCATGGCCTGTGAGGGCGCTATCCTGATAGTGCGAGGTAGTTGGATATGTGGGTTGGATATGTGGGTTGAGTGCAAAAATAGCACCATGGTGTACCTGCATAAACGTTGTCTTTCCAGAGCCTGCCATTCCAATGCAGAGAATGACGGGAGGTCGCTTCGCTCCGGCAGCTGCAGTGTTGGTCGACATGATACTGTGGTTTTTGCTGGTGAAAGAGGAAGTTTGCTTTGTAAAGACTGGCTGGTTGCTTTGCTTTATGGCCGCGCAGCTGAAGATTGTCCAGCGAATCGTGGCTTGTTTATTTTTCCAACCCATTGGTGACTGCGCGCTTGCGCTTTCGTTTGCGCCGTTTCCACTAGAAAAAAAAAAGCGCGTTTTAACGCGTTCATTCATTGCTTGAGGCGTCTCGCCGTGTATGCTTCAAATATCTCTGTAAACTTCAACATTATATTATTCCTTGAGATATTGTATGATTACGATCTTGTTCCGCATGAATACAATCATTTAAGAGCGCCGTTGCCAAATAGATAGAACCTCAGTCCTTGTTTTAATAAACACTTACTCATCAACGCTCCCAGATTTGAAGCTATCGAAAGAAGGCATACAACCCCATCCCTGTTACTTCTAGACGATACCTGCCAAAGCTAGTTGCGGTAGGGTATACGTCTTGGGATACATTGTGGTTGGGTAAAGCAGTGCGTTTGGCATGTTCATCAAAAATAAAATGGGAGGCAAAAGAACCAAATGCAAATATTGTTCTGACTTGCATTTTATTGTCCATTTTGACATTTCTCTCGGGTGGTCAGAGCAAAACGATCGTTTTTCATCAGGGCTCACTTCACTTTCAGCTTCAGAGTTAGAATCTCAAATGCATGCATAACCAGCCATCTAGTCACACGCTCGGCTTTGTTAAATTCCACTTTGTCCCCTTCGTCCTCCATGATATTGCATCGGTGAATACTCTGGATGTTCAAGGAGCTAGAAAATATACAGCATATAGCAGAATCGTGTTAGCGTCTATTCAAGAGACACCTACTCTCTGCGGTGAAGGTAGAGCAAAATCACCTTTTGAGCTTGAACATAGCGCGACCACCAAAGGCTTCGTGAAGCCGCACGATAATGTGGTTAGAGTCTTCAGCTCGTTTGACCGTATCCAAGATCACATTTTTGGCTCCCTCGATCTCAATAAAGGGTGCTTTGTCACGTTCCTTCAGAGCACTCTGCGAAACAGACCTGCAGTGCGAAAAAGTTCAACGGTTAGCAAACTTATGAGCCACTGTATTGCCTTGACAATAGCCAGGTCCAGAAACTTACCTGATGATCATAGGCACATTGAACTGATACGATTCCCGCACGACATTGGATTCGTGGAACGTGCCTTTGTGCGGATAGACTGCAAATGAGAACTCGTGGTGTCCTAGTTGATAACCACAACGCAAGAACGGCGTCAGAGGTCTCGATTCTGTGTCCTTAATCCTAACAGGTCGAATCTAGTGAGAGACAGAGGTTATCACCTACCCATATCGCAGTTGACATCGGGCGCCTTAGGCGAACGTAAAAGCGATAGACACATCACATTGCCGTGACAAGAGTACCCAAATTTGCAATCGTTCAGGAGGGCAACGCCATACCCGTGCTCAGAGAGATCTGCAAACTTGTGGCCGCAGACCTCAAACTTCGCGTAGTCATGGCTGGTGTTGTAGGTAGTCGAGCGTTGCACAACACCAAACTGCGTATCATAAGTGGCAAGGTCGGAATGAATATCCCACATGAATTCGACTTTCTACAAGCGTACAATATGAAAAGAATAGAAGGTTTTAGCAACGTATCAGCTGGAGAACGCTGCAGTGCTATGTTTGTGACTCACCAAAAGCACTCGATTCTCGTGCCATTCGACGTTCATATGGAAGTCCAAGCGAGGAGATGCGGCGGTCAGGACAATGGTCTGCACGGCAGTGCTGTTCTCAGACAAAGCATGCTTAACAACTAGGGCGGCGCAGAGCGGGCCAACCTCTTTAATCTTGGCATTGCTTGTGCCGGCATTCTTGCCGGTATTAAGATGATAAATTTCCACATCCCATGCATCCCAGTACAATGGAATATCTTCATAGAACTTCATCTTATTCCCTGCTTGCCCTTCTGGAACGAGTTCTCGCATCTCATTTTTGTCAAAGAGACTGATGAGATGCCCCTGCTGGTTGAACTTTGCGATAATCCAATCATTCTCCATGACAAAATCTTCACCGCTGGCGAATGCTGTAGATGGTTTGAGCAGTATCCGTCAAAATATGTCCTGAACATAGTTAAGACCAGCAAAAAAAAAAAAAAAAAAGCACACAATCAATAACCTTACCCTTCACTCTCTTATGGTCATTCGTTGATTCAGCAAGATCCTTGAAACCAAAAGCATCGTTCTCGACTGTATAAAAAGGATTCGGTTACAGTGCATCAGTATTGGCTAAAGTGCTTTGAACGCTGGATAGAATCATAAGGGGTGCTTACCTCTAACGTATCCAGCATTTTTGCCAGCAGAGTACTGCTGCAAGTTGTCACCAGTGTATGATGGAACTTCGATGATCTCTGAGCGACGCCATCCAAGTGAGTTGAAGGCGACATAACACGGTTCTTCTCCTAGAGATTTGGAGGATCTGTACAAGCTGTCGAGGCTGTCACCTAGCAGCTTTTTCGCCTTGATTTCGATATGCTGGTAGATCTTTCGGGCATCGATATTGGCCAACTCGATGGCTGATCCGGGGAGGACATCGTGAAATTGATTCCTAAAAAAGGGTGGTTAATGTTCATCAATCGTATCTCATCTATCAAAAGCATGGACGTATTACGAACAACTTACAGCAAAAGATTTTTCCACAGCAGGTCCAGTTCCTCCTTTGGGTAGCTGAACTCCCGTTCCAGCACAAGGCACATTGTAGATACAATCTCCAAGTCGCGCAGAAGAAACTCGAGCTTTCGATTGTATCGTTTGGTGGCAGCCTGGGAAGTATAAGTACCACGGTGGAGCTCAAAGTACTAATGTAGATGAGTAGCAGTGTATTAGCAGCTGGTTTCAAGTCAGGTGGCATACACAAGCAGCTTAAACTGTACGGCGGTGACAGTATTACCAGCTCGCCCTTCCATTCCTGCAGGCCCTTGGCTTGCTTTTCCACGCTTTCAAAAAACGCATTCGCACTGTCCATCTCGCATCGAGGGAGTCCATCCTATGCATGCAATTTGTAAAAATATTTATCTTCCAGCCTTGATGATCTACGTAAGAAGTCTTCCTGTAAAAGTCAGACTAGTAGATGCTTACAATGTCTTTCATGCGCCTAATTCGCTCCAGCATGGCCCTTTGCGGTCCTCCACCTCCATCGCCATTACCATATGGCATAAGACTCTGGTTGCTGAAAGCTAGATCGCGGTTCCTCTTGATGCTATTACGAATGTTAAGGTTTTTGGAAGTAAATATTAATGCAAAAGAAAGAAGAAAGAGACAGATAATTGCTATTACTTACTTACCTGCGTATCATATCGCCAACGTCTGCTTGAGCAGTGTATCTATCACAAACGCAAAGTGGTTTCGTCAGCTATGCGAATACAACCGGCCGTGCCTCTTCGCAGCAGACAAATAGTGTTTCTTACGTCTCGCAAGGTGCCATGTGTGTCAGGACCTTAGTTCCATCCAGACCTACCCAAGTAAAAGTCGTGTTTGGGAACTGCGCAACCCAATTAGTTACATTTGTTCAACAAAGGCGATATTACGTCTGAACATCGTTCTCGTACCTTGTTGATGTTATTCCACGACAGCTTTTGAGTGAAAAAGTACTCTGCGCCAGATTGCTTGACGATCTGCGGCAACTGCAAAATAATGGAAACCGAAACCGGCGTGAGATGGGGAAAGAGTCTGTGCTGAATAAAAATGTTGTCGTTTTACCTGAGCCGAGTATCCAAACGTGTCTGGTAGCCAAAAGATTTTGCAGCGAGCACCGAATTTCATCTCGTAGAACCGCTGTCCGTATAGGAACTGACGACAAAGGGCTTCGCCGCTGGGAAGGTTGCAATCCATTTCTACCCAAGTGGCGCCGATGGCCTGAAACCGGCCCTTTTTCGATGCAGCCCGGATCTCCTTGAACAGCTTTGGATAGTCCTGGGATAGCCATTCGAGCTGCTGTGCCTGAGAGCAGACAAAGACATACTCGGGATAGTCCTCCATAAGTCGCAGCTGCGTAGACCAGCTTCGGGCGGTCTTGCGGCGCGTTTCAGCATACGGCCTAAATATCATGTTGATGGAAAAAGTGAGCGCCAGGTTATAAGTTTGAAAGCGCTCAAGACTTCAATCTGTAGGAGAACAGCAAGTGATTACCATAACCATGCAGTGTCAATGTGGCTACATAAAAACAAAGAAGTATAAGCGTGAGTGAGATTGCCCTTCTCTGGTAAGACTTGCCAAATGAATGATGCTTCTTCTCAGTCGCATACCAGTTTCCAACCGCAGTAACTCGATGCGCCCCCGGCGCTGCTTTCTTCTCAAGGAATACGCGGGTGATCTGCAAGCATTTTTGCAGCGCATTTTCAATGTTCAGCCTGTCAAAGCTGTCGATCACTTGGTTGCAAGCATACAGAGCCTCCTGAGCGCGCACAGTGTCTTCAGGGAGCTCATTCGCCATGCCCAGTATGACTTGCATGTCATAAAAGAGCTGCCATGCGGCTTTGTTGGGCACCGCAATTTCAACTACAAGACATTTGAACGGGAACACGCTAATCAGTCCCCGTTTGGATCACAAAAGATGATATAGCGTTTCAAACTGATGACAAACTTGTACCTTGTGCAAGCAAAAAGCGCCTATTCTCTTGCGGTGGGTTGATGATGTTATTCATGCCAGCACCGAACATGCCGTTGCAGGCCATTTCAACGAACAATTCGATCGTCTCGCGGCCCTTGGCCTTCTTCAGGAGCACGTATTCGACGCGTCTATCGTTTCCCTCTTATGAGCCGAATGAGGATAACGAAATTGATCACCATGTTAGTTGCTAATAGACGACTTCAACAATGACATGGTGTGCACAAAATTCGTACTATCGCCGGTCAAGCCTTGCCGGGGGATGCCATCGGTGGACCAGACCATAGCCTCACTGCTAGAGTCCCATATCAATTCAACCTGCTCGCCAGCCCACTCGTGTGGCACTGTAATCTTCACCTTGAACCAGTGGGTGCTCTGCATTATAGTTTGTAGGATAAAATTGTGCGTGAGAAGGAGCCATCGCCTAGAAAATAAGTTCGACGCGGCACTCGAGAAGACATACCCAACTGGGACCATAGAGCGTTCCTGTGGTAGTCGGCTCAAAGTGCTGTTTTACTGCTTCGTCAAATGGGATCCGCCTCAGGTCCGGGACAGAGTAGACTTGGAGCTGGATAGCATCTGTCGATCGTTTTTTATAGAGCTGCGAATACAGGTTGATGTCGCTGTAAAAGTCGGCGGAGCTGAACTTTGCGGCGCGGTCAAGGGTGATGGATCGAAGAAATCTCGGCTGGGCAGAGAGAGTAGCCATGTTTGTATTTAAAAGTGTGAGCAATAAGGAGTTGCAAGGGAGTAAAGAGTGAGGGGAAGAGGAATGAGTAACCCGTGCTTTTATCCCCATGCATCATGTTGTCGCTCCATTGATTCATTCTCACGCCCATCAGGCGGCACACATGGAACTACTCCCACAAGGAAGCTTGGGCCCCCAGAACGCGTGTAATTTACCACGGGCGGCGGCATAGATCTGCCACTGCGAATCGTTTCTCTCCGTCATACCCAACTACTTCAATATAGATATTACCCTCAGAACATCACGCCCACAAGGTATACGCAATGGTGTTCTTTTATTATTACTCTTGTCTTCTATTCGTTATGAGCTTCAAAATCGCGGGGTGTGCTTAACTTTTTCCTCGTTGGCTTCTTCTACTTCAGTCGCGTCCTGGTCATGAATCGCCTGCAGAACCGTAACTTTGCTCGACTCTTGCATCTCTCCAGCAATCAATAGCTCATCCAGTATGAAATATGCCCGTTGGAAGTTGAAAATCAGGTCAAGCTCGCAAACCTATACCCATCGAAAGATAGCATCGTTGTTGATTGTTAGCTATTGGGGCTCAAAGCAGCTGGCGTAAACTAGACGTGATGAGTTCGCTGCGATGCGCTTACTTACATTTCCAAAGTACCGGTCAAGGACCTCAACGTATCTGTGTATGACCTCCAGTGTCAACAGCTCATTATCCTGCGGCCCAACGCCTGTGATGAAGTATAGACTGGCGTATCTAACGTAGTTTGCAGGTCCAGAAGAAAAATAAACAGCGCGGGTAAGATTCAATCCATTGTCCAATACCTCATGAAAAGAATTTAATTGACCGTGCTTAGACCTGCGAATACCTTCGATAAATGACCTTCGTATCTGAGGCAAAAAACACACACAAAGACATTGGTCGATTAAACACTAATGTTTGCTTCTCTTACTTTCGAACTGCGTAAAAGTGGTATATATGCGCGCCATACCTTTATACTCTAAAAAGTTACACATTTTCGTCCGCCGTGCGAGGACGAGCTGTGTGACATCCTTGACGGTTTTGGTCTTTTCCTTTGGACTGAGCGTCGTGAACCATTTTGCAAGTCGGGTCTTGCCCTGTCTGCTGACAAGCAGTACATAATTGATCTAGTCATGGAGTGAGACGCGCAACACTCGTCAGTAACGATGTCGAGAGAGCTGAGGTGGATATACCGAGCCGAATGTTGAATGCCGAGCATTGGACGAAAAAGGCTGAGAGTGAGCTTATGTTCAGTTGATGCGAATATCCAGATTATGTCCGTATGCTACGCGATTATCAATGGTAGAAGGCGAAATATCTGTCCGACCCAAGTTCATTATATTCAGCAATAAACTTTTTTTTTCTGCGAGAGATTCCTGTTTCCTGCATCGATTTGGGGACTGAGTGCCATGGTCCTGTTTCTTGGTCTTAAGAATCTTGCTCCGAGTGCTCCAGTGAAATGGCAGTCCTGAAGTCTGATGGGTTCGCGTTTCTGGCTCTGCTTACAGGCATCCAAGTAAAAGTGTGTGCGTGCGAAAATACAAAAAATACAAAAAAAAACGGCGTCGATAATTTCTGAAAAAAGTAAGTCTATCCGGTTGCGATGTTAAGAAGAATGGATGGAGTGTTGAGATGATGGACGAATGGGTGGTGCGCTTCGCCTCTCCTCTCTGAGAACTCCACTCAACGGCCGTTTCTTAAAACTTGAAAGTGACGTGGCATTGGACGTGGCCAATTTCATGTCTCTCTTTCTTGTTCTCTTCAACCCTCGCCCTTGACTCGATTGAACATAATACCGACGAAACATGCGTCTACGACACTTTTGCATCGGATCCGTCGCCACACAGGACCTGCTCGTTTCCAAGACATGTATGGATAGCATGTGGTATCACTCTCTTCTTTGAAAATCTCAATCTGCTCGGGATAATATCACGCTTCTCTTTTTACAACACATTCTCTGCTCTGACTCGCCACCAATTTCATCTCATACAGTTCTACCTCCAAGCGCATTGGATGACGATAATGACTCGGATATCCAAAAGGTATGGTCCTCGTTCCTGGACCTCTTGCAGAACAAGCATCGCTGGGTACCGTCATCACAATCCCATCCAGACCATCGCCGCCGCGAGTACGAGAAACAAGGCCAGCGGTCGGAACCCAGGAGATTGTCAGTGCAAAAGTCAGCGGCGTCTGGGTCTGGATCAATTCGTGCAACAGGAACAAGTTCTCCACTAGACGCCAATGTGTCCTCCTCGCCATCGTTAGGATTAACGGACGACCCATACCGGCACCTCGCACGGCCTTTATATGCCCGCGACGGCATCTGCTTCATCTATCATACCACCAACGATCTCGTCTTTGTCGCATGCTGTCCAGCTCCGCTATCGCCTACCATTGCATCCTCAACGGTCTTGCGGATACCGTCCTCATTGCCTGGACAGAGACAGGGACATCATCAGTCCAGCACGTCGACGTCACTGTCTAGCTCGAGACTTGGTTCGCCGACTCCGGAGCTTGTATCATCAAAACTGTCCGCGTCTTCATCTCGTCCACCAGATGCTCAACATTTGGTACAACAGCAACAGATACCGGAGCTGGCGTTTTCGGTAGCTCCCGCCGTCGGCTTACACATCTCCTTGCACGGGATAATCGAGTTCTTGGGACAACTCGTCAAGGCGCTGGAGAGATATTTGTTAGAGCCCAGTGGATCTGGATCTGGATCAACAAGGAAAGGGACGTCAGCAGCAGGGGCTCAATCGACGTTCACATCATCTTCATCACAATCAAAATCAGCCGTCTCCAGATCAGCAGCACTTTCAGCAAAGAGTGTACAGTCGAACATCGGCATCGTATATGAGATCCTAGACGAGTGCATGGTAATATCTTGAACTGTTGCGAGACTCTGCTCTTGGACTTTGCTACATGCAGCAAACTGTTTTCTAACACTCTCTTTTTACTACATTAGGAGCTCGGATACCCAATGATGCCAAGTCTAGCCCAACTTGATCTGCTTGTCTTTGGTGTAGCAAAGGTGTCGTAAATATGGATGCCAAACAACATGCCAGACAAACTCTTTATTAGTTTGAGCATAAACCACTTGGGTCTAATTCTCATAGTCTAGACTATATCATCGTGTCCCCGCCATTCCTATCTCTCGGGTGTGGAGTAATACCGGCGCTCCTCGATCTTTATTTTTCCTTTTACATTTAACCTTGTCCTATCCTTCCCTTTATTCATGACCAACATCGTAGATTAGCATATGTAGAAAGGAAGGATTTTCATCTTGATCCCAGTTTACGAGATCGATGGTTCTGGTTGCAATTGTCACTTGTAAGCTCTTTGCGATGGATTTGGACATACATACAGTAGCGCGTTCATATTGTGCTGCATAATACACAGAGTAATTCCAAACAACATGTAGTGGGTGAAATAGAGTATGGGATTGATGAGTAACTAAATCGAGAACAACCAATGCAAAGACGCTTGTCGGCCAACGCTACGAGACACCGCCAAGATACAGAGCAGAAAAGAAGAGTAGAGCCCTCATCCACAAGACCAAGTAAAGTCGAGAAACGTTTATGAGTTTTAATAGAAAAAAAGCAGGTACATTTTGAAGAAAAGAATGAAGCATACTCTAGACAGAAAAATGCCGCCTTCATCAGAGCAAACTTGCTTGAGTTTTTGCCACTACTCCCAGCAGCTGGGTGGGTAATCTCTCCATAGAGCCTTGTCGGAGTAATGTCTCCTGACAGCATACTTTATGGTCGACCCACGACGACTGAACTCGCATTGAAGTCTTCGTCCGGGAGGCACTTACAGTGATCTCCTAGAAAATTGTTGCTTATTAGACGGTGTTCATGATGAGCCAAGAATAACCGACAATATTCAAAAAGGATGGCGTACAGTGAGAAAAGATGGTACGCATCATCTAATGCACCGAAGAGCTAAAAACAATATCAAAAGCACTTATTGCCACAGAAACGAAGAAGGAGCGACTAGGAGCCAGGCACCACTAAGCAGATTGAAACACGGGGTAACTCTGACATTCGGCGGATAGGGGATACCCATAACTCTCAACAAATGAAAGAAGATAAAGAACAAAGAGCTTACACTATGCGCGCCGATCATCAAGGGAGGTAAAGCCAATCACGCTATCATATGTCTGCGAGCAATACCAAGAACAACGTCGCGACCGGACTCCGCACATCCTTTTGCACGTCGGCCTGAATTGTTAGTCCGCTGATCATCCATAAAAAAGCGCGAACGCAAAGACGGATGGAAGGACATACATGAGATTTGCGTAAGCGAAGTTGTCCCTGTAAAGATCCTAAATAGTCAATTCACATCCAGTTATGCTGCCGAGCTGCCGGTGACTTCACAGTGCGATAAAATGAGTGCGTAAAGAGACAAGCAAAGATGGTGGAAGATAAGGTGAGTGCAAAATGGTCAAATACAGCTGCGATTCATCGCACATTTCACAGGATGCTCGCGTCAAGAAGTAAACAAAAGGCCATCACTATTCATTTAGATAAAAGGTAGATTGCCGCTATTCATTTCAGGTCGATCGGAAGCCGCTGCACAGCACCCCTGAAATGCGGGGCAAGAACTTTATTAGGTTGTGACACACAGCTTTGGTTGACAGCGGAAAGAGAAATGGAATCCAACTTGAGAGTCCCGAATAAGAATGCTGCTCAGCAATGAGCGGCAGGCGTAGTAATGGTGAGTGTACGGAGAGGAATGTATGCTTCAGAAAGCGTAACGCTTTCACCATTCCCAAGGGCCGCCCACACCTCTTGTGGTTGCTGAGACACACACTCTGCCTTTAGGTAAACTGCCCTTAATAATCAGAATTGGTGGCAATCTAAACAACTATTTTACTGCGAGGATGAGGGTTAAAGCGCAACACAATTCCCACCATGACACACTTTGATCAGATCAATGCCTCATTCCTTAAATGGCTCAATACCAACGGAGCGACAGTCTCGGCATCGATCTCCCTTCAGGATTACTCAACCGAGGGAGCAGGTCGCGGCGTCGTTGCCTCCGCTGATATCAAAGTACGATAATAACTCTTCTTTTTTTTTTTTTGCTCTCATACAATATATACCTATTTACCTATTAACTTGTCGGTTTCATTTTTTCTAACACACAGAAAGATGAAGAAATATTCTCGATCCCCAGTTCATTACTTCTCTCGCCTGAGACTTCTCAGCTTGCTCAGAAGGTCAATCTCAAGGAATTGGAAGGATGGAATCCACTGCTGATGTGCATGGTTTACGAATACTGCCTTGGAGCAGAGTCGCACTGGAAGCCCTATTTTGGTAATAGCGCGTGGATCTTGCTCTACTGCATTTCGTTGACGGCTAATAGCTCTGCACCATTTGATACCTAACAGTGCTGCGTTTCACTTATTCGATTTATTGTTAATGTAGATATTCTTCCGACTGAGTTTTCAACGCCAATGTTTTGGAACAAGGAAGAAGTGGAAGAGTTGAAGGGCACAGGAATCGCTGGTAAGAGGAATAGCAGCAACAAATAGTGAGATACAGCAGTAAGGGTCGTAATGAGATACAGAATACTGACATTGAACGACTCCTGTGGCATCTTTTAGACAAGATCGGAAAGGAGGAAGCAGAAACACTGTTCACAGAAAAACTCTGGCCCTTGATCTCTGCAAATCTACAACTCTTCCCCCAGCAGAATCAGGATGCATCTGCATTTTTGAAAATCTTTCACCGCATGGGCTCCCTAATCATGGCCTATGCATTCCACGACACGATTCCCGGTAAAGACGAGGACGAAGATATGGACGAAGACAACGATGACGAAGAGGAGGAAGAAGAGAAAGTGAATGTATCAATGGTTCCGATGGCCGACATGTTAAACCACAAGACCGGATACAATAACGCAAGACTATTTCACGAGAAGGATCGTTTGAGGATGGTCGCGATCAAATCCATCAAGGCTGGTCAGCAGATCTATAACACCTACGGCGAATTATGCAATGCTGATCTTTTGAGAAAATACGGATTTGTGGACGTACCGAATCCGCACAATATTGTGGAGATCAGTGGTGAGTCCGTCGTGGCAAAATGCACAGAGACGGACGAGAACGGAACGGAGGAGAAAGTTGAGTGGTTGTTGGAGCAGGAGGGATTGGAGGAGTAAGTTCTTGTCCTTACATTTATATGCTTCTTGATGCACCTGAGTTGATCTATATCATCATGCAATCTGCTCTGCGGCTAACTCGGTCTCTTTTTTTGTTCTCATAAACATCGATAGTTATTTCATTCTTGAATCGGACGGCGAAATCCCTGAAGATTTGATCGGATGTGCCAAGATCCTGATGATGCCAATCGACGAGTTCAAGGCGACAGTCTTGGAAGGAAAGAAATTGCCCAATACAAAGCTGACCGTAGGGGTGCAGAAAGTCCTACTCGAGTTGCTAGAGGACAAACTTGCCGAGTACGCATCCAATGTCAAGGTAACATTGCGGTCCCAAATGTTTCTTATTCCTGCCAGTCTATTCATATGTCATCCTATACCAGTTCACTTAACCCCCCCCTGTTTTCAACTTTGCTCTCTTAGGATGACAAGGCGATTTTAAAGCAGCCCACGGAAAGTGTTCCCTTGAATAAGCGAAATGCAGCAGTTGTACGATCAGAAGAGCGTGAGATTGTGCAGCGCGTTTTGGACAAGGTCAAGAGGTGGAGACCTCCGACTCTCGCACCCGCAGCGACATCAGGAGGCAAGCAAAAAGGAAATGCTAAGGGCCAACATCCAAACAAGGGCAAGAAGCCATATCAAAACAAATAAAACTTGGAGCAAAGAAAGCATATGTATCCCTAGAACCCATTAAGGCGCTGGTTTCGGCATTGAGTTGAAAGCTCTTTATCCTGCGCAAAGTTAATTCTTCACTGGCTTATCTATCCTTCTACAGAGGTAGAGTTGGCCTTGTGTTTGGGATCAAAGCGGAAAGCCTCAGGCGCTGGCCCTAGAATCATGTCACTCAGCTTGATCCAATCCTTCACGTCGGTGGAAGCCATCAGTGTCTCCATATCATTTCGTCCGACAAATGCAGGTGGGCGATCGTTCATCTTCTGAGGGAGGACTTCAAGCAATCCAACAGGGACATAGCGATGCAAGAAGCCTGCTCGCCAAAAATAAGGAAAATATCATTATTAGTACGCAGAAAATGATACCGATCCGCCATCAACAGAAAATATAAGGTTGACGTACTTTGCCACTCCAACAGGAAGCGTCGGGTTTGGTTGACGCCCTGGGTGTCCGAACCCCAGTGCTCGAGTCCATAATCGCAGAACCGCTTCATCATATCAAATCGCTCTCCAGACGAGATATCCCAGTCTCGGTTTGATTTGATTTCCTCAAAAATCCAAGGTTTCATCAAAGCGCCTCGTGCAATCATACACCCGTCCACCTTGTGCGTTTCCAAGTGAGTATAATAATCGGATGGTCCAAGGATATCTCCATTACCGAAAAGGGGCATATAATTGTCTCTTCCAACGGTGCCGCGGTCCACCTGGGTGCATGTTTGGATGTAGTCCCAGTCTGCAAGTTTGGTGTAACGCTGCTGGCGGGATCGGCCGTGAAGAGTTGCAAGGGATGCTCCAAGATCGTGAAAGACGCTCGTCATTTGTTCGCCGATGGGCTTCTTGTCGTAGATAGCCATCCTGAATTTGACAGTAACGGGGACATCCAAGACGGACTTCATACCAGTAATCATCCTCTTCATCTTGCCAGCTGAACCCAAGAGTCCGCTTCCGGCTCCCTGCCAACAAAAAAAAAAAAAAAAAAAAAAAAAAAAGTGTCAGAATTTGTGCCTTGATAATCGAATAGACTCTGTAAGCTTATAATTGTATAATGTAACCGCAAATGCATACAGAATTGAAGACGAGGTCGATGGGGCATCCCATGTTGAGGTCTACAAAGTCGACGTCGGCCATCTGGTTGATCATATCGCACGCCCTAACAACGACGTCGACCTTGTTGCCCGTCAGTTGCACTCCAAAAATATCCTCGGTCTTGTGCCTCCGAAGAAGTGCCAGCTCTCCCTTTTGACCCTGTACCAGGTTGGCGGCCATGGCCATCTCTCCGCAAGTGATGTCGACTCCGTACTCTTTACAAATACGACGGAAAGGCAGGTTGCCAACAGTAGTCAGAGGCGCCAAGTATGTCTTGCCTCTGAAATCGATCTAATAGAATGGAATAAGCAACACGAAGTTAAGCGATACGTTTTTTGCATGAGGATGCCACTAGACCTCCTTATCAACTTGCCTTTTTCTTTTCGCACGATCGCAGTGGGACATCAGGTGTATCGATATGTGTTACTTCTTCCCGGACGGTTGTTGTCCTGGGCGTCTTGACGTCTCTATCCTCCAGCTCGATATGGCCACTTTTGCGTGGTGTGGGTTCAGGAAGACCGAGCTCCTTCTTTTGGTTTGCCGTCTGTGCCATTTCAGTCGCCATTTTCTTCAGATACTCCTCGGATCGTTTGAAGTCGAACTGCAAAAAGAGACCAAGCATCACTGTGTTAGTACTAATAGGTATAATAACCAAACACTGAGTTGACGATGGATCCCTTCATTACCTGGAATGAGCGCAGCTTGAGCGTAAGATCGTGTGTAAAGACATTCAAGGTTTGTGGTCCAACCTTTGCGATTTTTTCCTCGTCCTTGATCAAGTTGCCATCCGCGTCCATATGAGCCTTCAAATATCTGCATTTGTAACCGTAATGGCACCTAATTGATATAAAGTACTTGTTAAGACAAGCGCTTATTGCTATCGACCATCTGGATCCAGTCATATTGCCGCATGAAAATAGACGTACTCTCCGTAGATCTCAAAGTTGGGGCAGCGATCACCTAGATCCTCTCCTTTGGCCTCTAAATACTTTTTGACGTCGTGAGTGAACTTGCAGCTACAAGAATATGAAAAACCCTATTATGTTAGTCAAAGAAATGACAGTGCATACACTGCAGCCTAATGTCTATAGTCTTTTTACCTATCTCCTTTGTCACATTCAACACCTTTGGCGACCTTGAAGCACAGTTGTATTTCATCCTCGATACGACGCGTCACCACGCGGTCCTGTGTTTGTCCGCCTCCACGCTTTTTTTTGTTGTTCTTGACGTGCTTCTATATCGGGTGGTTTGGCGTTGGATCATACCAGACTGGTCAGCTCATCAGCACTATAGCCCCCAATTGCTCTTGATCCACTTCCTTTTTAATATCGCCTTACATCTTTACGGTCTCGCTTGTTATTTCCATTGGCCGAGTCATTGCTGTCGTTCTCTCCACCAACACGGCCCTGGTCTCCTTCCTTCTCGACGCCCTCGCTTAACTGGGCGATAGTCTCTTCCTTGGAAGCGATAGGCTCTGCTGTGCGGAGGTATTCAGGTTTGATAGGCGAGATCCCCTTTTGGTAAGTCGACGTAGAGGATGCTGATTCCTCGTTTGATGTCTCTGACGGCGCTGCGGAGGGAGCCATCTCCTTCGTCGTGTTTTCGGACGACATGTCTTTCAGTGTCTTGTCGTGAATGAGCGATGAAGTGCAGAAAAAAAAAATGCTGCGTGGGAGACAAATAAACATTTTGCGCCGTCACTTTTACCTGCCAAATTAGGGCGCCATGAGCAGTTCGTGCATCCATTCCATTATGGCATTTGTGTAACCAAAAATAGTGAACTTGGCCGTACTCAATCTTTGGAGATAGCAGATCGCGTAGGCGAGTGCCAACTCCTGAAATGCTTGGCTTGTTCGATTTTCGGGCCTTCAAATAAGAACGATATCCGGGGTAGCAGCCAACTGAGGTATATGCCTCTTCTGTGTACTTTTGGGACGATTGATTGCCAGTTTTCGTTCTCCTGTGTTTTTGGTCGCTTCATGGTAGTCGAGGACATATGAAAATGGACTGTAGTAGAGTGCTTGGATCTGGGTGAAATGCGGTGCGGTAGGAATGTTGAGGTAGAACTTGAACATGATGAAGGATCCAGAGTTGGACATTCAGTTCTTTAGAGGTGGTGTACAGGTCGTGCGTTGTAAAGATATCCTCTACAATGCAGTACGTCGTTTTTTTTTTTTTTATATTGCTTTTTCAGACATCATGCACCACTGGCATCTCCCCCGCAAGTCTAGGCACCAACTTTCAGAGCCTGCGCTTAGCCACGTAGAAAGCCTTAGTGTCTGGACACCGAATGTCTCTTTCTAAAGAAGTCAAAACACGGAGCTCCAACCACCGATACACATGTTCTAAGTGCATATGAACATGTTAGCTGAAACAGCCGCTCCTAGAATGCTTTCAAAGTGCAGTTCAGCTGGTGGGGTATAAATGAACGCGTGTTGCCGCAAGTTGTCTGTGCTTAGCCCAGCCATCTTTTTCTCTCTTATGAAGACTTTCGCGTCGCTTTATTTTCTCCAGTCAGCCTGAACGCCCATTTTTCTGAGGATGCTTTGACGTCTGTCCATGACGGTCCCGTAGCAATCAGATGCATTCCACTATCTTTCATTTAGCGCAAATGAACAGCGGGGATCCAGGGTTCAGGGCCAGGAATAAGGTTTATTCATCCCCAACCCATTCTTCGGGAAGTCATGTGACGTTATGCACCTCGAGTTCCCTTGTGGACGACAATGCTTCAACTCCACCGCATGATCGATTGCCAGGACACGACAGGAATACGGACGTATAGAGACAACATGACACAGGCACCACAACCTCGGGATGCAAAGGGTATCACGGCGGAAATACGATTACATTCGATCTGTCTTGAACGTCATTCTTCAAAGCAACCTAACTTTTCAACACATTTGTCTTCGTCTTGGATAGTCATCTCCTTGATCTTACAATCACTCTCTGTCGAGGATGCAGAGCAAAAAGTTATTCATCAACTGCTCGAGTTTGCACATCGTACGTACCACACACACCTTTCAATTGCACAATAGCAGGAGTATCTTCAAGACGTGATTAATAACAGTAACTGTTTGGATTGCGCGCTATTATGTCGATAGGCTACACAACGGACGTTTTCCAGGACGCATTACTGTATTCTGAGCACGCCGGCAGGACCGAAGTAGGACTCGACGATGTGAAACTCGCGATCCAGGGTCGTGTCAACCACTCCTTCACCTCACCACCACCCAAAGAGGTAACAACAAGCGCTGGAGACTAGACAAGGCGTTCAATCACATGCGACGGCAGCACCAGCATAAGCAAGATCCAAACAGTACGAAGAGACTCCAACATCAAAACTCTGACATCTTGAACAATTCAATATCTGTACTGTCCGTCATCCTAGTTTCTTCTCGAGCTTGCAGAGGAAAAGAACAAGGTCCCTTTGCCCTTAATCCCCGAAAAGTACGGCATCCGTCTCCCTCATGAGCGGCATTGTCTAACCACTGTCAACTTCCAGCTCATTCCTGAGGTACGGCTCCACTAGCTTCGGCTTTTTCGAATCTCTTTGCGCCTGTGCTGTGTCCAACATTGGACTATGCCGTTGCTATATAGTATATGTGATAACAGTTGTCATCTTGAGGGGGGGTTTTTTTTTATACACTTCAGCTTCCACCGCCAGGTACCCACCACAATTCACTATCGCAATCGACAAACGCCATGGATATATCTATATCATCGTCAGGAGCAATAGGATCACAATCGACCGATACAGGAGCACCATCATTGTTCAAGGTCAAGGATGAGGACGAGGATTCGGACGAGGAGATGAAGGAGGTCTCGGAGGAACCGCTTTCACAGAACCAACAGAATATGGTGAACCATGACCTCTGGAAACGCAAGCGGGTAGACGAGGAGGAGAACTATGACGACGAGTAGCTTGACAATCGATAGGCTGCTGTCTATCGGCCATCATCGGTCGAATAAACGGAATGGAAATGTATAATACCAAACACGAGGAAGAACGGCATTGCGGCATGATAATTTGTTGCCTGAAGATTGTACTTTCATGTGTATACGGGAGCCGTCTCTGTGAAAATTCGGAGCTGCCTTTGCGGACGACACGAATGCTCTAATGAATATGCCATGTTCATGCCTCAAATCAGCGGCGTCTAAACAATCCCTGGAGCGTCCGCAAATCGACGTACAGTAGGATGAAATTGGCTGCTTTCCTTTGTGGAACGAGAGAGAAGGGGAGCAACAGTGTACATGTAGTTCTACTGTGGAGGGCCAGATATGAGTCAGAAATGTCGAATCCGTTCTTAGTGCCCAGTTTCCACTTCTCGGATCGCCGCCATGGAAGGAGTAAAGACTTAAAGTTCAATTGCGCAGGTGGTTCGTGCACGCAGCCCATCGTCCCTTTTGCAGGCACTGCGAAGGCTTTTATTTCTCAGAAAAAAAAAAAAAAAAAAGGACGGCGCCTTCTCATCTTCGTGTTTGCCTTCAGTACCTATCGCGTAATTGTCAAAAAGCAAATCCCGCTCTTCGCTACCTCCACCGCCTCCTCCAGCTTCTTCTCATCCGCTTCCAAAAACCTCTCCTCCTCCGGAATCTCATCCAGGCTCTTCTTCTTACACAACTCCATAAAATGCTTCTGCCGCTGCTGCATCCTCGACACCTCCCGATGGTCCCCCTGTCCGCTCACCATAATCACCGCAGTTCTCGGCGGCAAACAATTAATAATCCGCTTTAAGCTCTCGTCAATCGATCGGATGCCCGATCGGACCTCTTCCTCAGAAGCCTGGATCTTATCTGCACTACTGATCTTCGACGCACGGCCCGTGTCGGCAAACTGACCCTCACTCAGGGACTGTTCAGGCGCCTTGCCATGGTTGATTTCAATATCTCGGAGACGTGCCCATACAAAATGGTGCTTCTGGATCGCCTCCGGCAAAGCCTCTACCACGTCTTGATCACTTTTAGTCCGGATAGTCGTCGTAGCGTTCTGACCCGCAAACGAATCAGAGTCAATGAGAGCTGAGGTCCTGGGGCTGTTGAACCGATGAAGCCTTGAAAAGAGTGATTCCTGGTCCTGGACATATTCACCAAATCCTGGAGGCTTGGTTAGTTTCAACTTGATGAGATCCATACACGCGAGGGCATCCTCCGCAGAGTCGTGTCCACGTTCAATATTGGCCTGGATCTGACGTTGGAGCCATTTCTGGGCGAGCCATTTCAGACCGGGACGATATGGTGGGCCGCGTGTGTGGTGGAACACCAGACTCGTATCGATGATGAACGGATGGGCAAGCTATCAGAAGAATGAGGGTCAACCCATTAGTTTTTTTTTTTTTTTTTTTTTTTTTTGTTACCAGTATTGTCAAGGTATACCGGAGTGCAGGAAAGGACTTGTTACCTTTAGGACTTTCATATCGTTTTCAAGAGAGTGCCCAACAAGGATGGTGTTATAATCGATGATCTTTTTCAGTATCTTCTGAACATCAGCCAGCCGGGTAGTGACGCCTTCAAGACGCGAAGCTGTCATGCCAGAGTACTGCGTCAGGTAATCCAGAATGGGTTTCTTGGGCATCACAAGTTCATCGAATATGGGCTTTCCATTATGGTCAATCAAGGTCACTCGCGTCAATTCTGGACCGTCCTCTGTCCTACACTGTTTTCATTGAGAATTGAAGCGAATTATAAGCATCAAGAGCACGTTAATACCCTAATAATAAGACAATTATTGATGTCCACATCATAAATTAAATAAATCCAGGCGCGTACCATCTCACAATCCATGGCGATCATGGTCTTGGGAGGAGGCGTCAGTGTTGTCTTCTTCAGCTTTGGTGTCTCAATCCAGCCCTCTGCCAACTCAGGAGAGTCTGAGTCCAGATAACGAGGTATAGGGAAATTGCTTTCGCGCAACTCATCTAGGGACATTATATAGTTTTCTGGCTTCATCTTCTTGTTTGTCTTTTGATCTATTTCTTTTTTTCCGAAATTGAAAAAAAAAAAGAAATTAGATCCCTGGTAGAAGCGACGGGTAGGTCTGTATAGATACCAATACAGTGTGATCAGACCTTCAACTTACTCTTCTTCTCGTTCTCACGCTTGATCTTCTCCGAGTTACTCAATGGCACGTTCAGCAACGTGTTGGTCGGAGAAAAAATCCTATGCTTATCACCCGTCGCCGTGACAACATTCGCCTTCTCAAAATGCTCTTTCAAGTACTGGAATTCTGAAACAGGTCCTCCGTACTTCTCGACGCGGTCGATCCATGCAATGGGCCTGTGTGCATCGGGCGACTTGAGGTTGACATGGAACAGAGTTGGATCGAGACCAGAGATGTAGAGCAAAAGGACCTTGTCAATCCTAAACTTATTCCGGACCTCAATCCAAGGTAATGAGGGCGTCTCAGTCAGGACAAAGACTACGAGGTCGCGAAGGTCCTATTCAAGCAACCCATACAATTATGCGCGTCAGTCTGGTATTTTCCATAGTCAAGACCGTGTCAATGTACAAAGGTGCCATGGTTATAACAGCTCTCGGGGTCTATACCTTCAGAGTGAGCAAGTCGTGACCATCCTTGATCGTGAACGCTGGTTCTCCATCACCTTCGCTCTTCCTTTTAAGCTGCTTTTGCTTAGTCTTTAGCATCTTGCGCTCCTTCTTCGTCAGTCCGTTGGCATCGACTGTAGATGAAGAAGAAGGTGAAAAATGGTCAGAGAGCCTTAGTTGTTGTTCATATTTTACTTTGATACCATAGTGACTCCAATGACGTCAAATGACGGACCTGCAGGCGCGACGTGGGTCGCATTGGACCTGTTAGAGTTGTCCAAATCACCGAAATTGGCGCTGACTGCCGTCCTTGCCACCACACTTGATATAACTGTTGTCGTACTGATCGTCTTTGATTCCACAACCTTGACCTGCTTCTCTGTCTTCTCCTTCTTATAGCTTTTGACATCCCTCTCATGATCCAGCGTCTTCTTTTCCTGCACCATAACCTCAACAATGGCCTTGGTAAGAGCCTGCGCTGCTGTAGTAATCGCAGGCATGATGTCCGCATCCATGTCGTTCGAATCTGCACATGGGCTTGAGGTGGCGCTTGAGTTAGGGCTCGGAATATCATTGTCGGATGCTGACGATGATGTTCCTGATCGGTCTTTCTTTTGCCTCTTTTCCTTTTTATCCTTCTTTTCCTTGAGCATTTTCTTGTCCTTTTTGTCATTCTTCTCTTTCTTGGCCGTCTTTTTCTTTAAATGCTTCCTGTCGCTCTGGTTCATATCGTCCTTGTCCTTCTTGTCGTTCTTGGTCTTCTTGCTGGGTCGGTCCAAGTTCTGTCTGTGGCTGGCCTCATTTACCTCGTCACTGATGATGTTGCCCTTAGTCTTGGTTGCTAGTTTCCTGTCCATCCCTTCCTCCTTGGAGCGCTTTCGCTTCTTGTCGGCTCCCATGATGTGTCAAAGCAAGATAAAGGGGTCGGCAGTAGCGAAGTGGCCTTCACAAAAAAAAAAAAAAAAAAAAGGGAGAATCTGTTTACAAAACCTTAATTTGTGACCATCATTGATTTGGTGGCAACAAATGAATTCAATCGACCAACTGCCAGTCGAATCGTAGACTGATATAAATGATATAAAAAAAAATAAGTTCTTTATGCATGTTGCTCTATGCTCTACGTTCACACGGCACGCTTTTTGTTCTCAGCGCTTCGGACCATCTCCAACAGGACCTCGAGCTCTCCAGACCTCTCGCACATCTCTCTAAAGTGCGTCTTCCTGCCATTGCTATCGTCCAGCAGATTTGCAGGCGTGTCGTACTCCAACACCTTGCCATGATCCAGCACCAATACCTTATCGTATAAAATAATCGTGTTCAACCGGTGCGCAATGCAGATCACTGTCGAGTTCTCAAATTCCTGCTGGATTGCCGACTGAATCGCCTTATCCGTTGCAAAGTCCACCGAAGCTGTCGCTTCATCCATCACAATGATCTTTGAGTTCCTTAACAACGCACGCGCCATGCATAGCAGTTGACGCTGTCCCTGCGAAAAGTTTGATCCACCTTCGCTGACAGGGTTGTCAAGGCTCGAAAATGAGACATGTGTCTTGCCACCAGTCATACCTGCCGCTGTCGAGGGTCCTGCGGCTGTGGGGGATGATGTCGATGCATTGTTGGAATCGTCGCCGTCGTGGACACTCACAGCGGAAGAATCCTGACCAGAACCAACCAAATGCACGCGCTGAAGGGCCTCCCAGAGTTCGCTATCGACATGGTCGCTGAATGGGTCCAGATTGGAGCGGATGGTGCCTGTGAAGAGCATGGGATCCTGAGGAATAATAGTGAGGCGGGATCGTAGATCGTCCAGTCCAATATCGCAGATATTGATGCCGTCGACATGAATGCTGCCGCCGACGGGCTCTACGAATCGGAATAATGACAGCGCCAGCGTACTCTTTCCAGATCCAGTTCTGTAGACGAGAAGAAAAAGCTGTTAGTATCCGGAAAATGGCAAGTAGCAAAGTAATGATAGATCCCTTATATAAGTCTGGCAACAAACCTTCCAACCACACCAATTTTCTGGCGCGACTCAACTGTGAAGGAGATACCTCTCAGGACCGTCTCAAGTTCAGGAGCATACTTCATCTCCAGATCCTTAACTTCAATGCTTCCTCCAGTAGGCCAGGCAGCAGGAGGCCTGCGTCCTTCAATCACAGCTGGAGGCTCCTGAGCCATGACGGTATACTCTGTGATACGCTCGATCGAGTTCAGCTCCATCTCAATCTGAGTGTACTCGCGCACCAAAAAGTTAACCAACGCCACGAACTCCAATGCATATGTCAATGCCAAACCAGCTGTTCCTGCATCGATACCGATCGGGTTCATGAGAATAAAAATACCAGACGACAACGCGACAAGTGCTCCAATGGAATCCGAGCGAACTGAGAGCCAGCGGTTTGCAATCCAGAGGAAATAGAAAGGACGATTGCTGTCATCCAACTTGGTCAACAGATCGCCCATGAACCGGCTCTGTTCGCTAAAGGCGCGAATGGTCGCAACACCAGCGAGCGTCTCTCCAAACGTTGAATAGATGGGCGACCGAGAAACAGAATGCAAACGCTTGAGCTCACGAGATGAGCTGATGTACTTCTTGCCCACAGAAAGGTATGCGACTGAGATCAAGGCTGCCACAACAACGAATAGAGGGGTAATGTAGGCCAAGACGATGATGATAGAGCTAGCTGACATGATAAGCTGCAAGAGCTGCGAGCAGTTGCCGGCAATCGATCCATCAACGGTCTCGAAATCGTTCGAGAATCGGTTCATGATACGGCCAACGGGTGTGGTGTCGAAGAATCGAAGAGGGGCACGGACCACAGACATGAGCAGCTTCCTGTACAACGACCTGGCGGCGCGGAGAGAGCCATAAAGCACAATCACGGTCTGCATGATGTGGGCCAAACTGGCGCCGATCGAGATCATAGCATAGATAAACAGGTAGTAGTCGGTGCTGTGCTTTTCAGGAATGCCCATAATATACTCAGAACCTAAGCCCATTGTCAAAAGTGACTTGTTGGTGACAGACTGAGCAGGGTCATAAAGACTTGGCTGGGTTTGGTAGCCCTGCGAGTCTGAGTAGATGGCAGAAGAGGCGAGGTGCGAAGTGGAGAAGCCCAAGACGGAATAAATGTTCGAGAACATGAACTTGACCAAAGCAGGTGCGTAAGAGTTAGCCCACTCACGCACCCAAAGCGATTCAGAGACCTCGACCATGCGTGTGATAACAAATGCGACCATGAGAATGAACCAAAAGGCGATACCTCCTGCAGCGGATGCATAGACCTTGTAGATCGACCACTTGACACGACCCTCCTCGCGTGTCTCATCCAGAACTAACTTTCTGGCATCCTTGGCAGGTGCGACGGGCTGTTGTGTATCCTTGAGGTCCTTGGCGATCGACTTTCTTCGCACAGGCTTAGGTGTATTGGCGATGGCTGAGGAGGATCCAAGGTCGTTTTCGTTGACAGTATCGGCGTCCGATGAATCTGCGCTCTGTTCCTCGTCCTCGTCCAACACAAGCGACAGCGATCCTTGCTCACGAAGATGCTGGACGGATCCTTGAACTACGATCTCTCCATTGTTAACCAAAACGACGTGCTTGGCGGTCGAGATGCAGAGTCGAACATGATGCGTGACAAGAATGCAGGTCCGGTTCTTCATGATCGGTCCAATCAAGCATTTCTCATGGATATGTTCCGCAGTGTGAGCGTCAACAGCTGAGAGACAGTCGTCCAGAAGAACATGGCGGGATCGAGAATAGATAGCGCGGGCTAAGGAGACACGCTGCTTCTGACCACCAGAGAGAGTGATGCCCTTCTCCCCAATCTCAGTCTGGTCACCATCCTCCAGGATCTCGAGATCGCGCTTCAAGGCGCAGACCTCAATAACTTGATTGTATCGTTCCTCCTCGTAGACACTTCCAAACAGAATGTTATCACGAATGGAGGCATTCTGCAGCCAAGCCTGTTGAGACACATATGCAACGCCGTCGTTCAGCAATCCAGTTTCGGGATCGAACTCCTTGGATCCATCGAGAGGTCGTCTGGGCAGGTAGATTTCGCCTGAAAGGACATCCATCTCTCCCAACATTCCTAGCAACAATGACGTCTTTCCACCTCCGGTTGGTCCACAGACAATCGAGAGCTCGCCTACCGGAAACGCGACCGTGATATTACGGAGAGTAAACGTATCTGTGTCCTCAGTGCGAGCCTCGGTAGCACCTGTAGCATTTGCTTCCGGTGTCTTGGCGCTTTCTGACGTCCACCACTGAGCAGTCAACCCCTTCATACCAATCTGAGGAGAGTTTTCGCTCAGCTTCTGTCCATTAACAAAGACGTCCTTGATATTGGGCTCATCTAGATACTCTGCAATACGTCCCAAACTGACACTAGCGTTGGTGAGTGCCATATAGACGGCGGGAAGTCCATTTAGAGGGGCCTTCAGACGGGTGAACAGAACCATAGCCGTGAAAGCGACGGCAGGGGTAAACTCGCCCTTCTGAATCTTGGCATAGCAAAAGAAACTGGATAGGGTGACAAGAAGAGGCGATGAAAACCAAACCAACTGGAACAGAATCGTGTTCTTATAGACTGTGCAAAAAAGAAACGGGGTTAGTTGTTCAGTTTCTGTTTTCAGCAAATACAACTACACTTCAATGCAACTGCTTACCATTGACCAATTTCTTGAGCTCAATCTCTCGTGCCTTCAAAACCTTCTCACTAAACGACAACTCCCAGGCGAAGAATTTGATCATACGGATTCCAGCAATCAGCTACAAAAAACATAGAAAAAAAATACACTCGGTTAGCCATACTCATTGGTGAACTAAATTGGACCTGGCGCTCTTCGTTCTATCCATATCCACAACTTACCTCCCCCATCAAGGTGACGCGATCATCACGAGCACTCGAAAGCTCGCGTTGTCCCTTAGCATATCGTTTACGAACAGCCTTGTTAACGGGGATAGTGATGACCAAGATAGACATGCCCACAAGTGAGCTCCATCCAATGAGATCGTAAAGTAGGTATGTTCCAAGGGCAATACCGATTGGTGACGAAACACCAATGTGCCAAAAGTTGCACACGCCCGACACACGAACTGTATCTGTCGACATGAGGTTGACAACCTTGCCTGCGCTTGCAGGGGCATTGTCCTTGCCCTTGTCCTTGCCCTTTCCTTTGCCATCCTTATCCTTGCCATCGCTCTTTGTCTTTTTGCTGACAAGACCACTCATGTCGCGGCGGGTGAGGGTCTTTGCATAGATCTCAGCGTTCAACAGAGCCATCATGGAGACGTTGATCTTGCGTCCCATATAGAACATCTGAGACTGGACTAAGGAGCGGGAGACTTGGGCCACAAAGATGAGGACGATGTAGAGATAGGCGACCTTGGGTGGGACAGTGGGATCATTGATGTAGCTGAGAAAAAGCTTGAGGAAGTAAGGAACTGAAAAATCGAGGCAGGTTGAGATGACTACGAAGGTGAACTGCCAGAAGAAGGAGACGGCGTTGAATATAAGAACGCGCTTAAGCAACGAGGCAGATTTTCTGTAGACGACAAAAGCGAATAGTACGAGTATTAGTCTGATGTGCTTTGATTTTCAGTCGAATGTTTATCCGGAGGGCACAAAAACCAAGATTTTTCTTTATCTTGCGCCTTGGATAGCCTCGTCCAGAAAAGGAGAATTGAATCCGAGGATATACGTGATATAAAGAAGGGAGAGAAACACATTGTTCATGGAAGCAGTTTCGTTACCTGACATTCTTGAACATCTGGAACTGGGACCAGACTGTCCTGGCCCGCAGCTGTGGAAGAAGTTCCGGTAGATCAGACAGATTAATGGTCTTTGTAGATCCAATCTTGATCACACCGTTGAACCAAGAGAAGAACAGCCAGGACAGATACGAGGCATACGCTTCAGGACTCATCTCATGCTTGGCCTATACACACCACAGAAAGTACATGCTTATTAGTTCAATCATTCTTTCAATAATAGCATAAGAGTCAGAGCACACTATTAATCCATCTTTTGACAGAACTCTCCCACCCAAGCTATTGCCAAGTTATTGCCAAGCTATTGTCAAGCGCATTGACGGTAACCAAAAAGGCAAGCATCCTCCATCCCGTCATGGCTCTCAAAAGGATAATCCATTCGCCTGCGCATTTTTTTAAAATGTTTATCCAGCCTGTTGATGAACACTCAATTATCCCATCAGCGATAGACGCCGCAGTTTATATCTCCTCCATCAAAACTGCATAACGCACAGGGAATCATGAAATGGACAGTTCTTCTTTTCCAGATGATCTCTTTTTGCAACATATCAGAACTTTGAGAAAGAAAACCACAAAACAACAAAGAAAAAATGTACTTACAGATGAGTAGCCATATCCGTACCGATGGACAATGTCCAGATCCAGCTCCGCAGGCATCGTTAGCGCAACGATAAAGAGCACTAGGACCGTAGCAGCGACTCCGAAAAAGACCCACATGTCTGCAGAATAGTGACCAGAACCCTCAATGATGGAATCCAATCTGTTCCAGAGCTCGTAGAGCAGCACCGCCAATGTGGTGGAATAGAACCATTGCAGAGGTTGGATGGCAAAGGTGTACCGTATCCTGTGGGTGATGACACCCATGAGCAACACGAGTGCAATAACCCATCCTGCAAGTGTCACTCCGGGCGCATAGAGCAACTCAAGCAGGGTGCGGTCGGACGAGTCGGACGATTCAAGTCCGAGCACAAGAGAGATCAGAACAAAGGCTGTTGGGATCAAAGATATCATAAAGAGGATAATGGAACGGATTTTGATCTCCTTAGCCTTGGGCTGGACATCGGTAGTTGTGTTTTCGGAAGGATCCTTGTTGCCGAGACGTGTGTAGTCGAACGTGGACTTGCGACGGGCGAGGTGAACAGCGGATGGAGGGGCTGCGGAGGGGTTGAGCTCAATGTTGGAGGACCTGGCGGCGATTGCGCAGATTGTCCCCGAGGCGAGAATGAATGCCATGGGGATAGCTACGAGGGCTTGCATCAGTAGGATGCCCATCGTGAAATACGGACTTGAGAGAGGATCAGCAGCGTGAGGAAAGAGAGGAGAGAATGGGGTGTGGTTGTGCTAGACGGTTGATGGCACTCTTCTCTTGGAATGGAAGAGAAGAGAGTCGCAAACCGCAGAGGTGCAGCAAGGTTGATATGCCACTGCATAGGATCAAGATTGCGGAAACGGGCAACCCAGATAGCTGTGTTATCCAATGTGCTCTGAGTACGTTCAATCATGCTAGTTTCTGCAACACAGCGATAAAAAAATTTTACTGGCTCGCTCCTTTTTTTGGTGGCGCGTAAATGCATCACATTGATCGCAGAACGCGCCTACTACGGGAACACGTCTATTGAGAGCGTTCATCGGAATTGTTTAACCAGCCTCTCTGAGATGCCTATGCTGATGTGCAGTTGCTCCATTCTGGAAGGCGCTTCAGTATCCATGCATCTTTTCTCAGAGGATCTCTACAATTGGCAAAGCGCTTCCAGATATGGACTTGCTGCCACCAGTTTTAAAGCCCTCGATTCAAGATAACCATCAGCTCTTTTATCTCGCTCCGACTCCTGTGTCCATACTCTCTTCTAGCACGTAAAATGGTCGCCTTCTACTCAATTCAACGCCTGGCGGCCGTGATCCTTCCAGCCACTCCGCAAACAACGCGTCCGAACTTAGCCATCGGCTCTGGCTTATCTATACGACTGTGACTAGATTCAAGCCTATACACATCAACCTCCGAAAGGGAAAGGTCAGTCTTTCAGGCCTGTGATCGATATATCCTCGCGCTTCTGAACCATTGCTTTAAAGAGTAGCTTGACTAGATAAAAGATATTCCGGCGAAATGGTTGCATCTTTGCCTGTAGTGCTTTGCCCACCTCTGATATTCCTGTACCAGTGGTCCGAAAAAGCTCATTGGATCAGCCTCATAATCTTCATGCTTGTGCTCATTGGAACTCATTGGCCAGCTTGATCTCGTATTCATCATCGCCAGTGCCGCCTGCTCACTTCACTTCTCCAGCCGTACTACCATTCTATGAGCAGTGCTATCACCAAACAACTAGCCCAACAGATGATATGACCCTTTAGCCTGCAAGCGGCAGATCTAGTCAATGTAAACCCGCGCCATATTCTCGATGGTCGCCAAAAGCTGTCCTATTCGATCAAATTGGCAAGCTTGTAGGCTATAGATAAGCTGATTGATATGAAATAATGTTTATAAGAGCCAGCTGGATACGAGCAATGGCTCATAGCGCTTGTCCAATCCCACCGAGAAAGCTTTTCTTTACCACAAAATCCTTGAGCTGAATATGTTGTCCAGAATGATGAAATACAAGAAAAAGTGCAGGCAATTGCTCGTACACCAGTCTATCAAGTCTATCAAGTCTATCAAATCAAGCTTGTCGAAATTTTCAGTAGATGTGGTCGACATATTGACAATACCATCTGGAGCACAATCGACATGCAAAGGCGATTCGGTATATTGGTCTTGATTGAGGTTTTTCGAAGAAAGGGGTTTGATGATGAATAGTTTTCTAGCCAGCATAAAGGACTTATCGCAGTCGCCGTCCTCAGTTCTTAGCGATTTGATTTCGATTTGATTTGCTTTCTGTGTTAAGGGGTGTTTTCGACGCGGCGGTATCTTTTTTTTATGTTTTGTGTAACTTGGGAAGTGAAGCGATATCAAATCCAAACCGTTTTACTCTCAGTTCTAAACACTCGATTTCGGGAAGGAGGATGGTTGGCACGTTGCAGTTTTGGTATACATGCTCTACCTTTCACACTCACCTTTCTTTCGCTCTCACCCTTCACTCTCCCTTCATTCGCACCTCACTTCATTCTCCTGATGGCCCGCGGTCGTAATTTAGTTCGTCATCCGAGAACTCTCCGTGAACGAGCAATCGCCACAGCGAAATGGCTTGCGCTTTACGAACTTTTACAAGCTGCCGAGGACGAAACATACGAAATTTCTTTCAGATTTGTCGTCTTTGTTTGGCTCATTCGATACTTCCAAACGGCCCGTTACCTGAATTTAAGATCATCGCTGAGTTTTTACAAGTCCACGGCTCATCGAGACATGGTCTTATCTGTGGGGTCGGATCGCATCTTCAAGAACGCATTCCGTATGACGATGGTTCAGTTTAATTTCGTGGTTGATGCTATCAAGGACCACCCTCAATTCCAAAACAGGGGTAGAAAACCGCAGGCGTCCGTTGCTATTCAGCTCAAGGTCGCACTTCAACGACTTGCCCACGATGGATCCTTGGCCGGATACGAGTCCATTGGCCCTTCCATGGGCGTGTCCGTGGGCACAGCACATGAATACTACCAACGATGTGTTCTGGCGCTGTGCGATAACGTCGAGCAGTTCATCACATGGCCGCACGCTGACAGGAAGACCCAGGTCAAGGCGCATTTTGCTCGAAAGGGCTTTCCTGACGCCGTTGGTATCGTAGATGGGACGATGTTTCCATTCGTCCGTGCGCCGACCTGGAATCGGGATTTATGGGCGACAAGGAAGAAGAACTTTGCCATGGGAGCTACTGGAGTGTGTGACCACCATGGTATCTTCATCGCCTTCACGACTGGTTATTATGGAAGTTGGCATGACTCCACAGCATATAGGACGACCCCACCTTACCAACGAAAAAATCAGCACTTTTCAGATCAGGAGCATTTGCTAGGAGATGCGGCGTATAAGTCATCGCCTACTATGATGACAGGCTACCACAGGATGCAACGACCTATCATCAATGCCCACAGATTCAACAAACGCCTGAACTCTGCTCGAGCAAGGATCGAACACGCGTTTGGAATGCTCAAAGGACGGTTCCCATCTCTCACGAATTTGCGACAGGTTATTCGTCAAGAAGAGGACGTCGACAAAGTGTGCAATCACGTCATGGCATGCGTCGTCGTGCACAATATCCTCACGATGCTTGATAAAGACGATGAAGAGCTAATGGATCTTGACGCGCAGAGGAATTTGGAAGAGTTGAGGCAAGAGCAGGAGCGGCCCGATGTCCAGGTAAACGGAGCGGTAGAAGAGGAAATACCAGCACCAGGAGAGGAAGTAGATGAAGAAATTGACTTTGAGGACTGGAGGGAGGTTGCGCGATATGATGCAGCAATGAAGACTTGGGGAGATATCAAACGAGCACAGCGTAAGGCAATAATGTTTAGCGAGTGAATATTTGAATAAAGAACTTATTGAAGTCTGCTACGGGGAATTGTTGGGTGACCTATTCGGCGACTTGCTCTGGGACCTTGCTCTCACTTTGCTCTGCACCGTGCCTGTGCCATCCAGCTTCATTTCCTGCTCCAATAAAAGTTCTTTATTCTCCTCATTGTTCATCCGTCGCATGTTTTGCCTCCTTTCCTTCAGTGCCATTTCTCTCTCCTCCAATGCGATTTCTCTCTCCATATTCTTCAATCTTATCTCCTCAAGCTCCTGCTCCCTTCTCTTGATATCCAACTGACGTAGTATCGCCTCGTGATCATCCTTGCTCCTCTCTTGAGCGAATCTCTGTTGCTCTAACAAGAGTCTAGCCTCGTCCGTCATGCGTTGTCGTTCAAGCTGTTCGCGCATCAACATCCGTTGCTCTGCGTTGTGTTCGCGCAGAATCTCATTTTTCTGATCAGACTGTTGGCGCAGAAGATCTACAAGCGTCTCCAACCCACCGAGTGCGCCTCCATTACTCTTTGACTTCTGTTGCGAATGCTGCGTCTGTCTCGTCATAGCAATAAGGCCGTCTGGAGGGGTGATATCGCCATCGTCAACGTCCGTCAAGCTATCGTCGTCAACGCCGTACAGGGCGGCAGCTTCAGGGCCAGAGACAGCGTTGGGCTTGGACATCACGGTAGAGAGGTTTTCATCGAAATGACGGGGTTTAATGTTCCCGGTGGTGGGCTTACCGGCGTTGAGCAGGGTGAAGAAGTAATGACAACGGCCGATGGTCTCCTCATTCAGCGTTGGGCCATTAGGTGTATTGCCGTTGCCAGTTGTGTCGTAGCGCTTCAGCTCATTTTTGAAGATCCGGTACATGTTATCGACTTTGTTTTTCATCTGATTTTCTCCCAGTGTCACCGTGCAGTCCTGGGTTGTGAAACGATTGCTGAACTTCTCGGTGATATCTGCGTAAACATCCTTCTTCGAACGTTTGTGCTTCCTGTTTTTGCCTAAGGCTGTTAAGACGGGCCAATTATCGGGATGCGCCATCTGTTCAGCAATAAACGCTTCGTGTGCTATAATGAAAACGAATGCTTGGGCCCTTCCTGTGCCGGGCGTTTGTTGGGAGGAGGTTGCTTCTGGCGAAGGTGAAAGTCGTTTGCGAGGAGCTAAGGATGAGGACGGATCTGAGAAGGCTGCCTTTCGTTTCACAGAGGGGTTCAAAAGCACGGGGAAGGATGTCGAGAACTGAGCAGCGTTTGAGGACATGCGAATGGGGGTGGAGGACATCGACCGCTGTGAAGTATAGGATGAGGAAGAGGAGGCAACGGATGCTGCTGATTGGGCGGAGATTGGGGAGAGTGGAGTCTCACAGTCGGGCACACCCTGGGGCCACGTTGATGACGAGCAAGCATCGAAATTGTAGACAGGGCCCGGCTGGCTACCATGGAGCATGGGATAGGTTAAGGTGGAAACGCGTGTTGATCCACCGTCGATCTAGAATGTAACGAAAGATATTAGTGTCAAGAATACCGCGCAACTTGCAGCATCTCTATTTCAGAGGGAAAAAATTTGTGTATTACCTGCTGCCGCTGCTGTAGCTGAAACTGTTGCTGCTGGCTCGGCCGATGATAGGGCAGCTGTCGTTTTGAAAAAAAAGTGGTGGGATCCTTATTCACGTCTACGGCACGTCGCGGGGTGAATTGTCGATATTGGGATTGTTCAGGTATGGTATTGATAGCTGGCTGCAGACTGCCAGGCGCCTCTTGCTGAACAAGAGGTTGTGTTTGTGCTTGTGGTAGTAGTGAAGGTATGCGTCCAGAATTCTGTATCTCGCCAGAGGAGGGGATGAAGGGAGTTGATGTCTGGCTCGCCTTTTGTCCTTCAGTTTCGATCTCGGATACACAGGGGGGAAGCGAAGAAAGAGGGATAGTCATTTGGGAAGATGAGTGGTGGTGTGAGAGAGAGGAGCGATGAGTTGGAGACGAAGAATGCGTGGTTGATGAAAAGTAAGGTATTATATTTTTTGGCTATGCCAAGATGTATGAAATCACTTTTGAAATCACCGAATTCAAGCTTTCAACATCTGCTTTCACTTCCCAGGTTACACGAAACATTAAAAAAAGATATCGCCGCGTAGAAAACACCCCTTAACACAGAAAGCAAATCAAATCGAAATCAAATCGCTAAGAACTGAGGACGGCGAGTGCTATGTACAAGAATGAGTAAAGCAGACTGGAGATCGAGCTGTATTGATTTTGATATTTGGTATCGTGTCATGACACGTATAGCGAAGCAGTCCATTGTTTCAAGGAATCGTTGAACGCTCAAATAACCAATGAATATGGTAGGGTCGATATCTTATCCGTAGACTACTCGGTCGAAGGTCGACTGCTTGCTGAGTAGGGAAGAAGAACGCCGGAGGAGGTGCAGAACTGCCAGTAAATGAGCACTGCGCTCTGTCCGACGCTCTTAAATGTACATTACGACTCATTACCTATTATCTTCCAGTGGGTATGAACTTCGCCCTTTCCTTTCCTCGTTTCGTAACGCATTAATTCATTCTCGGTGGAGCGCGCACACAGATTAACAAGTTGTGTGCTTTTCCTGTCCTACAATTGATGGCGAAGGCGAACGAAGTGAAGCAGGTGCCGGCAGACTGAAAGCAGTCCTCTCCCACTGCACTGCGTGCAATGGCCCATGCGAGTCAAGAACTCCTCGCTCTGCCACTCTTTTTTCGAAACCGCTACCAGTATACCTCTCTCCTCCCAGGCTGAATCTGCATCCTGTCAACTGCCAACAGCACATCTCACCATCACTCATTCACTTCTACTCACTACAACCAAAGCTCATTCTCACAAACTCAATTATACTTTCACCTCCATGGCTGGCCACCGACAGGCAACAGCCAGCAGTTCTGCGCACATTGTCCAGGGTACAATTCAGAGCCAGAACCGGGGCCATATCCAGAACCAGAGCCTGAGTCAGAACCAGAGCCAGTCTCAGGCCCGCCACCAAACCAATGCTCACGCCCCAGCCTCGACACACCACCAGCAACAAGCTCAAGAAGAACGCGACTCTACCTCGAATGGCCATAATGGAACACCCCCTGGCTTTTTCATGAAGCCTCTGACTACCACGCCCGATTATCGGTTTAACCTCTATGTCCAGGGTCTTGAATCTACCACCACGACCAGGAGTCTATTTGAACTGTTCAAGCCGTAAGCCTTTTCTATCTTTTTTTTTGATATGACAAGTATGCAATATGCATTGAAAGTGTCCTTCATGTATACTTTGTCCTTAAGTATCAATGCTACCTTCGCCTCCTGTGCTACTACATAGGTATGGGAACATCCTCGCCTGCAAAACCATCTTGGACATAGAGTCAGGATCCTGTAGGGCAGGCTTTGTATTGTTTGACAACCAGGAAAGTTGCACCGAGGCGCGCAGGGCACTCACCCAACAGGGACTCTATGTCACCGTCGCCCATGAATCGGCAAGCATCAAGAATCTGCCTCACAAGGAGAGCCCATCGACAGAAACCAAGCCAGCGATACCAGAGGTAAGTTAAGTGCGTCCACTCTGGGCTGAGCAGCAATCTTAGCCGCACGGCATGTTATACTGCAGCGACTGCTTACTGATGCTCCTACCACAATAGCTTGACAACAGCGATGACTTTCCTAGCCTCCCATCGAAGCCGGCACCAAAGAAACAGCAGAGCAAGAAACAGCCTACTTTAAAGGTGGCCTTAAAAATATCATCTCTCAAATCACCACTGCCATCATCATCATCATCATCATCAATGTCAGCTATTCAAGCCGAGTCGGCCAGTAATCAAACAGACTCTCAGCCTCTGGATAATCCAATAAATGCCGCTCAATCGGAACCAAATCCACCTGTAGAGTCTCCTACAGAGGTGACTTGGGAACCAGACTCTTCGAAGGAGGCGACTTTGGAATCTGACCACGCAATATCAATGGCTAATCAAGAGTTCAAGAGCGCATTCATTTTGGGCCAGGCGTATCTCGATTTCGACAGCGGTTTTATCGGGTCCCACCAGCAGTTTCTGTCTGATGGATATAACTCCAGTGGGTTCGAGCGCCGCCCGTCTTTTTTGGATAATAAGCCCTACATGAGCGTCGATGACATTGACAGATATATGGTATGAGGCCTGCTAATCTTATCTGTCATATTGTGGGAGTCAGGTTCTTAATACTAACAGGATGACGCGTCTGTCCATTGTAGAATATGCTGGAAATGAGCACTGTTGCGGCTGTACCACAGACATCCGCAAACACCTATGAAGTACATCAGCCTATACACCCTAGCGATGTCCATATTTCCAACACAACGCTTGACGACTTTATCCTCGAGGATCTTCCACGGCGAGATTCGACCCTTCATTTCGAGAACCTGCCGGAAGGACTGAAGTACCAGGAGCTGTTTGAGCTCTGTGCTCAGTATGTATATCACCGATTTTTATGATTTCAGGAAATTAATTTTGCTGTGCTTTGAAGGCTCATTTAGTGACTCTGGTTGCATCTAGATACGGATCGCTGGTTCTCTCATCAGTGGATATTCGCTACATCAATGAAGAGTGTTATGGCCAAGGGAGAGTGACATTCGATTCTCACCGAGATGCTGAGGTTGCCTACTTATCTCTTGTCGAGAAGAACTACTCCGTACGACATGGGGACAGTGGGGATATATATCCAAGTGAGCCGGCCATCGATGATCATCTCTATGACCAATATTACCAGCAGCACCAGGATTTCCTCAGGCAAGGTGCACTGGCGCCTTTCGAAACACAGGACGATGTGATGTCGCCCACATTCCTTCAGGGCACCTCCACGAGCGTCTCTCACGCATTCACACCGTTGAGTGGACATTCGGCCGAACGAGACCATTTCTGGAGCACGCCTGTTCCGGACCAACCATTTCAGTTTGATGCCAGCATGAACCGTGGGAACAAGGCCGTACAGGATGTCGACGTGGAGACCCTTTCGTATAGACACGAAAAGCTATCAATGATGGGTATTTCTCCGCAGCCAATCTCGCTTTCGCCGGCGTCATCATCAACCTCGTCACTGCAACAATATCCCGAGTGGGCAGAGCCACCGACTGCGAAACCTATCCCGCCTATATCAGGCCAGCAACCCTTACAGGAGTCGGCGATAGAAACACCTGTGTTGAGTGAATCAGGGAACCACAGCCATGACGCTTCCCCGAACAGTCCTAGCAAGCTATTGTCGTACTCTGACATCGTTAAGGTTCCTGCAAAGTCACCTGCGCCCCTACCACCTCTGCCTGCCCCAGACCTGAAGCGAAGAGGAAACACCAACAAGTCTCTGGACGCAAAGGAATATCGACTGAACTTGTTCCTTAAGAATCTTGAGCCGACGATGAACGAGTACAGGCTTTACGAGATTTGCGTCAAGTAAGTCGATGGTGCAGGTGATGACAGCAATCAGTACCACAGATATGCTTCTCGCAAGTTCTTAACATTGGGCTTATTTTATTTCTCAAATATGGTTCTGGGTCGACAGGTTCGGGCCAGTCATGTCTTGCCGCACTATTACGACCAAGCACGGTGTATGCACTGGTCTTGGCTTTGTAATGTATATCAGCAACGAGAGCGTTGACATGGCGATAGAAGGACTGGGCAAGCTAGGTATTCATGCCGAGGTTGCTATACCATCTGCGACGAACAAACTGCGCTGTAAGACGCTGTCGGATATGCTGTTTATTCAAAATATTCCACCTCATATCAAAGAGAATAAGGTACTGCAACACGTGTCTGACATTTCGTCGAGAAAGTTTTTTTTGCATAGAAGGAGTAGATTCTCACTCTGATATTATGTTATTCTTCTTGCAGCTAAAGGACTTGTTTAGACCTTATACTATTATGGCGTGCAATATCTTGAGAGACCCCAAGACTGGAAAGAGCAGAGGTGTAGGGTTCCTCAAGTACGTGAAAAGACCGCTAGAGCCAATCATTTTGCTGCGAATGCAAAGTGCACATGCTCGCTCATACGCATTGTTCTTAAAGAACAAAGAGGATTAACGTACTGCATGCACAATCAATTTATTTTTTCTTTCCTTGCGCCAATGCATATAGGGTGCGTGATACCAAGATTGCTGAACGATTCATTGAAGAGTACCATGGCCGCGTGCTAGGAAAGGACTGGAAGCTGCCATTGCAAGTCTCTCCTGCAAGAGAGTAGCGATGTCGCGTGTATTTCGAGCAATCAGTGGAACAAAGACCTAAGGAACCAAACTGGATTCAGGCAATCGTAGACACAATAACTGGTGTGTTATGTACCGACAGTTGTGTCCTCCTTTGTTTTTGTTCATACTTGTCATACTTGCCATACTTGTGCTTGCATGCATACTTTTCGATATCATTTGAATAACAAAAAAAGGGAATAAATGCAGCAGATTATCTACATAGTATGCCTAGCATGCACTTTCATAGGTTGAAGCAAAAATCGAGCCCTTAGAATCCAAGAACCCAGTCTTACCAAACGCGAGTTTAGTCCACTCCTTCTGGTCTGCTTTTACATCATCGCAGATATCAATATCTACGGAATCATGGCTCATGTTTTATGTTTTGTGTTCTCCATTGCGTGAGGCAGTATCTGAATCGTGTAGTGAATCAGGGGCGTATCTAGTCTATGCCCTGAACAGGTTATTGTTCGACACATGGAAGCATAGAATTTTCGCTCCCAAAGTTTTGAATACTTAATTCAGGGGCAAAGTATGTGAACCAGGGGTTGGGCCATCCATCGAGGGCGAGTTGATGCAAGATAAAGTACGGCGATGATTACAGATTCTTTCTTTCATAATCCATACAGCAACACTCATGCATGCCCTATTTTACCACAGAGGTGTGGGCGTGAGCGTGGGCGTGAAGGATGGAACGCCCGAGCGAAGACGTGGACCACATTTCTGTAGTCGATGCGTGATTGTTGACAGCGATGAGGGAATCGTTGATGGTGGTCGGGTGGACGGACTTGTTGCTCTTCCATAGTTTTTACAGTGCGCCAGTCGACCGCGTAAGCTTTATAAAGACTTAAGAGCATGAACAAAGACAACTGACAGTTGCTCCAGAGAGTTTATGTGTCGGCGAAGAGCGTACCACTTCCATGAACTGACAAAAAAAAAAAAAAAAAAGATTCGCAACCAACGATGGCATTATATTGTAAGCAATCAAAGCCTATCTTTCTATCATTCTTCGGGAGCTCTTTGTGTACGCTAGATGATTTGTTTTCTGGTGTAGCCATGGGCAGCTTTATGACCATCGCGGTCAGGTTCAAGGGCACCTCGATCTCTTTTAGTCTAGCAAACGCCATGTGGTTACAACAATTCCAAAGCTCCCTATTACATTCCTGTTCTCTGCAGATCACGGCGGACGCGACGAGGGCGGTTGTATATTAATTTCGTATCTACAGGACGCGTGGTGTGAAATAGGGGGCCAGCTCGATCGTTTTTTCCGATGTTTCTGGAGATTGGCCATAAACAAAACATTGTCAGAAGACAACCACCGCTAGTAGCACCACCACAAACACTAGCAAGGCTGTTGAAGTCGTGGAGAGTACTTCATGCTCTCGGAACATAACATTGAACTGGGAAGAATGAGCATTTTTATGTAGGCAACCGTAATGCCTCCACGTCAAATTTAGTAGTTTACCTTCAAGACCCCTGGACGACGTGTCTAAGTTCTATTAACCCTGTGAGGGGTATTTTTTACAGTCAGAAAAGGCCGGATCGGCTCCGACACGCTAGTTTGATATCGCATGTATGCATCCCCATTCATTCGGTCGAGATGTCTTTTATGGTGATACCATCCTCCGTACGTGAAGAAACGCTAGAACTAGCACCGATTATTACTAAGATGTAATTGGATTCGAAGCGTGCTTTTTTGAACATCGTTTCCCATGTTATAAAAAATGAATCCATCTCGTGCGTGTCTGTTTGTTTTATTTGTTGTTTGCTGGCCGCGAGTCCAATGTTGTGCCCTTCTTTCTGATAGTCCCAAGCTTCGCAGAAGTACATGCCACTCAATTTGTCTCCCGCCTGACCTTTTTGTTGACAACGATGAGAAATATTTTCGGAGGCCAATCGGTGTATGGATGATTGAGTCCAAATGGCTGTCCGAAACATGGTCATGTCCTGGTTCGAAGGAACAGCCTCCGCCTTGGTCGCATGCTTTTCGTTGCTTCATCTCAAGCACATAAGACGTGTACACAGCTCAAGAATGCATAGAGCGGGCTCGGATTGCGGGCACATCTTTGAACAAAAAAAGAGACGAGAGCATTAGACTACATAAACATTCATGTCATGCAACAACACATAATGCTTTGTGTACTTGGATGTATTATGGCAGAATTTGCTGGGCTAATGCAATAATGTTGAAGGTCTGTGTCCCTGGGTCCAACTAAACCTCGATTTCGTCCAGGACCCGCGCAAAACAGCTTTCATGCGAATGCTTTGTTCGCATTGAACCAAACATGATTTGCATCGATGGATTAGAAGCAATAAATCATTCTGGGGCCATTTGGATGTATTTCATATTGCTTTGCTGATGCTTGTATTTGTTTATTCATTGAACATGAGAGCCATACTATCCATTCTCATTATTTTCCGGCGCGAAAAAAGCTACTCTATCGTAATAGCACAGGAAGAGGAGCGATTGCGCCCAGCCCTGACCACAATGTACTCGAGATTATGTTCAAATGTGGTTGCTGGAAGATTCTATGAATCATCTGTACATATGTATAAACACCATGGTGTCGACGCGAATAACATAAAAATTATGGCACTTTGACTGGACCAAGATGGGCATGTTCTCATGTTTCTAAGATCGCACCAGCATGAAGCATTGTTGATGTTGCCCATGGCAATGTATATCTGCTCGTCTGCTTGGTAGAATAGGAGAGAGCAGTAGAGACAGAGCAGCTCCCCTCTGAATTGCACCAAACAGATACAAGACCAATGGGTAGATTGAACCCCCTCGATCGAAACTACAGGCGCACAGAGAGCTCCTCCTGCCATCTTTTGACAAGAACATACGCACATTGCAGATGTCGCCATCCCTTTCGCCCACACATTACATGTACAGTACGGATTGCTCCTTGTCACCAGAGCAATGGGTGCACACAACTGGTATGCAAGCAGTATTCTTTCAAAAGGAGGGAAACGATATACAAAGGAAACACCGGTGGGATAGTGAAGACATTCTATGATAGCAAGGTCTGCAGTGAGAATAGGGGAGGGGGGAGGGAAGAGAAAATGGGGTATGGAGACGGCGGGAAGGAGGGTAGAGAGGTAGACTAAGGGGGTAGCATTGGAGAGTGGGTAGAGCAATGCTGCTGAAGTGTAGATGCACTTGCTCTTTCCCGAAGAAAAAGCAGATTGTCCATCCCAATGGCATGTCTGTCTACAGTGCTGCACATATTTTTGTTCCGCTCCTTTTCTATCTTTCTTCTTTTTTTCTTCCTTTCTCTTCCTCCCCCCTCTCCCTTCCGCTCTACACTGACATTACTTCCTCGTCGTCCACTCTTCCTTCCCTCTTTTTCTCCTTCTCTCTTCTTCTCTCTTCCTCTCTCTCTCTCCGCCCTCGTCTTCTTTGTGTGCGTGTGTATCAATTGCTCTGTTCTTGCCTCTCTCGCTCACTTTCTTTCCACTCGCTCGCTTGCTCGCTCGCTCTTCTCGCTCAGGCACTCTCTGTTCAGTCTGCGACAGCAATATAGATTATCATCCGACACGCCTAACTCTCATCCCAAACCCTCCCCCCTCCCCTGCGCGGTGTAATTCTATTGGTCGCTCTCCTTTTTCTCATAATTATTCCCCAACACAAATAACATAACCAAGCACACGGCTCTTTTATTTTATTTGTTTGCACTGACACCTTTTCTAGTCTGAAAGGTCTGGATAGTGCTGTCTATCATGCCTTCGCCTTCGCCTGTTCCCGCCTGTTTCAGCACACAGCTCATTATCGGGCAATGGAGTGAATGCTCTGCCACACTCTTTTTCTCTCCTCTCGCTTTCCCATTGCTCCAAATGCAGTGCTCCCTTATAATAATTCTCTCCATCGTCATCCAGCATATTTATAACCTCCTTGGGATTCAGGCACACGCAACTCCTTGTTCGCACACTTTCATACTTGCTTGCTGCACTGCAACTGCACGCTGACATACACTGTTATTTACTTCCCCACTAGCCAGCAAGCACTAAAAGAAAACACTCGGCTCTCCTGTCGCGGCAACCCCAGCCCTCGAAAGAACAAACAGCCAACGGTCGGCACTTTACGTGGCCTGCTCAGAAATTCCCTTCTTGGCCTAGCCTTCCTTTATTTATACGTCTCCTCCTCTTGCCGTTTGCCGCCTCTTTTTCTTCTTTTTCCCTCCAACACTTCTTCATCGTTCCCATTCCTCTCATCAGCCGCAAGTGATTCCTTTCCAAGAGACAGTTCCCCTTCCCTATCTCTTACTTTCTTTAGAAGGGTTAATTGTCCTTTGAGTTTCTATTTTTTTTTAATTTAATTCCCATACTTCACACCTGTCCTACGAGCATCCAAGATGGTCCTTCAGTTCTAATTCATCCCACCTCGAGGCCCCCTTCCGCTCGAGAATCTCAACTCGCTTTGATGTTCACCCCTCCATAACAAGCTATGCCGCACTCGCTGTTCTCAGTCGCTCAATCCGCAAGCATTCTCGCTCTGCCAGCCCGACTTTTCGCCCTCGAACACCCCTTTTCGCTCGAATCCAGCCTTACCTCAGTCTCTGCAACTGCTACTACCGCCACTACTTTGACAACTACCAACACAACAACTACATCCTCGTTCCCAGCATTGCACCCTTTAGTCGGCTAAGAAGCCATTGATATCCCTGTTTTTTCTCTCTTTCTGTCTTGCTCGTTTTCTTGTACTATTTTCCCTTGCGTTCTCTTTTGTTTTGTAAGCTATAAGATCTCCTAAAAAAAGTGTTCCCTTCACAAAACCAATCAACCCGCCAGCACCAAAAAACGGCACCTTCACTTTGAATAGCCAACTTCGCGCGCGGCTACCCAATTGGCCTTCACCTGTACAAAAGCACCACCTGAACCCAATACCAAGCACTTTGATCCCACCATCCACTCTGCGATACATTTGAACAGTTTGCACTCCCAGTTTAACACTCGTTTGTTTCCACTCGGTTGAGTCATTCTATTCTTTTGGCCGCACATCCTATTCGTCCTTATTGCTCCTGCTCCTTTGTCTTGCCTCCTTAAAAACAGAGAAGCAGATCACCTTCGCCCACTACGCATATCACCACCATACCATCTTCACCTTTTTTTTCTTTGTTCTCTCTCGTCCCTGTGTTGCTTTGTTATTCAAGAGAGCAGAAGACCACGACAACATTTAATTTCTTCTCAGCTACCCCACACGCGCGACCTCCAGCAACATGAATCAACTGTCCGCTGTCGATTCTGTGACAGGTGCTAGGAAAAGGATTGGGGAGCTGCTACGCGACGGAGTCAAGCAGAGCTCGTATCAGATCCTGGATGTTCTTGGCTATGGCACCTATGGCTGCATCTATCTGGCCAAGACTATCTCCACCGTCCCCGGCACTGTCCCAGAATACAAGGCCATCAAATGTCTTTCCAAAAATGGACTCAGTTCAACTCAATTGCTCCTCCAGCGTCAAGAAATTGACATCCATCTATCCCTTTCCTCTCCCATGAACGGATACCACCCGCACATTGTTGACATGTCGTCTGTGATTGAGACCAAGGACTCCCTGTACTTGGTCATGGAGTACTGCTCTGGTGGAGATCTCTACGATGCCATCACGTCCCAGCATGCCGTCGCACGCGATTCCGGCGTTGATTTTACGCCCCTCGTCAGCTTGCCTGGTCGCTTCCTCGATGTCCACTCAGACAGCTCTGTCTTGGATGCCATGGCCCAGATCATCTCCGCTCTAGCGCATGCGCACACACACCAGGTCTTCCACCGCGATCTCAAGCCCGAAAACATTCTTGTCGCCAGTGATGGGTCTTTGAAGCTGGCTGATTTCGGCCTTGCGACCAAGGAACGCGTTTCGACCGATTTTGGCTGTGGCAGCTCATTCTACATGGCCCCGGAGCAGCAGCCCTCCCGCATATTGGCTGGCCGCCGCCCTTACCTGCCGGCTAAGTCGGATGTCTGGTCCCTCGGCATCATCTTTTTGAACTTGCGCTTTGGTCGCAACCCCTGGAAGTTGTCTCGTGTGGACGTGGATGCGACCTTTGCTGCCTATGCCCAGGATCCCAATGTCTTGCGTGAAATGTTCCCCGAGCTCTCGATGAGCGCGCTCTATTTTTTGCAGCGCGTCCTTTGCGTCGATCCTAACGAGCGTGCCGATTGCTACGAGGCTTTGGAGCTCATCCAGCGCATCGATACCATCGTTGGCGATAGCGATATGTTCACCAAGAACTCTGCGTCGATGGAGAACTGCAACGAAGAACGCGTTGATCGCGATTTGGCCCTGGATAATTCCTCTGTGGGTTCGTCCCGCTCTTCTGGATCGTCCTGCGATGATTCTACGTCGAATTGCTCAGAAGATGACGAGGAGGAGGACGAGATCGACTCGATGTTCCGTATGGAAGACGATTTTGGCGCTTACCGCCCCGGTTTGAAGAAAACCGGTCGTACGCGATCCTCTTCATCCAGTTGGTCTATGGCGTCCTCGCGCCATTCGGGCAAGTCCTGGTCCGACATGGTTGAGGAAGATGAAATGGACTTTTCGCTCCCTGTCGAATTTGAAGAGATTGATATGGCGAACAAGATGCCTTCCGAGCCGCAACCGGCTACAGGCGCGAACCTCAGTAAAAGCGACAATGCTCAAAACACTCACCTTGATGACTCCGATAATGACTACTACTTCCACCACCACCACCACCACCACCACCACTCAGAATGTTATGACTCTTATATTAATCGCCATTATCAACAACCACACCCCCAACAACACCAACAACTCAACCATCGCCAACTATTTGCAAATCAAATCGAGAACGGTTCAATCGACAATGGCCATCAGCTGTCTTCGTCCTGGTCATCGTCCTCAACCTGGGTCAATGATGACTTTTGCTTTGATTTCGCGCAGACGGGCTTCACCAAGCTTTCGGAGCTGGTGTTCCCGGGCAGCAGTCTACCGAGTTCGCCCCCGATATCCGCCTCAGGCCTTATGGGCGGGTATCCCTTTGGGTCCAACAGATTCCTTTCAAACCCACCATGACTCTCCTTGAGGTGGTAATTTTTTTTTGTCCTCTTTTTTTTTTTTTTTTGACTTGCTAAGGATGACGCCTCATTTTTTTTTTGGAGCTTGTATCATTTTTGGTTCTCGGCATCTAGTTTATTGTAAACCATCTCATGAGAGATTGAGAACCTGGTAGCGCTTGTAATAAAAAGTAGACCATATAGTGTCATTCTCATAAGGACACAGTAATGTTGGAGCTATGTATTTTCATGAATGCTTTGCCTTGCACGACAGATCCTAGCCGCACGACACAGCCCACGTCTCTTATCAACCAATGGACGCGCGTCCCTGACGAGCGGCAGTGCTGCCAGTAAGGTACCCCGAAAGTGCAAAAATCCACCATCATTACCACCCATCTCCCACAAAAATAAAAAATTCTTCTGCCTTTCGCACTTCACACTTCTCAAAACACATTCCTCATTTATTCCTTCATTTGGCCGTACAGGCATGTCCTACTACCCTCCCAACCAACCCGGCTACGGATACCCTGCCTACCCGCCTCCACAGCAATACGCCGCCGGTGTCCCCGTAGGGGGATACCCTCCTCCCATGTCAGCCCCAGCCCCGGGCGGATACCCTCCTGCTTACCCTCCTCAGGCGCCCCCGTCAGGCGGCGCTTACAGTTATCCTCCAGTGGGTCTTCCAGGATACCCCCCAGCTGTACAGCCCGCCGCACCCTACGGATACTCAGTGTCACAAACTGCGCCTGCACCTGTGCAAGCGCCGTATGGGTACCCTGCTCCTGGAGCAGCACCCCCAGTTGCGCAGATGCAACATGCACCGACCATGGCATCAATGCAGCATGCTCCGACAATGATGGCACCCGCTGGACCGAGTTACTTCCAACCTGCGGCAGGAATGAGTAATGTGCCGACGCCTCAGCAGGACGCGGAGACAATCCATCATGCGTGCAAGGGATTCGGGACGGACGAGAAGCGGGTTATCGGTGTTGTTGGTAAGTTCGAGCGCTTTTCTTCTAAGTGGCGAAGGGCGTATGAGGGCCTTATTGTTTCGTTATGATGGTACATCCATAATCGAAAACTGACCCACTTATTTTGCCACTTTGGCACTACAGCTAACAGGACGCCAGAGCATCTGATGATGGTGTCTTCGGTGTACAGGCAATTCTATGGACGAGATTTGGTCGAAGTGTTGGATAAGGAGACCAGTGGGCATTTTGGAAGGACCCTGCACTATCTGATCCTCCCACCTCTCTCCCTCGACGCTGAGCTTCTCTATAATGCTTGCATTGGAGCGGGGACCAACGAACGGGTATGTTGCTTATTTGAGCGTCTCAATGTTCTCTCCCTGTTTAAAAAGAGAAAAAAATATCATGAAATGATGTACGAGTCATCCGACCCGTTGGACGCAACGACAACAACAGCAGCAGATGACACAAGACGAAGCCCAAAAATACACGCAACGCAGTAAAGAACGAACTGGACTTAGTTTGGTCAACTCTCTTATTCTTACTCTTTTTTTTTTTTATTTTATCTTTTTTTATGAATGTATAGTGCTTGATCCAGATTCTACTTGGAAGGACAAACGCAGATATGGCTCAGCTCAAGAGCATGTTCCAAGCGAAATATCACAGGTCGCTTGAGAGCGTTGTCAAATCTGACGTGAGCGGATATCTCGAGAAACTGTTTGTCGTTGCTATGCAGGTAAAATGATCTCTCTCTTTTTCTCTGGCCATTGTTTTTGACCATCGTAGGAGGAGGAACATTCCTCGGGAAAAGGGACTGCGGAGGAATGTGCCATCAACTCTAATGCCAATTTTTCCTTTGGTCTTTACTTGCGCAGGGCATGAGAGATGAAATGGGGCATTATCAATACAACGTCGAGGCTGATGTCCACAGCTTGTACAAGGCTGGAGAGGGCCGTCTGGGCACCGACGAGTCACATTTCATTCACGTCCTTTGTAATAGACCCGATGCCCACCTGCGAGCCGTCTTTCAGCAGTATCAGATGCGATACAAGAAAAAGTTCACGAAAGTCATCAAGAAGGAGTTCTCAGGCTGGATCAAAACCGCCCTTTGCTACCTTGGTATGTTGCGACACTCCACTTTGATGTCACATTGTAAAGATTGTTAAAGAGTGAAAAAAAAAAAAATTCCTGATCAATTTTATCGTTCTTGTAGTCAACTGGATAAATAGCCCTGCGCACTGCATTGCCAAGAACTTGGAAAAAGCCATGGAGGGCATGGGCACGGATGATCAGTCGTTGACGCGCTTGCTTGTCAGGAACCGGACCCAACCCTTCTTGAACTCGGTTAAGGCCGCATACCTTACAAAGTACAAGCGCACGCTGCGCGATAGAATCAAGGGCGAAACCAGTGGAGACTATCGCCGCACACTACTTGCGGTTATTGGCGAGCCAGAGCACTCTGCGTAAAAATGGAAATTTAATATGGTTCTGTTGTGCATTTCACTCTGCTGAATTTTATTATATTCAGAGTAGTTTTCATCCATTTTGCTGCTTGAATAAATATTTTCGCATAAAAGAAATTATTGGTCAGAGCTGCAAGCCTTGTGCGACCAAAAAAAAAATTCACGTCCTCCCAACTGCTTCCTCACTCACAATACATACCCCCGCCATCCCTATTATTTTCCCATGCCCAAGAAGAGACACCGTCTCAGCGAGCGCCAGCTCCTCATAGAGGAGTACGAGTGCGGCTTCCTTCAAGCCTGCTAAGGCTACATCTAGGGACCCAAGCTCCGTTCTCAATTGCTACGATTGCTACCATACATGCCCTGGGCATATGGGTCAGTCCTTCTGCAGTTCTATCAGACGCGTCAACGTTGTTTTTGTTATGACTAGTCATCTTGTTGATGGAGGTGAAGGAAAAGAACCCAAGCGCGTAGATATTTATTCTGGCGAGAGAAGAATTTTTTCTCGAATATCATGCAACGTAGAGTCCTCGCCAATAAGTGTCAGCACCAAAATTTTTAGAATAAAATTCAATTCAAAAACTCATCAAGCCACAAATTCCAACCTTTTTTATCCCCAAAACGTGCGCATGTTTTCAATTTGCTCAACCTATCTATTTTAATTATCGCGTCTTCGCTCCTGTAGTCAGAATACACGGGTTGAAAACTCCAAACGCCATCATCATCGCGCTTCACGTTATGGTAACCATCGGTGGTATCGTCTTCTAAATCATCCGTGGATGATGGCTCCATAATGAGAAGTCGCTCGTGGTCGTAAGGGTCACGATGCTGATTGAGTTGGAAGATGATGCGCCAGCAGCATGTCCCGGCCGTTTACATGCAAATTGTGCGGAGGAGCGAAATTTTGCTAAAATTTTTTTTGAATTGATTTCTTATTCTAAAAATGCAAGGTCCTCGACCATCGGTTTTGGGGAACAAAAAAAGGGTGGAATTTGTGGCTTGGTGAGTTTTTGAATTGAACTACTATTCTGAAACTATTGGTGCTGGCCCTTATTGGCGAGGACTTTACACCGTTGAGGAGTATTCACGAACCAATGGATGCCTCATACCGAATATTATTCACCTCAACCTTAATCGGACTCTGAGTACCATTCAAGCGCGAATTGAAGTAAATAAGTGAATTGGTGAAGAGGATTCCATTGGATGATAATGGCGTTGAGATCAGCCAGTAGAATTCAAAGTTTACTTCCTCGTTATTCTTCGTTCACAAATGATGGCGAAGGGAATTCACTTTTCTCTTTGTTCACACACCTCAAGATATGCTTCGGGCTCGACCAACACTCAGACAACGACTCATCAGCGCCTGCCTTCAGGAGTTCTTCTTGGCATGCGGTGTAGCACTCGTTCGCATGGAGCACTCCCTTCCGGTCAACATCCATCAGGTCGAGGCATATGCCTTGCTGGTTACGCACCTATATCAACACCGGTACCTACTACCTCGGGGCCGCAGACCAACTTCGGCAGATTTGAGAAGGGTACTCGATGAGTACAATGATAACGACTTCAAGGCCATCATACGCTTAACACCTATCGAATTCCAAGACATGGCAGAGCTGTTCGCTGGACACTACGGCTTAGTGGAAAGGGATTACGACGACGAGGATGGGCTATCGAACATCAAGCTGCGGCTCAACATCACACTGTTTCGCCTTGGCACCAAAGGTATATCGATAAAGAAGGTTGCGTGGATTTTCGGTGTCAACGAGGGGTCCGTTCACGGTTATACCTGGTGGTGCATCGAGGCTATTGACGCGATGGCGGAGAACTTTGTGGTTTGGCTGGACCATCAGAGACGGGCGGAAATAAGCCGATGGTCCAGAAAGGAGAAGGGCTTTCCAAACTGCATTGGAGCTGTGGATGGCGTTCCTTTTCCATTCGATATGGCTCCGAAGTACGAGACTAAGACTTGGAACACGCGTAAATACAGGTATGCAATGGGTGCAACTGCCATCTGTGATCATATAGGTCGCTTTATCTACGCGTCCACCGGCTACATCGGATCAATGCATGACTTCACGGCATACAAGGACACTTCGCTTTACAAGAGAAAGGACGAGTTCTTTCGAAGAAAAGAGTATCTGCTTGCAGATGCCGCCTATGCCCTGACCACCACAGTTATTCCCCGATACAAGAATGCTACCGGTGACCAAGAGGTCTTCAACGCGCTTAATGGTATTGCCTGCGTCAAGATCGAGCATGCTTTTGGCAAGCTAAAGCGCAAATTCCAATCGCTACACAACCTACTAATATGCATCGACTCCAAGAGAGACATTCGCAAGGCATCCCAGTGGATCGTAGCTTGCATGGTGTTGCACAACTTTATTCGCAGGGATGCTCAGGAAGAGATCGTAGACGAAACGGTCGTTAGAGATATAGCAGCGCGACTTCGAGCAGATGATCAGCAAATACCAGAAGAAGCAGAGGAACAGAATGAGAGGCAGCAAGGGGTGGAGAGAAGGGAGAAAATAAAGAGATGGGTGCTTAGACACCATTGACCATTGAAGCGCATAGCCACCGATTATGACTTCATAGTTTCCACCACCACCCGACTCCCATCCTTCTCACGCCTAGCAAGATAGTCAGACCTCTCCTTTGTGAATGCCGCCACCTCGCGCTTGAATTCTACCACCTCGCGCTTGAATTCTACCACCTCCTGCTTGAATTCCTCTCTTAATCGTTTTAATTCGTTCCTCTCTATCTCCTTCTCCATTTTGATGCTTCTCTTTTCCTCTTCGAGGTCTTCTCGGCTCTTTGCCAATATCTCCTCCTGCTTGCGTATCAACTCTGTCCAGCCTAGAGTGACATTACTTGCATTGTCGCCCGCGTTTGTGTTGGTATTTCCAGCGTTGATGAACGCTCCTCTTATCGCATCAAGGGTCGCCTAGAAGGAGTCTGGTAGGCCGTCGTTACCCTTTCGACGCTTTCCTGCTGTCCTGGCGTGCGCTGCACCTCTCTTCGCTGGCGTGGCCCTCACATCGCTATCATCCTGGACAGCAGTAGTTTGATTATCCTCATCCTCATCCGTCTCTATTACTTCTGGGGAAGACTCTCTGTTGTAGTATTCCTCATCTCTGCGGTTGCATGTCTCTCTTGGAGGAGGAGGATCCCTTGCCAACGTACCTCCCCATACTGCATCAAGTCGATCAAAGGGAGGGCATAAGATGAGCATTTCCTTGCGAAGCGCGTCAACATCTCTCGTCTCTCCTCCTCCAGTGACCTCCGATAGTGCTTTGGCAGCGTCGTACTTCTTCCTTGCATTGATGATCCTGTACTTCACATGGTTGTTGTCCCAAGTCACCCTGTGTTTATCGTAAACAGCCTTGCTGATCTCGTCATATAAATCGATTGCTCTCTGACCAGCCACTGGATGTTTCTTGTTGAGTCTCTCGTGATTGTAAGGATCGGTTATCCAGTCCAAGAATGTCTCCATGCCCAATGTGTTCCAAAAGGTCTTGGCGCGCTTGGCTTTGATAGATGTATCAGCTTCAATTCGGGGATCTGGCGTGGGCGAAAGGCGAGCAGGCTGCAAGGCGGATGTTGTGGCGCGTGCAGCTTGTGCCGACGGCGTAGGAAGTAGAAGGGGCAGGGATAGCTGTTGCATGGTGCTTGGTATGGCTGACTGAGAACGAGTGAAAGGCGGCTGGTTGGCCCGCAAACTATTCATGTCGTGCACCTTAGACGACTGTCCGACGGGGTGAAAGAAGCGGTAAGATTCCGAAGAATGTGCGTACCGATGAGGCTGGACAAAGTGGGACGAGCTGTAAAGATTCTGCTGCCCGTTCGAAAAGGAGAACTGTTGATGAGCAGACAGAGGTGGTTCGGCGAGCGCTGAGTAGTAGGGAAACGGATCATTGGTAGGTTCAATAGAGGCGTTTGAGGGAGCAGGTGAGGTAAGGTATGGTGGAGGCTGCTGCTGCACCTGCTGCTGGTGCTGTGATTGTAGGGAGAAGTGGAAGAAAGGAGAAATTCACTTTCGTTTTTCACTTCGATTTGGAGAAAACATCAAAAAGATAATATCGTCAACGATTGGATAACTTTGTTACCGAAGGTGAATATACTTGTGGCTTGAATATGTGTGAGCGACGAATGAAATTACAAGTTTACTTTTTACTTTTCACCTTTTGTGCACTTGAATGGTATTCTGGCTAGAAAATAGAAATAAAAATTGGCACTACTCAAATATCTCGACGATAAAAATTTAAACATGGATTCCGTACCAGCCTCCATAACTGCAAACACAGCACTTAAAACGCGTGCTATTTTTTTTTTTTTTTTAATTTATTTCATTGCTTTGTTATAATCAATACGGATTTAACCCTATCTCCTTAATTTTCGTCTTCCTTTCCTTTCTATTCCTTCTCTTAACGGCGGTGAGGACCCAAGTTGCTCAAACACTCCAAGGTCAACTCCTCAGGCAACTCCTCTCCAAAGTGTCCGTACAGCTTCTGAGCAAAGAGAGCCACGATCTCGGGCAGACGGAGGTTATCGATTGCGGTGGCCTCCTGGGCCTTGCCATCAGCAGCATCACGAGCATGCTCCATCAGACGCTGACCAGACTGGTCGTCAAGGCGCATGAATCCCTGGAGCTCGTGGGGGGCATCCTGCCAGCCTCCGACATGGAGCGAAACCCAGGCACGGGGGCGCAAATGAGCAGGGAGTTCACGTAGGGTCTCGGCCGTGCCGGAGCGGAGGTCAATGACTCCATCGGCGGCTCCGGTATCGGCGTTAATTCCGACGTTGCCCAACTGAGGCAGACTGGCGACTACTGTTAATGTTATAACATAGAATCCATAATTAAATAATGAGAAATATGACATATAATAAAATAATGATACAGACACAAGTCAAGATAAAAAAGCACTTACAGTCAAAGACGGAGGACGATCCAGCGCTGCGGGCGCTAGTGTCAATCTCGGCACGGGTCAAGGCCACATACTGGTTACGCGAAAGCTCCTGGGAGTCAGTCGTAATGCCTCCCTCCTGGAACAGAATTTTCTCGCTGACAGAGCGAACAACAGAGTCATCGTGCGTCGAAGTGATCGACTGTTCGGTCGAAACTACCTTATCCTCAACAACCAACTTGCGCTCACGAGCAATAACCTCCTCAACCTCGTAATCCTCCACAGTCTCTTCCACCTCCTCAGTCTCCTCGAACTCCTCGTAGGTCCTGGTCTCGATAGTCCACTTGTCTATAAATTCATAAATAAAGATGTTATTACAACATAAAGGAAAAATTTAAGTTACACTACAACAAAACAATGAAAAAAAAACTTACCACTGTGAATCTCCGAACGCTGAGTCCACTCAATGCCATACCACTCCTTATACGTGGCGCGGAAGGCAGCCTTGGCTTGTTCGACCCTCTCATGGGGTCCGTCCAGCTTGTAGTCAGTCTCGCTCCAGCGGATGTAAATAAAGTAAGCTTGCTTATCACTGTCGTACAGCAACTGAGTAATGTGCTTGACGCCAGTGCTCTTCTCAACCAGCACCGAATCGTACACATCCTCGTCATAGTACACAAAAGAGTGCTTAGCAATGGGGCAACGCTCATCGACATCGGCCTTACGGGTAGTGAGGACTTGGACAGTGCGCTTCCAGACGCCATCGACTTGAGTCAATGCGCCAGCAGCAGCCTCACCAGCACCAGAAGCAAGGCGACGGAGCCAGGAAGTTCCCTTGGAAACAGCGGGCTGAGGAACAACACCAGTCTCCTTGATGGTGGTGACCACTTTGATGATCTCCTCGCCTTCAGTGACAGCAACATCCTGAGTGGTCTGTTCGATGACTTCCTTTTGCTGAGTCTTAGTGGTGGTTGCGATCTCGGCTTCGGCCTTCACAATGGCTGTAGCCTTCTCGGTCTTGATGATCTCCTCGACCTTGGTCTCCTCCACGATCTCCTCAACCTCATGGACCTCCTCAAACTCTACATACGTCTTGGTCTCGATGGTCCAGCGTTCTAATGACATATGCAAAGCAAATCAGTACCTCTCAGTAAACATAGGCAGAACCAATATCAGCCCCGTATCAATAAACGTATACTTACCGCTAACAGCCGTCTCGCGCTCAGTCCACTCGACATCGAACTTCTCCTTGTAAGTGATCAAGTAGGCAGACTTGGCCTCCTCGATCGTCTCATGGGGTCCGTCCAGCTTGTAGTCGGTCTCGCTCCAGCGGTAGTAGACGAAGTACGCCTCCTTGTCGCTGTCGTACAAGAGCTGAGTAACATGCTTGACACCGGTCTTCTTCTCAATCAAAACCGAATCGTACACATCCTCGTCGTAGTACACAAACGAGTGCTTAGCAATCGGGCACAGCTCGTCCACCCTGGCCTTACGAGTGGTGAGGACCTGGACAGTGCGCTTCCAGACTCCATCGACCTTCTGGAGAGCACCATAGGTAACAAGACCAGCAACAACTCCAGCACCGACAGCGACATGGCCAACACTGCGGGCGGCAGCCTCGCCAGCGCTGAGGGCACGGCGGAGCCAGGAAACGCCCTTGGACACAGTGGGCTTGGTCTCTCCAGATTCCTTGACGACAATGATCTGCTTGACACTGTGCTCCCCGGCGTCGGCAACGGTAGTCTCGGTCGTGGTGGTCTCCTCAACAGCAACCTTAGTGTCGGTGACAATGGTCTTGGTGTCAGTGACAACGGTGGTCTCGTCCTTGACGATCACCTCCTCGCGCTTGAGAATCTCCTCAACCTTCTCCTTCTCAATGATCTCCTCGACTTCCTCAGTCTCTTCGATCGTCTCGTAGGTCTTGGTCTCGTACGTCCACTTCTCCGACACAGTCGTCTCGCGCTCAGTCCACTCGACATCGAACTTCTCCTTGTACGTGATCTGGAACGCAGACTTGGCTTGCTCGACCGTCTCATGAGGTCCATCCAGCTTGTAGTCAGTCTCGCTCCAGCGGTAGTAGACGAAGTACGCCTCCTTGTCGCTGTCGTACAAGAGCTGAGTAACATGCTTGACGCCAGTGCTCTTCTCAACCAGCACCGAATCGTACACATCCTCGTCGTAGTACACAAACGAGTGCTTAGCAATGGGACAACGCTCATCGACATCAGCCTTACGGGTAGTGAGGACTTGGACAGTGCGCTTCCAGACGCCATCGACCTGAGTCAACGCGCCAGCAGCAGCCTCACCAGCACCAGACGCAAGGCGACGGAGCCAGGAAGTACCCTTGGACACAGTGGGCTTGGTCTCTCCAGACTTCTCGATGACAATGGTCTGCTTAACCTTGTGCTCCTCGGTATCGACAAGTACAACATCCTTAGTGGTCTTCTCCTCGACGGCAACCTTAGTGTCGGTGACAATGGTCTTGGTGTCAGTGACAACGGTGGTCTCGTCCTTGACGATCACCTCCTCGCGCTTGAGAATCTCCTCAACCTTCTCCTTCTCAATGATCTCCTCGACTTCCTCGGTCTTCTCGATCGTCTCGTAGGTCTTGGTCTCGTACGTCCATTTCTCCGACACAGTCGTCTCGCGCTCAGTCCACTCGACATCGAACTTCTCCTTGTACGTGATCTGGAACGCAGACTTGGCTTGCTCGACCGTCTCATGAGGTCCATCCAGCTTGTAGTCAGTCTCGCTCCAGCGGTAGTAGACATAGTAGGCCTCGGTCTCCGTGTTGTAGATCAGTTGAGTCACATACTTGGCGCCAGTGCTCTTCTCAACCAGCTCGGCATCGTAGACCTCATCATCGTAGTACACATAGGAAATCTTGGCCATAGGGCAGCGTTCATCAACATGACCCTTGTGGGCAGTGATGACTTGAACAGTGCGCTTCCAGACGCCATCGACCTGAGTCAACGCGCCAGCAGCAGCCTCACCAGCACCAGAAGCAAGGCGACGGAGCCAGGAAGTACCCTTGGACACAGTGGGCTTGGTCTCTCCAGACTTCTCAACGACAATGGTCTCCTTGATCTTGTGCTCCTCAGTATCGACAACCTGGGTCTCGGTCGTGGTGGTCTCCTCAACGGTAACCACAGCCTCGGTCTCGGTGACAGTGGTCTTGGTGTCGGCCTTGACGATCTTGTCATCAACGATAACAACCTCCTCGCGTTTAAGGATTTCCTTAACCTCGGTTTCCTCGACGATCTCCTCGACTTCTTCAGTCTCTTCGATCGTCTCGTAGGTCTTGGTCTCGTATGTCCACTTCTCCGACACAGTCGTCTCGCGCTCAGTCCACTCGACATCGAACTTCTCCTTGTACGTGATCTGGAACGCAGTCTTGGCTTGCTCGACCGTCTCATGAGGTCCATCCAGCTTGTAGTCAGTCTCGCTCCAGCGGTAGTAGACGAAGTACGCCTCCTTGTCGCTGTCGTACAAGAGCTGAGTAACATGCTTGACGCCAGTGCTCTTCTCAACCAGCACCGAATCGTACACATCCTCGTCGTAGTACACAAACGAGTGCTTAGCAATGGGACAACGCTCATCGACATCAGCCTTACGGGTAGTGAGGACTTGGACAGTGCGCTTCCAGACGCCATCGACCTGAGTCAACGCGCCAGCAGCAGCCTCACCAGCACCAGACGCAAGGCGACGGAGCCAGGAAGTACCCTTGGACACAGTGGGCTTGGTCTCTCCAGACTTCTCGATGACAATGGTCTGCTTAACCTTGTGCTCCTCGGTATCGACAAGTACAACATCCTTAGTGGTCTTCTCCTCGACGGCAACCTTAGTGTCGGTGACAATGGTCTTGGTGTCAGTGACAACGGTGGTCTCGTCCTTGACGATCACCTCCTCGCGCTTGAGAATCTCCTCAACCTTCTCCTTCTCAATGATCTCCTCGACTTCCTCGGTCTTCTCGATCGTCTCGTAGGTCTTGGTCTCGTACGTCCATTTCTCCGACACAGTCGTCTCGCGCTCAGTCCACTCGACATCGAACTTCTCCTTGTACGTGATCTGGAACGCAGACTTGGCTTGCTCGACCGTCTCATGAGGTCCATCCAGCTTGTAGTCAGTCTCGCTCCAGCGGTAGTAGACATAGTAGGCCTCGGTCTCCGTGTTGTAGATCAGTTGAGTCACATACTTGGCGCCAGTGCTCTTCTCAACCAGCTCGGCATCGTAGACCTCATCATCGTAGTACACATAGGAAATCTTGGCCATAGGGCAGCGTTCATCAACATGACCCTTGTGGGCAGTGATGACTTGAACAGTGCGCTTCCAGACGCCATCGACCTGAGTCAACGCGCCAGCAGCAGCCTCACCAGCACCAGAAGCAAGGCGACGGAGCCAGGAAGTACCCTTGGACACAGTGGGCTTGGTCTCTCCAGACTTCTCAACGACAATGGTCTCCTTGATCTTGTGCTCCTCAGTATCGACAACCTGGGTCTCGGTCGTGGTGGTCTCCTCAACGGTAACCACAGCCTCGGTCTCGGTGACAGTGGTCTTGGTGTCGGCCTTGACGATCTTGTCATCAACGATAACAACCTCCTCGCGTTTAAGGATTTCCTTAACCTCGGTTTCCTCGACGATCTCCTCGACTTCTTCAGTCTCTTCGATCGTCTCGTAGGTCTTGGTCTCGTATGTCCACTTCTCCGACACAGTCGTCTCGCGCTCAGTCCACTCGACATCGAACTTCTCCTTGTACGTGATCTGGAACGCAGTCTTGGCTTGCTCGACCGTCTCATGAGGTCCATCCAGCTTGTAGTCAGTCTCGCTCCAGCGGTAGTAGACGAAGTACGCCTCCTTGTCGCTGTCGTACAAGAGCTGAGTAACATGCTTGACGCCAGTGCTCTTCTCAACCAGCACCGAATCGTACACATCCTCGTCGTAGTACACAAACGAGTGCTTAGCAATGGGACAACGCTCATCGACATCAGCCTTACGGGTAGTGAGGACTTGGACAGTGCGCTTCCAGACGCCATCGACCTGAGTCAACGCGCCAGCAGCAGCCTCACCAGCACCAGACGCAAGGCGACGGAGCCAGGAAGTACCCTTGGACACAGTGGGCTTGGTCTCTCCAGACTTCTCGATGACAATGGTCTGCTTAACCTTGTGCTCCTCGGTATCGACAA